TATATGTGAGAACTTAAGTTTCTAATATCGTGATGCTTCATGAGTTATTTGTTTAGATGTGCTTGGTCACATGGTACGTTAAGCAACATAGGATTAACCCATCACAAACCATTGTCAACCAAGAACTTAAGTCCCTAGTACATTAATGCCTCCTTAGTCGCCGAATCATCATTTATGGCCACATGCGTGTTGAGCGACGTCAAATTCGTGAACTGTTGATAAATTGCTTAACCCTTTCAAGATCATGACAATTCACCAGTCATAGAATCTGACTTATCCAATGATGTGACTTGCTGAACACTACTAGATCACACTACACTCCAAATGACTGCCTTAAAACACACGATAACATTTAGTCTCACAATGGAAGTTCTTCATCGATTAAGTTGAATATAAATTAAAGATCCCTTCTCCCAAAATAAAATAATACACATGACCATCTTTGAATAAGATGAAAAGGTGGTCTTCCCTCGTGCGCACACATGTGTGTATGACACTCCTAATTCCACAATCGATTGGCCACCAAGATGTGACCAGGGAGTGACACACGTGTGCAAAGCAAGTCCCTTGCCGCTTGAGCCCAACTCATGGCTCCCCACATCTAGGTCTACTCACTTGACCACAACCCCCCCTCTAGGTCAGTTGCTGAATATCGGTTTTCTAGTGGAAGGCAATATTTTTATATTTTATTATTTTATTTTTATAAAAAAATTAAAAATTATGCTGAATATTTTAACTTCATACTTCTAAAATTAACATTATATTCCTATATTTATTTTTAAATTTTAAAAAATAAAATGACTAATTATAACACAAAAATATAGCTTTAACACTATCGCTACTATCATACATCGAATGTAAAAAATCAGAACTATCATAACCTCTTCTATGGCCATGACTATGATAAGTTCATATGCCTCAATTTCTATTGTCATGCCATATATTGAAAGAGCTTTCATTAGTTTTCTCTTTTCTTAAGGTTTTAACTTTAATCTTAAATGTCTACTTAGAAGATTTTTCTGTGGATTTATTCATTCTTTTGTCATGTGAAAATAAATATCTCATTAATTTATCTTGAGTGTAAATAGATAATTTCTTAGATTTTTCAATAACAATAACAATGTAATAAACTTTATCTAGAAGAAAATTAATCACTTTCTCAACAATTTAGTTTATTGTTACATATTCTTCATATATTTTGATTTGACTAACAATAAATGAGACATAGGAAAAATATATTGAATAGATTCATCTGATCATAAAAATTATTCAAATTCTCTTCAGAGAATTCAATGATCTACTGTTGTAATTTTATTATCTCCATGAATTTCACTTTTCAAATTTTCTGTGACTCTAATAAATAGCATTAGCAATTTGAGTAAAAATAACATCTAATATAGATTTTTTTTATTCCCTTAGCTTTGATATTACAAGTTAAAATTTTATTTATTAAATATTGAGTCTCATAATCCTATGATTAACAATAGAATATAACATGTTAATCATTGAGATCTAAAGAAATTTCATGATAGAAACATGTGATCATTGTTCAATATACAAGGAATCATAATTTGATAAAAATATATAGATATGGTTAAATCAGTATAGGAAACTTGTGATCATCATGTTATTTATATCTATATATTTAAACTAACCTTGAAATGCAGCATCTAGTCTTCTGAAATAAACTTTAAAAATTCATTCACTCTCACATGGATAAGTCACCAAAAGAGTTCAAGAAATAAATGGCACAAATAACTCTTTAACTGAGCATCTAGTCAGTGATACTTCATCAACTTATGTGGATGAAAACTCAAACAAACATATTATTTGGTTTGATCCTCAAGAGAAAAATTGTTTTTCATCAAATAAATAAGATCTAGTTAAAATTTCAAATCAGATGGACAATCACAAAAGCATTTGAAATACCAAAGGGTCAAAGGTTGTTACCACTTGTTTTAGAAAATGATAAGCTTTTGAACATGTTTCCTAAATGTTCAAGACCAAATCAAAGAGATTAGAGGATGACTATTAAAAAATAAACAGAAGCTAGAGAAATAGAAGATAACTCTCCACATGAAGATCCAAGTAAGAAACTCAAGCTTTACATGTTGGATGCATCAACAATGAATATAAAGTTGCATAATGATCTTTATTAGACTTCAACCACTCAAATGACATCAAACTCAAAGGGAAACATTCTCATCAGGCTTTGTAACTAAGTTGTGATGGGAGAGATTATTAGGTGAAAGCACAAAGTTCAAGTAGCTTATTTTGGCCCTAAAAAAGCAAAGTCTCTACATAAATGAACTTGGATGATTAAGCCGTTAAGCGTATGAACATCAACATGTATTTCTCAAGAGAAATAGTGAAACACCGGTAGAAAGACTCTTCTAAGATTGATTGTAGTTGGGTGAGGGGAAAACCAAAGTAAGTTATTAGTGTTTTTTATTAGAGAGTTATACACACATGCACTTGTCAACACATCTAGCGATAATCCACATAGATAATAACCAAAAATGAATAGTTGAAAATGGTATAAAACCCAATTCACTATGCCTTCCTCTTGGAGTTTCACTTAGCTCTATAGTTCTAACAAATATTTTTAACATTAATAAAACTTTCTTATCTCCATTCTAAAGTTCCTTGAGATTTTGTATAGTGGTATCTTCATTTCTAAAGTTATTCTCAATTAACCCAATAAATTTTGTTGCATAAAAAGAGTAACCATCTTAAGGCTCCAAATTTTAGATTTTCTCTATTAAGAAAATAGCACATGATGATATGATAAGTTGAGAGGGTTTTGACATATAGTCAATAGAGTTAACTCTTCACACAAATCAATTCATATCCCTTGTCACTACAAGAAATCTTCATAGCTACTACCAACTTTATTCTTGTGGATATGTTGTTGAGGCAATAAATGCCTAATGCAACAAACTTTGTGATCTTATACCACTCACTTGGTAGGAAAATAAACTGAAAATGGATATGAAATATGCCTAAATTTGATAGAGAAAATGGGCTAAAATAGATAAGGGAGAGAGGAGCTAGTGAAGTTAAAAATATCCCTAAAAATAAATTTCACAATCTATTTTGAACAAAGGAATATTTTTTTATATTGGGGAGAGGGGATGAAGTGGGCTGTCCCACTTTAGCATATTATGACAAGTGTTACCCAATTTAGGTTGGCTCAATTTAGACATGGCTGAATTATTTTCTCAAAAAACACATTTTTAAAATTGAATTTTAATTATACCTATTAATTTTTATGTATCATTTGTATTGTGTACCCTAAGCTTCTATGAATTTGAAGATAGAACACATTTCAGCTTTCATTCACACGTGATGGATATTAGGAAATTCCTATGCAGTTCCACTCCTATGCAAACCAAAATATCACTCGTGCTAATAATCACGGAGATGATTTACTGGGCCCAACTAAAATGGGCCGTCTCAATATAACACGGGCCCAGGCCCAACCTACAAATAGGCGTAGCCCCTTAAATTAGATTGCAACTAGTCACCGGATCTCTAATCTTTCAATCAATTAATTTAGTCATTAATTAATTAAAAAATATAAACATCGTCAGAAAATCCTTATCATCTGTGATTTGATTTGATGTTCGCGACAGGTCCTCTCTCTCTCTCTCTCTCTCTCTCTCTCTCTCTCTCTGTGGGAGGGATGACGGGCTTTGACCCGGGCTCGGACTCGGGGATGACAGGGCCGGGCCAAGTCGGCATGTTAATGGCCCAATTTCACGGTGACACTTGTCTCTCTGGGGCCGGCAGTCGCATTGATTCGGATTGTCCAACCGTACTTTCACCTCTGGACAAATCGGTGAACGGAAACAAAAAACCGCTCACCGCCACGCGCTCGGCCCGGATCTTGATTGTCTTCTGAAGCAGGAGGCGGTTTTTCCGCACCAACCGGATCCGATTACGGATGGCCTACGTGGCAGAAGCCGACAAATCTGTGGGGCCCACTCTCTCTGCACTTCCCCCGTCCGAACTGGGCGCTACAACTCGGGTCGGCTTTACAGCCTATGACCACAGAGAGTCTGAGAAGTATATTTTTAAAATGGCCATTTGGTGGTTTTCTTAACTGCTATTTACCCAAGTTGTAATAAAAAAAGGACATGGGTCCTCCGTGTTGTTTTATTTCTACCCCGACGCCATTTAATCCAGTGGCAACATGGTAAATGTTGCTAAGAGGTTTCCTTCTCCCTCCCTCATGGAGAGGGGCATTTCGTAAATTCGACGGCGCTTTGTATCTGGTAAGCGCGACCACCCTTGCTACGATGCTGATAGATATGCCCTCGTTTCTATAAAATAAAGAGTGCGCGGATTTACACTTACTGAGGACACTGTAATATTTAATAATCGACGAAGGGATGCCTACGAAATTAGCCTCCGACAACTCTGACCGCCGTGCACGGCGGAGGGAGAGAGAGAGAGAGGCAGAGGATTTCAAGAAGAGAGCTACCATTGTACTAGCTGGCTGAGCGTACCCAGATATATAGAGAGAAAGAGAGAGAGAGAGTAGAGAGAGAATGAGTAATGAATCCTGACATAATCATTGAGTAAGGAGGCCAAAGGGGACGGGCTCACAGTAGGATGCAACAGGCCAGAGGAGAGGCTGGGGGGGGCCGGGGTAGACGATGGCAGTCAGCTCCAGACGAGCAGACTGGCCTCCTCTCTCTCTCTCTCTCTCTACTTTCTCTCTCTAGGGCCCTCGCACCACCATTGGCGAGGGGTCTCCATGGCTCTCGTGAGGATAAGGCGGAATTATTTACTCCCTCGTCACTGTTCCACCAACCAGACAAACCACGGAATAGAAAGAGAAAAAAAAAAGGACCAAGAGAGAGGAGAGAGAGAGAGAGAGACATAAAAAAGGGACGGGGCGATCCCCGTACTCCGACTTTCTCTCTCTAAGGCTCCGGCGGCGATCCTCAGCCACAAGTCCCCCGCGCACACGTGGCGCGAGGAGGGTCGTCCATTCAGCGGGGGGGCACTCTGTGGATGCCCTGCCGGTGCAGCTCCGCCAGCACGCTCTCCGTCGACGGCGGCTTCAGCCCCAGCGGCAGCGGCCTCCACGGCTCCCTCAGCGCCTCCCTCACCACCTCATCGATCAACTCCTCCGCCTGCCCCATCATCATCCATCACCACCGTCCAATTCAATTAACAATTAATAATAATTATTAAAAACAATAATAATAAGAGATTTGGTTACCAGGCCGACGTCGTCCTCCTGCTGCTGCGCAGCGCAGGGCCGCCGAGTCGGCGGCTGAGTAGTATACTGCGACACGCCAATCAAAACCCACATTTTTATTATTATTATGATTATTATTATTCGATATATTGCTCATTTTCGTTAAAATGATTAAATAAATAAATAAGACTCACCTGGGGCGAGATGGGTGTGGTGGCGGCGGCGGCGTAGGGGCTCTGGTGAACGACGGGGCAGCCCCATGCATCGGCATGCATCTGAAGAACACCACATGATCAGATGAATGATGAACGATGAATGATGATGATGATGATGATCGTCGGTCCATTCGTTACCCTGGGGAAGGTCTTCCATGGCCAGTGCTCGGCGGGGGGCTGCCACGGCGGGAACCCGGCGGCGGCGGCGGGGGGCTGCCACGACGGGAACCCGGCGGCGGCGGCGGTGGGCCATGGCTGGACGGCGGCGGCGGCGTGGGGGTGGCCCCAGACGGGATACACGTGGCTGCCGGTGTAGCCACCGGGGCCGGCGAAGGCCACCAGCGGCCGGTACTGGCAGGCCCTCGCCGGCGGCGGCGGGTTCGCCGCCCGCTGCCACCCCCGGGCGTCGTCCTTGGGCAGCGCGTGCCTCTTCCTCATCCGATACTTCTGCAACGTGGTAGAAATCGACGATTAGTGACGATCACTGATTAATCGAGGAAGAAATGCGCTGAAGAAATCGATGAATCGAGGTAGAAATGCGCCAAGTGGGTCTACAATCTCATGAAGAAAAATCCACAAGTCAACTATTTTGACGAACAGCTGCGAGTTGGGAGTAGAACTGTGCAATGTGGGACTTTATTTCATGAAGAAATGCTCAGGATTAAAGTCAAATGAAAAGTCAAGGGATGTCGATGAAGAAATCGATAAACTGAAATATCGTCAAGGTCACCTGCAGATGGCTGGCCACATTGTGCCTGGTCAACCCTTCGACCCTCATCAGCTCCAAGATCTTGGAAGGGATGGCCTGGTCGATACCCAGCTGCTCGACCGCCTGAACAAACCGCCGGTGCAAGTCCGGCGTCCAGTCCACCTGTTCGAAACGAAATCATGAATTAAGTCAGATGATATTCCTGGTTTCTGATCTGCTTATTTGACTTTTGGTTTCTGGGATTGTTTTCTGTGGAAAAACGGAAGGGAAATCGCTATGGTTTCGGGACCTTCATCCTCTTCTTGCTGGCTCTGCTCCCAGACGGCGGTGGGCTGCGTTGTAGAGCAGCGTCGGCGCTCTTCGTCGGATCCTCCACGTCGCCCTCGTCGCTCGGACAAGACGGCGGCGCGGAGATCTCCTTCTCGCCATCGTCTTCCTCGCCGGTGGAGTTGTTGCACGTTTCGTCGACGGATTTGTTGCAGGTCTTTGACAGATCCGATGGCGCGGATCGGCTGAACTGCTCCAGCTGCGGCGTCGTCGGCGCCGGAAACCGGTCGCCGGCCGGCGAGGATTCCTCCTCCTCCTCCGCCGGTGCCGCCGCCGGCTCCCCAGAATCTTCACCCGGACGGAGCTGGAGCATGGAAGAGACTGTCTCCTTGACGGGTTTCAGGGATTTGGAGATCGCGGCGCCGCCGCCTGCATTGAAGGCCTGCTCAGAGCTCACCCAATTTAGAAATTTTCACAGACTCAGCTGCGATAATAGCTCAACAAAGGTTCTGATCCAGTTACCTTGTGAACCACATGCTGCCATATATTCTTGAGCTTCTCCTCCGAGACGGGTTTCTGGAGAAACTCCGCCGCGCCCAGCTGAAAACAAAAAAACATAAAATAAAATAAAATAAGCGGAATCAGGATCAAAGTGAAACCCATTTCTGGTAATCTGAAGAACAGATCGAGAGCGATGTGAGAACTCACCGCTATGCATCTCATCATAGTTTCTATGCACTCGGCATCTGAAATCACTGTAACAGGTGACAACATCAGGAAGAAGAGGAAAAAGCTTACAAAACGAAACGGTAATGAATAGCATCGACAAGAAGAGGGAAGGAATGGAAAGCGAGAAGGAAGAACAGACTGGTTCCGTTTCCGGATATGGGAAGGAGGAAGAGCTTCTTACTGATGGTGGGGAGTCCTCTAGCCGTCTCCAGAAACCTGAAACAGCTATCGCTGTTGGCAGCGGTCACCTGCGAGGATTGGCGATCATGAAAAGGAAGGAAAGTAGGAAGAGGTTCTCTCATGGAGGATCAATCCGAGCTCGGATACCTCGACTATGGCGACATGGAAGCTCTCCGACTTGCAGGCTACCGCCTCCAGCGCCTCCCTCTCATTGCCAAAGAGAGACACTGTAAGAAGAAGAAGAACTAGGGTTATCGAATAGGAGAGAAACCAGAGCAGTCGCCATCCGATAATCTGAACTGGGAAGCAGTGTGACCGCCGGCTTTCCTATTTAGGGAACATTTCGACAGAGACGACAAGGAGGGTTCTCTCTTACCGGAATACTCCATCCGTTCAAGCTTGGATTTGATGTCTGAGGAAGAGGAGCCGCCCTCGTGAAGGAGAACTCTGAGGCCCTTGGGGAAATCCCTCCACCCCACCAGATCATCCACGGCCGGCGGCCGCTCATCCTTCCGCTGCTCTCCGTTGACTGCCGGAGTTTCACACATGGCGGAGCTCTGATGGCATCCCGAGCCTGTGAAAGCTCCCAGAAACTCGGAAAATCGCCTCCAGTCCGATCACTCCATCCGCAATCCTTCGGCGGCGGGAACGAATCCGAGGGGAACCTCCAAGAACACCCCCATTGCTACTTCTTGGGGAAGAGGGAGAAGACTGCGGATTCAGGCGCCATGAGAGGCAGCAAGAGTCATGGCGCAGGAGAAAGGCGCTTTGAGCTTTCCTCCCTCTTCTCTGACGACGAAATCTAAAGAGGAGGAGCAGAAATGGCCTCGCCTTTTTCCTTTCCTCCCGCAGATGAGAGAGAGATAGAGAGAGAGAGATGAGGGGGTAACAGGATCCTGAGAAAGGAAGTAGCTGCTGGCCTGTTCTGCTTGCAGAATATGCAGATCATGAACCCACTGGAGAGTATCGGTTCTGAGATCCGACGCAAACGAGGCGAGCATCTGTGGAAAGAGAGATTAACCAGTTTAAAGCCCGGAGGCGTTGGATTTTTTCTATCTTCTTGAGTAATAGTAATTACTATTTTTAATATATTTTATTGATGATCAACCCATTAATGGTGATGGTAAGTTTTCCGAAAACGTTAAAAAATATATTCAACAGCCAATTGGAAATCCCAAAAATAACCTCTCCCTAAAATAAATAAATAAATAAATAACCCAGTTAGAGAGAGAGAGAGAATTAGTGAGTAGAAAGACTGATGATATATAGGCTTTTGGGCCTCCTTGCTCGATTACATTACTAACATGTGCATGGACGACATGCATTAATTATATTAAGTATAATATTAAATATTAATTAAATACTTTAATGGTCTAGAAACCTTGCTCGAATTCTCCATAATACCTGGTAGAGAAACCATGCAAAAGGGGAATATTCCGTCACATTTAGTGCCTAGTCCGGTAATAAAAAGAATGTCCTTTCCAGAAATCTACGCCCTCCGGATGTCCGAGAATGACCCACGTACACGCGTCTTTTTCCATGAAATTTTAATATATATATATTATTTTTATTTTCCACGTATTCCATAAAATAGGAAAAAAAATGGTGGGCAAATATTTAATGATATTAAATCCTAAACCCTGGGCTCAGCGGATTTCTTGTTCTAAATTTTTGTCCTCGGAAAATCCGCAGTATTAATGAAACCCATATACACCATGGTTGGAGCATATGGATGAGGAAAATATACGACGCCGTTGAAGCTGTCGGAGGTCTAAAGATGGCCGCCGCGGGGGATCTCCTCCCCCATTTTAGGCCGACCGATCGACGATGGAAGGGCGGCGATTCGGGAAGACCACAATTTGGGAAGGGGGTCCACCGGATTGATCCTCTGGTCCACCGTTGATTCTGCATTAAAAAATGGATGGTGATGGGCACGTTGGGACCCGTTGGATTCACCGATCCGTCATGTCTTGGGCGGGTCGGATTTGTCGAGCTCAGTGAGTCGGGCTCCGATTTTGGTGCGGAGCTTTTAAAAGAAATGGGAGTTTTTGTGTAAAAGCCTTCTAGATATAATATTATATGCAAAAAAACCCTAAAACTTTATTAATACCTGTGGCCACGGACTTTTTGCACATAAATGTTGGTCTATGGATCCGTTTCATGATGAAAAGCGCTCTTTGAGGAGATTCTGTTTGAAATGGGGGACCCATGGTTAAAAATGCGCCGCTAGCCGTTGTCTGCGAGAGTCTAAAGAAATTTCTGAAATTTTTTATTTTATGGGGGCCTTTCTATGACTTGCATAATTTTTTAAGGAGATTTGTGAAGATTCTATTGACTTCTCATATCGATGAAGCTCTCGTGGTTGTACGATGTCCACGTGGCAAGACCGGGCCGGCGGGTCTCACGTGCCCGCGTCACGAGACTGCTCAGCCGTATTTCGAGCACTCACGAGAGGCGCCGGCAGAAGATTGGATAAATGATGCCCTCAAATATAATAATAATGAAAATAATTTATATTTTTTAAGAAGATTAATTACCAATAAAAAGACAACGGGGAAGGGGAACTATTTTTTCGCTCAAGAAATAAATAATTATTCCAAGCTAATAATATTCCGCACCCCTTTTTAGTTTTTATTTAAATTTATTCTTTCTTTAAAAAGAAAATAGGTGAGTCCAAAGGGATCTGTTCAGTTTTTTTTTAAAAAGAAAATATGCCTCCTACAAATATGGAAATTTAATGGATTTCATTGTCATAGATTTTAAAAACCATTTTTTATCCACTTTGAGAATATTATGTTTTGGGTGCCACGAGTTTATAGTTATTCTGATTAAAATAATAACCTTTTGTTTTTAAAATCATGCACCCAGGAAAAAAAAGGTGGTTTCCCATACATTGACACATGGGAGAGAGAGAGAGAGAAGAGAGAGGGAGAGAGAGAGAGGGAGGGAGAGGGAGAGAGAGAGAGAGATCTAAAAATAGTAATTACAAGTTGATTATATGACTTTGTCGCATTAGACCGTTTGAATACAGAGAAATGATCGAGAAATCCGCCGCCAGAGGGAAGCTGAGCGGAGTGATATGGAGGGTGATGGATGGTCAAAGCTTCGTGAACATCGGAGAGGAATTGACCAGGCAGGACGTCCGTGACAGGGGGGGAGCTGTCCGGCGGAGGATGACGTGGACGGCGGCGGGCTGACGTACATACCGCCACCGCCACCAGCTTCTCTCTCTATCTTTCTTGGCCGCTTGCTTGTGGGCCAAGATCATGGCTCCTGGTAGGAGGGAGCCACCAAGTCTGCCTGGCTGTTCACGGGCTCGCCTCTCCTCGGTGGGTTTGAGAGAGAGAGATAAGCACGGCCTCTCTCTCTCTCTCTATCTATCTATCTCTATCTCAATCCCCATCTACGATCAACGATCAACAGATGATGCGCACGATCTCCCTTGACTGCGAGAAGTTTCTAAATACGCGAGATATGCTTTCTCCACGAAAAAAATCACGACATTATTACTGATGGACGCGAAGAGAGCGACATCCCTTGTCTTCGCCCTCCCACAGGCGCCGTCTCTCCCTCGTCAAATGACGAGCCCCCCCTCCCCCTCTCTCTCTCTCTCTCTCTCCCTCTCTCTCATAAAGTGAAATAAAGCCAGGTGCGCCACGTGGCTCCCGGGCCAGAGCCTGGGCAAAGCTCGGGAAGAGACCAGCCCACTATGTGAGCTTCACACCATTTTCAATTACACAGAAACTATCGCCACGTGCGTAATATTGAACGGTTATTTCTATATATATTGATATTTAGGTATATCTAAATTTAGATCAATACTAACATCTATCTATGTATATTTATGGTTAAATTGATACCATTTTTGTTTGTATTATCTTCCTGTGGCGGTTGTTCCACAGTAAATCATATCCAACTCTTTTTCTTGCTCTATCATGCAGAATACAGTTTCATATACATAAGAAAAATTATAAACATATTAGTCTAAAAAAGGATGACTTTTTCTACATTTGAATGTCAGAATAAACTACGAAAATAAATATAGACCAAGACCAACCTCTACCCACATCAACTTAAGCGTGAACCATGTCGCCCAATGCATCTGTTCTTCAGAAATCCACAAAAGCGTTCTCTCTCTCTCTCTTTCTCTCTCTCTCTCTCTCTCTTTCTCTCTCTCTCTCTCTCTCTCTCTCTCTCTCTCTCTCTCTCTCTCTCTCTCTCTCTCTCTCGCTCTCCCTCTCGCTCTCTCTCTCTAAATATATATGGGCCGTAAGGGGTCCTAGCTAAAGGCCATTTTCTTTTCATGAAGAGCCCGGACAAAGAGGAGACTGCCTTGGGCTTAATCACAAGGTCACAGGGAAATCACATTTCAGATAATAAATATCATATATATTACATATCAAATCGAACAAGATCAGGACTCAGCCTCGGCCACATCTCTTCAGGAGCTTCATCCGGCGGATTTCTCTGTCAGAGACGGTTAAGATGCCGCCCCCTTCGCTGACCTTCTCAATCAGAAGCTTCAGGAGAGGTATCCTAGAGAGGGTTCTACACGACCCAACCATTATCAGCTTCTTCTGCATCCGCCAAGAGGACACCTTTAGATGATCCAAACCAACAAGCCAACATCTACCCATAATTTTTTTATCACAGAAAATTAAATATAATAAAAATCAAGAGAATAAACAAAAAAAAAAGAGGAATATATTTGGCTAGTTTATTGTATGTCCTCCACATATATTAATTAATTTTCCTGTTTAGTGATATCATTTCCATTTCCCCCACAAAAAAAAAAACGGATGACAAAAAAAAAAGTCAGAAAAATGTGGGCAAGGAAGTTGAGTTCATATTAACCTTTGGACGCGTGAGTGCAACATTGATCCTGTGCCAATCTCCAAGTAAGGAGGTCCCAAAGCGCGTTGACTGCTCACTAGATCTCACAAATGAGACCAAGATGCAGTCCTTATCTCTGCCCTGCTCCGCCAACAGAGATTTTAAAGCAGAAAACCAGAATGGCAGAAAAATTTCTCCAATTAATCACAAGCAGATGCTATGTTTTGACTGACAAAAACAATAAAAAAAATAAAAATTTTGGCAAGGTTTCAGTACGAATTTTATCAAGAAAAAATTGAAATGCCAGAGCTTAAGAAACTGTAACGATAAATCTTGTGACTAGTCGTCCAAAAGAAATAGCTCCACACCATATGAGCCTTGGATCACCTGATATTTATCAATGGTGTGTATCTCCACATTAGTCCCAACAATGCTTCGAATCAGATCCACCTGCGCATTATAAGGAGTAATGACGCCGATATCATCTCCAGCAACATCTCTTTTGATCAGTTCCTCAACAATCTATTAGAATGGAGAATACGAATGATTCAATCACAGTGCAGACTTTTACGAACCCATCTGCTCAAGTCATATGGTTGACTGAAATAAATACCTCTGAGACTATGTTTGCCTCTATGGGGTTATTTATGGCTTTCTGCGCCTTCACTTCGAATGCAGACAGTTCATCTGCATGTTTTCACCGGGCAACAATTTCAATCCAATGCACACGTTCAATCAGAAACGGTGATGGAAAAATTTAAGATAAGAGTCAACGACCTGTATTTATAAAAATCACAGATCTGTCTGGATCTAAAACCTGCAGTACAATAGCAAGCAAAAATGGCAAGTGAACATCAAGCTGAATAAAATGTCAGAGAGTTTGTGATTCCAGAAGAAGAAAAGACAGCACAGGCCGGATTAAGCTGGCATAAAAGGACAGGTTCACATTGCGATTGGTTGATCGCCGTCTGACAAGTAGCATTGTCTTAACAGAATCATCAGGAACGGTGTATATATATCTATCAGCTGGTTCAATTAGCACTTGAAATTGGGATTAACTGGATTACCCCGGCTTAGATCAGACCAGGTTTCAGATCTGATCCCGACCCAACTACATACGGAGAGTCTCGTTTCATGAGCAAAACAAATTCTGACAGCTTTCTGGTCAAAAGCTTTATCCGTCAAATCCGACAGATACAAAGTCTAAATAGTTCTCACAATTCCGCATGCTTAGTCCTCAGAACTGAGCATATAAAAGATAAAAATGCATCACGTCAAGTGACATTCAACAGCATTTCTACCTCTTTCAGCCAAGATGTAAGTGGCTCGGCACTTGAAATCTTGATCTTCGCATTTGCAATGTCAGGTGAACCGCAGCGCAACCTATTTCCATAAATCAGGGCATTTGATAGTTCCATAATCCCCGCACACATTCTATACTGAAAGAAAGGCAAATCGTATATCATTTACTTGTTCAATGCACCAAAGGATGCAGAACAATAGAAACGTTAATTTTCAAACGCAAGACTAAACCTGGCACTGTAGAGCTGCTATTGCCTGGGGATGAGCTTCAGATAATCTGCAAAATAGACTAATCCCCATTCCATTCTCCTCAGCCTCTGTACTCTAAAATAGGAAGGTAGCATAAATACTTGTGGGCATAATTGAAGCACAAAAGAAAAAAAATGAAAAAGCTGAACGCCAGAAATTGTGCATTACTTGAACGAGTGGAGGCAACTGATAGTGATCTCCAACAAGAACAAACTTTTTAGCAAGCATCAAAGGCCCTAAAGAGACCTGCATACACGTGAAAATTCAATGAGAGACAGACAATCACGTTAATCTGTCGGCCTTCACCAGTAGAATAAACTCTATGGTGAACGATTTTCATAAAATAAGTTCGATAGAGTAAAAATAATATCTTATGCCTCGAGATAAATAAAATTCCGAATTTTTTTGAGATGATTAAAAACATTCGCACATACAGGAAGTGTAGTTTGCCCAGCTTCATCCATTATGCATACGTCAAACTTTCTCTTTGCAAGCAGGGGATGGTTTATTCCTAAACAAGTTACACCAACTACACGGACATGCTCCATTCTGCGTCTGACATCCTCCAAACTTTGTTTGCCTGTTGTTATTATAGACAATTGCAACATGAGATATTTTGATGATGACATACATATTGCAAATTTAAACGAAAGATTAAAAAGGTGACCTGAAAGACAATGCTCACGAATGCCACAGTGCACAGCTTCTTGTCTTCCAATACGTATGAAATCTATTCCCTGAAACAGGCCAAACAGAAGTCTAAGGGTGTGAGTGTAGAGAACCTTATTCACAATCTATTTCTATTCATAACCAGCCAGATCCCAGAGAGTATATTTCCCAATCTGATCCCTTTACTGATCTGACAAACTTGGCATCAGATAGAGTTTTGTATTTTCTAAGAGGTAAGCATTCAATTCAAGACAAAGGAAAAAATACAAGGGTGCCACAGGACAATGAATCATAACCCAAAGTTCGATGCAGAAAGACTAATGCCTGTCTACATACCATAAATTTAAATGCTGCATAGTGATGACTAGATCCTATGACTAGTCTGATAACTTCGTTGACTGAAAGATTCTGTGTCCAATACACATTGCATTTGATATCCTGATCCAAACCCAAAGTAATATACAAATAATTGGTCAGGAAATGGGACAAAGGATTTCATCTACTTTCTTTGCATACCAAGCGTCAACAAAAGGTTGAATCTACCTTGGAACTTAAAATTGGAAATATTTCGCCTTATAATGTTCAAAGTCATCTACATGTGAGGTATCAGATGGAGACTTTGAGTTAAAATTCACATAGTATGGACTAGAGACGGAAAATCATGATATAATAAGATGTAGACATTCAGCATATTAAAATGAACAACCAACAATAAAGTCATGACAGCAGATAACAAAATATCACCTTCAAAAACATTCAAAACTTTAAATCACTGTCCGGTACAAGACACTGCCTTTTAAACCATCCACGAATGGAGGAACCGTGCTTGATATATCCAAGAGATTCAGCAAAATTCGTTGAATTACCCAGACAACATCAAAGGAAAAATAAAACAAGGAAAGTAATGCTTCATAGCACTCTACTTCAGTTAAACTTGCAGTAGAAATGTCAGATTGAGATCTTTAAACTAGCTTAAATGAGACACATGGAAATGAATATAACCTTTCAATATGCTCCATAAAATAACAGAGGATATAGAACAAAAAAATCATTCGACTGCTAACTGAAGGACCATCGATCATAAGACGGAATTTTTCGGTGAAGCCAGTAGCATAGTTTATTTAATTTCCATTTAGGTTACATCTCACTTGCCAGTCACTGTAGTCAAGGGGTTCCTGATAGGGTGAAGAGAATATGTGAAGATCCACGAGCATTGGCGATCATAGCATAAAATACCAGTGGTCTCTTCTGGAGTAGGTTTGAAGATAACCGATAAACCATGTACGTATATAGTCGTTTGTAGACTGCTGTCACTTTTATGAAAGTAGGTGAGCATGTATTAAACATTACAATTTTGTACATCATTTAAGAACTTTGAACTAACAGTAAACACACATGGATATGAAAATGTGCAGAGTCTCGTGGCTCTATTTTTAGAAAATGAGGAATGAGGAACGGCGGGGGATACAGAATAGAATCCTTCTTTTTCGGAGGGAGGCAAGCGCTATTGAAAGTCGGAAGTGAAGAAAGTCAGTACATTATAAATTCATTATGCTAACAAATAATGAAAAAAAAATTGGGTGAGAAGGAACCTTTGCTTTCAGTTTGAGCAGAAGATTATCAACCGCTGAGTTAGTGTATGATGTAAGCAAAATGGAGGCACCTCTAATCAGCAATGCCTTCACAGCATGCACCAAAGTAGAGGTTTTCCCAGTTCCAGGCATTCCGAGAATTAGAGCATAATCCTTGGCATATAGCATCTAGAAAGCTTAGTGGCGTTAGTGATTGATCTTTTAATACAGATCATCCTGAAGTAAAGAGTATATTCAAAAGAGGGGAAAACACTGCGGAATAAGAAGAAAAAACGACATACTTTGTGGATCGCTCTACGCTGATCGTCATTCAAAGTCACCTCAGACCGGACATAAGATATTGCTGGATCCTGACTGACAATACCTCCACTGTCAAACATGGGGGCCTAAGAGTAGATAGTTAGAGATTGAAGATCATATAATGCCCTAAGGTATATTATCATCAGGAATTAGGCGTTCAAAATGTAGAAAAAAAATACTGACCTCAAGGTCAACAATCATCTTTCTGAGATGAGAACTCTCTTGATTTTGAAGAAACAATTGTATAAGATTGAATCTTCAGAAAAACCATGTTTCATGGTCATTATAAAGCATCTCAAAAAAATCGAAACGTCATTTTTATTTCAAAAAAAAAAACCTCATGACTGCATAAGAAGAAGAGACTTCATCCTTGTCAATTCGCCAAATTTCATTGGCGAGATTATTTTCATCTGATGAAGAGATAGATCCAGGAAGCCTCAACCTTCGAGCAAGTGCTACCTGAGGGATATATGCTGCACTCTTTTAGTAAGAACAGTAGCAGTACAGTGAAAAGAGAAGTCATTTAAGATGGTTGTGCCTGAGATGGAAGGACGCAAAGTTATAAAACCATAACATCCAAAATTTATATGACATCAATCAACTCCAGATAAGAGTATTACAAAGAACTCGATAGCAAAGTCCGAATCTCTGAAGGACAACATTTCCATTCACACAGGATTCAATCAAATAAATAAAAAATCAAGAAAATTTATTCGCAACACCATGTTGACTGGGTGGATATTTATTGCCATAAGGAGTTACAAAAATAATCAAGAATTGTCGAGGTGGAATCCACTGATCAATGAAATATTGCTAGTATTGTATATTAGGTGAAAATCTTACTGAAACATTGAAGTGGCTAATGTCCACTATCACTCCATTGGCAACTGAATTATATCCCGATTCTGTGCTAAGTACCTAGTTAAAGAATGGAACAAAATTCGCGTATCAAGACAGTATAAAGGTACATGAAAGCATGTTACAACAATGACTTTAATAAAACCAGATGGTGAAGACAGTAATCATAGCACTTTATAACCTTTTGCTAATCAATAGACAGGAAAGAAGGCAGTAAATTCATACGTCTGGAAAATGGGACATCCAGAAGAACACATGGACCCTAATCTGGTCGAGCATTAGCACTGCACTTTTTGTGAAGCTCACGAGCTTAAACAAAAGAAACGAAACATAGAATATTGCATATGGGGGCGTTACTACAGAAAGCTGTAATGGAGTGAAAGACTCCATACTTATGGTTTGCATTAGCACTGCACTTTCTGTGAAGCTCGTAATCCTAAACAAAAGAAAAGAGCCAGAGGATATTGCATCTGGGGGCATAGGCTCAGAAAGCTGGAAATGGAAATGTGGACTTACGGTTTTTCATTGATAAAGCATAATCTTGTGCGAAGAAATAAAAGTGCCATCAAGGTTTTATGTATTTTGGGCAGGAGTTCTAGAGAAAAAAACCGAAGGGCCCAAGAAACGAAATTTGTCGATAGTGATATACTCCACCAATTGGGATGAATGGAACTAAATTGATCATTCATCGAGGTTAAGTCGCACAATCAATTCTCTGCAAAAATTCCGCAAGAAATTACACTAGTAGATAGCTCCACATGATTTAAAGAAAAAAAAAGACAAGTACCTCAGAAAAATCGAGAAAAAGGAGTAGGCCAAAAATACTAGCTATTAGTCTGCTAATAACGCCAAAAAAGAGACTATCTTTAGAACCCTGCATTCACAAGTTTTGGCATCCGTATATGAAAGAAACTGAATTTCCCTCAGTCAAAAAAACTGTTGGTCTTATCTATGGTGTCGGCTTCATTTAGTAGGGATTTTGGTGGATCATGGTGATGTGCGTCTGGGATTTGCCTCTAAACCCTTACCAGTTTTTAATCTTTGTCAGACCAAAAAAATCTGAAGACGATTCACATCTTGCTTCATCGCATTCAAGTCAGTCTGGTCTTTCTCTTTCATTTTCAAAATCATCATCAAATGATTACCATATTTTCTAATTACTCACGTTAGCTTTCTTTGCAAGTCGCCAAATCATCTGAGGCAACTTTTATTACTTATCTCCTATTGGAGTTACTACTGCAAACTCTCATAAACGCCATTGCAATTCTGCTTATTTCACACACATCAACTTAAGCATTATCATTTAAGCTACTTTATATTGAGATTTCTTTACAACATGACAATTCTGCCTCAAAAACCACCAGTGGCCTGATGACTGTTTTACAGAGCCTCAACATCCATTGAATAGAAGGCAATCACAGACTATTTCAGATTTTTTTTCTGTTTAGACAAAAAGGTATAATCCTATCCACCATATCCCCATTATTCCGATCACTGAGTTTCTACACACGAAATGATCTTGTTAACTCTTTCTTTTTAAGTAAATCAGATCATGATTTTCACTATGATTATATCTCCTATGTTTGGTTCTTTATTTTTAATAGTACCTGAATCCTACCTTATAAAATACACCTCTAATCGCAACTTAAACTCTAATTCTTACTAAGGAGTATCCACTAATATTAAATTAGCGAATATTGGCACCAACAAGTAACCTACTCTAGGACGCATAATCCCACGGTTCATAAAATTGCCAAACATTGATCCGAATATAAGCTGATTCATATCAGAATTGGAAGTTACCAAGCACAACTAGGACTCGTAAACCACAGACTTAACCCAAAAGATGTGATTGGTAACAGAAAGGATGAAATATAGTAGGGACAAACCAGTCACAACCTCTGGGGACCAACAGTGTTTCTCCACCAAAGACCTAATTTCTATCATGCCACCCTCATCTTTGGCAAGGCATGATGATGCACCAAGGAAAAAACTGAAGAAACCAAGAGAAAGAGGAAGAAGAAAAGAGAAATGAAGGGGACATAACTGGAAGGAAAACCAAAGAGGAAACCACCAACGTCAGAAGAAAGGAGGAAAGACAGAATATAATGCAGAAATGATATGACACAGTCTCATACATCTCCATCCGTTGGAATTCCACTCAAACCCTCTCCAAAATTGATTCTTATGTTTACGATTTTTAATATAGAAGTATCTAGTGCCCGTTATTGTATTAACTTACTTTAGCCCGGCACTCATGCAGCATTATCTCAGCATACATTCAAGTAAATCTAGTAGAATGGGTCATCCTCGTGACATCTTAGTCCAAATTTCTAAATTAATATATTACCTTCTCTAGGGGATTCTAAATTAAGCAATTAATGTATTAATTTCCATAATCATTTGTTTAATATTTAAAGGGATTTCAGTCAATTAGAAGTTAACAGTTTCTGGAAAATCAGCGTCAATTAGAATTTAACGTCAGCATGCAGGTTGGCATCTCACCAATGTTATCACGCATCAATCTTTTCACTTCATTGTCATTTGGTACTCTTATCCTTTAATCAGTATGTTTTTACGCTCAAGTTCCCTACAAACTGCCATTGGGTATCCATCAAATTCCTAAAATCGTTGATTGATCACTAGTTTTACAGAATTATAAGCTTAGAATTGTTTATCCAAGCATCTGTCAATTATGGAACTTGCTGAAGTAAATATCTTGTACTCGTTCTCTTCTGTTTGCAATTGCGTATCTTAGGTGTTAGAAATGTTTTTAGAATAGATTAACCATGTCTAAGTATCTTGTGGAAGCTCCATTGTTGATGAACTGAGGAATGAAGATTAAAAACCTATTTGATATCCCAAATCAGACTAGAAACATTTTCAGATATCAACTTCTTAACAGTTTATTCAGTTGATCACTCAAGAACATTGATATCGGATCCTTACATAAGAACTTATACTAGAAACTTGAAATAAGAACTTACAGGGCATAATAAAGAAGCAAACGAAATGCTAAAAACAGGTCATGTTTGCACGCATACAAATGCCGTTTTTGCTGTAAATATATGTTAAAATAATTCCAAGTTAATTCTTTCCTCTAAAATCACTTTATAAAAAGGCTTTTCTCAAATATCAGGATCTCAACGGGTGTTCCCAGTTGCTCGAAAGAATCGTGCCTAATAATAACTTTCAGTATCTATCTGAAGGTTATTAGTAGGCCAAAAATTAACTACATTTCTTTGCAACTTCCAGGAAGTGCTAAATCCAGTTCATGTGTCGCATTCCAAAAGATTTATACCCTACAAACTACCAAGCTGGTGGATTTGACTCAGCTCTTTACAAAACACCAAAGGCGCTGCTACCTCATAATCTTTTAAAAAAAATTGAAAAGTAAATTACATCAAGGAGGAAGCTACATGAAAGGAAGAAAGGCATAAAATCCCAGTGATATAGTCGTTAGATGGTAAGTCCAAATTTTCGATCTTGATAAAATGAGTAAGAATTAAAATTGGGCATAGTAAGATGCGTACTACATAATCCCCGCATCTAAGATTGCAGTCCAAACTGTTTGCTGGAGATGATGCTAAGTACACCACTGCTTTGTTCTTCACTTCTGAATGAGCATTGTTGCATACGAAATGATAAATGTATCGCCTGTTTTTGGACAAGTCATCCACTGAACATTTCTTTGAAACGTCAAGAACAAGGGAAGAAAGACCATTGCGATCGTGCATTGAATCTGATGGATGTAGTGCTTCTCTTTTCGCAACCTAATTTTAAAAGTAGTACAGATGAACCAAAATGTAAAGGTTTTTCTAGTTAAAAGGAAAACGTTGATAAAGAATATACCGAGGATGCTTTAGACTCCAAGTCAATTAGTCGATCCCAATGTCGCAAGAAATCACCGTGGGAAATAGTTAAATGATCCACGAGAGAATTAAACAGCTCATCTAGTCCGCTACTGTGGCTGTCACCTCCATGAGCCTGGGGATTCCGAAATATTAATCAACAGACGAACGCCACATGACCCCATGTACTAGGAAAAGTATACGTTGAGATTGAATTGAGTAAAAAATGAAATTCAACTTTAAGGCATCTTTTTGAAGAAAAAAGTATTTATACACGAAATGAGAATACGGATCCAATATAGAATGCGTCAGATCCGTGCAAAATAAATAAAACAAGATGATACATATGGATTCATTTAGAAAAATATCTTGATTCATGCATCATTTGCATTATTTACTTCGTGCTCATTGTGTTTTCCCCACTTACCATTCCTATTACTCTGAACAAAATCAGAAACAAGTGAAATAGCTATTTCGAAATTTCTGCTCAAGCTTCTAATTATTTCTCCATCCATACTGCCAGCGAGCTAGCTACTACTAGAATCTTCCACCAGCCAAGGTCAACAACTACAGGCATGCAGAATTTCAAGTCTGCAGTAGTATCAAAGAAGTTGCCACCTTCACAACAAACTTTATACACAATACTCCGTGCATCTTGATAATCCCACATTCCGCAGAGAGATGATCAAGAGCCGCCTTGTACAACCCATATAAGTTACACTTGTTTTAAATATTTGGTTTGATAATTTGAATCCTATCACAAGTGGAAAGACTCTAGGTAGCCAATTTCAACAGAAATATTGTTATCTTGAGGAATGATTTTTCTTCTAAACCACCTTTGCCACAAGACTCTACACTGATCCTCACCATAAATGTTTACAAACGATTTAATTAAACAACCATTTAGCATCCCACTCTCAATTTCTAATGCCCTCTTTATCTCTTTGCATTGATGAGTGTTGGAGCATTCGGAGTGATATACTCAACAATTTCAGCCGCTTTAATGTTCTTTCTGCAATGTATGTCTGATATATCATTTGTGATGTTTACCCAGAGCTAATAATTTTTTTTGTGCATATCCGTAGAAGATTAGCAATTCACTGGAATTTCGTTGCAAGAGAAATGCGATTCATTCAAGTATCCTGATAAAAAAATTAGCTTTCCTTCAATTACCCAACTGAAATAAAAAAATATTAGTAAGAAATATGTTGAAAAATGAATCTCGGTCAAAATTGGAGAATATCTAAAAACTGTTTATTGGAATGAATCTCCACACAATACTACTAGTATGGTTAGGTTTCTCAGGAAATATCTGCCCACAGGGAAATACTCCGACTCTCTATAACCAATTAGCAAGAAGAGATATCGAAAATATATGTTTTAAGGACACATGCCCCTCCTTGAATTGATCTGGACACTCTGTTTCACTTGATTCGGTGAAACCCATGTATGCCTGTATTAGAGCCATTATAATGGCTGCAATGCTGTTTCACGTTACCATTTACACATGGATCAGGAAACTGTGCACGGGTAAGAGATGCTATTCCAAATATCTTCATTCCACACTGAACTAAGACTGTGCTCCACAAAAAGAATACGTGTGGATGCAAGGGATTCTCCTGTCTAAATTCCCTTGAACTCTTGATATAACTTTCAGATTCACCTTCGATGAGGATAGAAAATCTTGCAGTTCAGACAACTCATCACCCAATTTATCCATTCCTGCTTGAATCCCATAAAAAATAATGTTCCATTATAATGGGTCCAGCTTGTTCTATTGTAAAAATTTTCAGAATCTGACTTCGCCATCATTGTACCTTCATTATTTTTTTTTATGATGAATTGCTTTACGTACAGTAGTAAAATTGTCCAGAATGTATCATCCCATTACAAATGTACATGATTTTTTATCAATTTTCTCAATCACTCCTTTCAAGATGGGTGTCAACACCTAAGTGACCATTCACAACAGCCATTCAAAAAACTTATAGGTCTAGTCTCAAATCTGTGTGCACGTGCATTAAATACATATTCTATAGATAGATAGATAGATAGAGAGAGAGAGAGAGAGAGAGAGAGAGAGAGAGAGGGAAAGGGGGTGGCTGCATAAAAAGGAGTAATGGTTAAGAGTCGTGTTTTCTCTCTGTTTGGGGCTCTCTCTCTTAAAAAATCCAAGCACAAGAGTGAGAATAATAAAATCCAGTTTGATCCTATTCATGTATGATCATTGCAAAAAAAGATATTTTAATTGATGACAACATGAAACAGAAATTAGCTCTCATAGATCATGTTTTCTCTGAATTCTTATTTCTAAGCAAGCCAACGTTCTCGAAGATTAAGAAGACTTACCTTATGATAAACTGTACAAATGTTGAGATGGCGACAACTTTTGCAGATAGATGGGCTCTGCAATACAAGATTCAAGAGAAAATAAGAGGTACTTAGAAACTGAAAGAACAAAAATTTACCATCTCAATACCCTTAGCATTGGAGGCAAAATCTGAACGGTTGATGCTTTCAAAATGTCAGTTGCAAGCTCATTTCGGCGCATAATTATTCCAATCAAGTCGGACCTTTGAACTTTAATACCCTACATTCAATAACCAGGTCTGTTGAGAAGCAAAGAATAAGGTAGTTATACAGATAAACGTTGTTTCTCTCACCAGTGTTTGATCAGTGTGGAGATAATAAATTAGACCAGAATCAACATCCCTATTTTGATATCTGAAAATTAAATAAAATCCAAGTTGATCACATCTCAGATATCTGAATTAAAGAATTGTTTGAAGGACAGCCAAGACAATTTTTATCTTTAAATTTATAAATATATGAATGAGAAGAAGATGCACAGAAATAGATCTAAAGACTTGGTCCATCAAGACAAACCTTTCGGACATCAGCAATGTGTACAGAATCACCTGGGCCCTATGTTCTATAGCAGCCTGCAGAAAATAAAGAGATACTAAAAGGAAATTAATGCAACTAATTGTCTCGAAGGTGCACTTAAGGGCACATTGGCAGGAAAAAAAACTGGTCCAACAGAAGACGATATGTCGGATACATAAAACAATGGAAATTCATATTTAACACGAAATCAAATACATCCAAAGCAATGGAATCCTAAACGTGCCTGACCAATGGTTGCTTTTCCTGTTTTGAATTCCAAAGGAATAATTTTGTCACTTGCGCCACCATCAAAGGATCCCATCTTTATATGAAGAGATGCATCAATCATTCCTTTTAATCCATATCTTGGGGCCTGTGCCATCTCTTCAATATCCATCACCTGGATTCTCAACAAATATATCATGAAATGCACCAATTCATATTTAACAAAAATAAGAGTATCATTTATCGGTAGGGATTTTAGAGTAACAGTTTAATTTGAACTACAAAGGAATGTACGCAAATTTGCATATCTGAATGATTTGGATGAAGTACATTCCGCGCAGGTCATGATGTGTTCAGTTCCACGGATGATATACATACAAACAAACAACTGAGATTCTTAATGTTTTGGTCGGTTTACGTTACTTAATCCTTGAACATGTTATTAATGCTAATGTGGCCTACTGACCAGATAATACATTATTGGCGCATTATCTGTTCTTAGAATGATTGAAATTCGAACTTAAGCCAAAGCTATGAAAATCCATACTCAAGATAATACAGACGGGATACTAATTTTACTCACCAACTATAATCTGGTAGAAGATCCATGACAAATTCAAAAGGTAACCTTAACCAGAGAGGCAACGAAAACACTACCAAACATTTCTACAGCAGAAAGAGTTGAGAGAGATAACCTATGATCTTCAGGGTTTTAAGCTGCTTTGATGAATACTGTTAGAAGGACGGTTGCAATGAGAATACTGAAATTTCTAAGAATAGTCCAGCACATAGTATATTAAGATTTAATCCTGAATGGGTGAAAAGAAAACCCTGCATTAACCTGCGGAGGGTCATCTTCATGACTGAAATATACAGCAGGTGAGCTTACTCCATGAAAATGTTGAAAGAGAAACCACACATCCGGCTATCTCTATATTATCAACAATTTTCAGCGTATTTACTCTGCCATCTACCAATTTGGAGACAAGAACACATCTTTGCCTTTTTTATTTTGTCCACAGCGCAAGTAATAACACAAATGCTAATTGCTTCTTAACCTTGCAATTAATTAAAAATATTATCCTACAGGAGAACTTTGTGCTCTGTATACAAAGCAAGCAGTTGGATAAAAAAAAATTGCTGAATAAGATTTGAGTACATGGGCAAGAATGTGCAATACAATAACCATACCTCGGTTATGGCAATTGATTTTTCTCCATCATATTGCCCAAAGTCAACCATTGGTTTTTTAGGACCCTAACGAAGAAAATAACAATACTTAGATCAACTATGGGACTTAAAAAAGGATCGAATTAAAAAAAACAGTAAAACATACTTATTAGTGTGCGTTAAAATTTAGAACTAACAGCGGCTAGTGCAGTGCTTTGGAAGCATAGAAAGACCTAAACTTGAGAAATAAAGAGCAAAAGTATCCATAGGTTAGCAAACATTTATGAATTTAAACATGATTCTGATACGACTCCAACACAATATATTTGGGTAGGAGGGGAAAAGAGTCCAAGTCACGAGTGTAAGGGTGTTTTTAGCAAATATCCAGGGGAACTGAGCAGAGAAATAGTGTTCCAATGGAGGGAAAGGGGAGTCTGAGTTTTCTGAGGTTAAGGGGAGAGTGGTGGCCCTCTCGAATGATTGCCAAACAGCTAGGGTTCCGGTGGAGCCCTGTTTATCATTCTCCATCAACTTTTTATTCCTGTGCTTTTGTTCAGTCGATTTTCTATTTGGTTTCTTGCTCGAAATCCGGAGTCGTATCAGATTCAAAGGACACCCTAACGGATCAAGGATAAGAGAAATAATGAAGTGTCCAATAGTTAAATATACTTCTTCATCGAGATAAGATTCAGATGGATCAAGAGAAACGATTAGGAATTGTGAAAGAAATACCTTTCGTCAGCAAACTGTATAACCCCTTTGACAATCAATTGGGTTCGTGTGCGCCAATTAATCTTCTTATGTTTTCATTCCTCTATTATTAACTTATGTGGTCTTCAAGCGGCTTCATCAGTCTTAGGTATTGTCTCAACAAAATCCAACCTTTGAATTTCTTTCACCATCAGTCTCTCTATGCCATATGACAACAAGGTTCATCTGTATCACCTTTCTCCCTAGTTCCTTGAAAAGGCAACATTCACTTATGCACCCCCAGTATTCTGAAAGTTATACATTTAAATGTGTTTCTGTACTCCCTAGTCAAATATATTATTACCAAATATTTAATATATGTATCTTGATGACAAAAAAATACTAATAATATCATAATACACACTAATCATATCACACCGCTGATTCAACTTAATTAAAACATCACATCTAGTGAAAGTAAGAGCTCCTCTTTCCTCATTCGGGTTGCTCCCCCATTATACTGGTTAGCAAGAGGCATCACCATGTGCGAGAAAATAAGGAAGAGTTACTACAAATGTCTCCATTTGCTTGTAGATACTTGATCCCATCTGAGTCAAACCTCAGTGTCAGAGCTAATAAACTTCATAAGTAAATAAAAGACCAGTTCCTACATGAAAATCAGAGTAGTAATATATTTAAATGTTTTAAATGAGAATAGGCAGGTACCACAAGCTAACCTGTCATGGAATATATGGCCACACTCAAGTTAAGAATTGTCAGGGTAAGAAAATAAACTTTATTGACTTCAATATTTTCACTTTGGCGCGTGGAAGTAAAGCTGGAGTAACAAGAAGAACGACAGGTTCAAACATCCAGAAGTGAGATGAAATTTTGGCATCTATATGCTATAAAATTCACTGAATCAAAGGAATGCATGCGTTGTTGCGGTATGGTCGAATAATTTGCCTTAGCATCATCGTAAGTTCAAGAGACACACGACAGTTCAAAATGGAGATGCACATACCTGTTCATCCCTAAAAAGTTTTATCCAATTCAACATTCTTGGAATTTCCCGGACAAGTGTTAGATATGTATCACCTTCACCTACTGCACAACACAAAGACGATGTTCAGGATATACTGGACATTAAAATGTAAGATGGACGATAGCAGGTCAAAAGGTCTGTTTTAGAGAACAAAGTGGGACCATGTCATCGTAGTAGTATAGCATATTCCAAAGTTACTCCAGTGTATGACCTATCTTCAATATTAGAATTTCTGAAACCTGTCAGGTGGGAATCACTCAGTTTTCTGAGATTTTAATTGTTTCTGGTTATTACAAACTCCTCTGAGTGGTTTACGGTATCGATCACAAATGTATCTTCAATATCAGCTCGTTTAAGAGTCCAAAATAAAATATCTCAACCTAGGGACAAAGCAACAACACTTGAAAACGGAATTATCACTTTCCATTTGCACATATTTCATACACCGTCACTTCAACTATCAAACATTCAACTTAGTCCGATAAGTTGCAACAATCCAACGGCAGAACAAAAGATCAATGCAAATTAACCTAAATCAAGGAAGAAGTTTGGAAATGGATTTCTTCAAGTGAGCATTATCAAGACCTATAAAAACCCAAGAGGGCCCACCTCCACAAGCGTATAAGCTCTCAACGTTTTGCTGCAACAGAGCTCCCACATATTCTTCCATGAATGCTCTTGTAGGTGAGTCTTTAAGCAGTCCAGCCTAAAAAAAGAGAGCTGTAGCCTGTTAAACACATCAAAATCACTATCTGACACTCTGGTCGAAATAAAAGCAATAAACCATAGTGAAATATTAATAAAAAGGTGTGTAAAGAATTAACCTGAAAAACCTGATGAAGCAAGGTGCCAATTAATGCAGGTGTAGAATGTTCATTGATTTTTAGTCTCTCATCAAGAACTGATCGCCTTGGGCAGCTGAAACTAGAGGCAACCTAAATTTGATGAAGAATAAAATTCAAGAATTGGAAAAATGTAAAACTCTATGGAAGGCCATTTGATGTGAAATGTCCATCCAACAGCAGAAAGCTGCGTAAATCAGAAACAATTAACAGAAGAATAAAAATTACCCGAGTTCCCGACACAAGTATGTGAGGATGGACAATGATAAGATTGTAATTTCTGTCAATGGTATATCTCTCATGCCCATCGAATTCTCCAATTACATTTACAGTATCACCAGGTCCAATCAAGCTATAGAACCTAAAATAGAGAACATCAACATCAGAAAAAGCTTCACTATTGAAGTGAAATTATTTAGGCATGAGATTGTCTCCACTGAAAAATACAGATAATGCATTATTGAGGACAAATATAAGAAACTTTTGGTCACTTTCATCCGAAAAAGAAATAATGAGATAAACCACCAAAAGAGGGGAGAGTATATGCGAGGGAATGAATGCCATAGAAGAGCGTCTTAAGGGAAAAGGAACAGGAGAATGTCAGCCTGGACGTGCCATTGTTCAACTAGGAAGGCATTATTGGACATGAAATATTAGATCCATAAGCAGAACTATTCATAACTAGAATCAGACCCGTAGAGATCCAGGGTGTTGGGGTTTGTCCATTCTGGAGCACTAACAACAGGCCATGAGCATATGCAGACTTAGATTTAGTGGGACATCCATAAACCACTCATGAACGTCCCTTGCACATTTTGTGGGCAAAGATGTTAGTCTGTGTTGGACATCTATGTCTCCAGACATATATTCCCTATTTCATGTCTCTTGCCACAGACATTAAAACACTGTGTAAGGGAAGGGCATCATGCACAAATTTTGGTGCCACTGATGGACAACATCCTGCGGTACTCATATTCCATTTTAGATAAAAAAAACGATAGGCGAATGAAGGCTCGAATAAAGTAATCGATTCTCTCAATCGAACTATGTACATACCATTCATCACACAAATACAAAGCCTGCTCTTCACCACTCCTTTCATTCAGCAAACGAAGGACCTAAGGCAACGTACACATCAATTAATTTATTAGCTGGAGTATTTTATAATGTGAAACATTTTGTCTTTTAAACGTTTAAAATGGACAAGGGGAAATCTAAAGAGCACCTTCACAGATTCCCGCACATTAGATGAATCAATAGATCTGTGCTCTTCTGTAACCTGTTAAAGACATTAAAAACGCATAATAATCTGTTCTTTTGAATAATATCATAAGTAATCGCACAAAGAGAATACCTCCAGCACAAGAAGGTTTTGACTGCAATAAGCATTATGGTCCATTTCTGCTGATGTATTGATAAATGCTTTATGTTCATCACTTGTGTTGATCTTGCAAGTCCTTTCCATCTGTCCTTCAATTACACATTTTCTGGGGGCTTCCGTTGAGCCATCAATGGCAATTTCACCTTCCACTTGATCTAGGAGCTCAAGCAATGCCTAAAAAATAAAAAATAAAAAATTCGAAATTGTAGTTAATTGACAGAGAAAAAAGAATTTCTTGGAAAACTGGGCATTAAAAGAAAATGGGGTTATAACTTGCAAGCAGTTAAACAAAATCAGAGAAAGACGTTGAATGAAATATTGAGAAGAGCTGCCAAAACCTTTCTATACTCCGTTGAACCTAGCTGATTAGATGCATCGTTACAAGCACCGCTGCCTACAGGCTGATATAAAAAGAATTACGTAAATAGCCCATGAGTGAATCCCATTATCTTTTTTATAAAAAATGTAATAATTTACCTCGAGGGGACCATATGACACTGATGGAGGGGTTCGAAATGTTGTTTGCGACTCCACGGCACTAACTATGTTTGAATCACCATTCTTTTCACATCCATCTCGTTGTGAGATGTCATGGGAAAACGTATTTCTGGAGTATCCCAAAACCTTTCCATCCGCCACCGTTGTTGGAGAGGGGTCCCGCTTCCCGAGCCGTCCCCCAAGAAAAACAGAATTCTGCACACAACTAAACAATTTTAGAGGCTTAGGACCCAATTGGCAGGCAACGTGGCCATAATGCCATATACCCCCAGCGATCGAATAGCAGACCTTCTCTTGTGAACAAGAACGTAGACTAGATATGTTCTGTTTCAAACCAATGGGAGGGACGGATAGTCCGTCCTGCACGGTTTTGGTAGTGAGAGATCGCAGCCTCTGATTAACAGGGGATATCTTCCAGGTCACCTCATCCTCTCCGTCATCCTGACTCTGCTTGATCAACTGCTCTTCAAAAGAAAGGGCGAAATGCCCATAAGCAGTAAGAAGAAGCTAACCAAGCTCATAAAAAAGGAACACGCATGATGGGGAGAGTGAAGAGGGATTCACCATTCTAGGGGAAAATCTGAAGCGCTTGACTGAGACGCCTTTGGTAACCTCTGGCGATATCGGGGATGGACCCTCCTCTTCCGCGTCCTGGGGAGCGGCGGCGGATGGTTCCGGAGGAACCACTCCAGGAGGGGGGGCACATTGACCGCATCCCGCCTCTGAGTCCGCCGAAGAGCTGGCGGGTTCGGAAGATGCGTCTGAAGAAGCGACGGCTGCCGCAGCGGCGGCCTGAGAGTGGCGCTCGAAGAAATGCTGGATGCCAAACTTGGCGGGCTGCGACTGGCGGAGGTTCTGGTTCGGTTTCCTCGACGACGACGCTGAGACAGCTCGCTTCCTCGGGCCCATGGAGCTTCAGAGCTAGGGCTGTCCATCCATGACGTCTGGTCCTTGGTTAGAGCCTGACGGTGTTGAAAGATTTTCCCGCGCTTTCGAGGAGGCAACGAAAGATCAGGAGCCTGACGGTGTTGAAAGACAAACCGATGCCACATCCACTTGATGGACGGCTGTGATACGATATTATCATGGGGACGTCAAAATAGCTAATGGGCCAGTCTTGGAACACTTCACTCTCTCCCCGTCCAGATGGGCTTCCCTGAGGCACTACGGGCCCAATAACTGGGTGCCAAAGCCACCCGCGCCTAGCTGGAGAGGAGGGTTTTTTTTTTAAAATTCAGTCTATCTTGCCATTTCTTATATCCTTATTATATAAATGCCATGATATTAGAAAATATATTAAAATTAAGACTATAATAAAAATAAAATGAAAAATAATATCCTTTAACTTAGTCATTTGTCGTAAATCAGGGATCTAATCCACATCCTAGCTCTGAGGGAGTGACTTCACAAGTAGAACTATAATTTCCTTAAATATCCCTAGAATGAAAAAACACAACATGCTTATTAGAGTATTGAACTTATTGAGTATAGCTAATTGGGCTAGGTTTAAGATCAGTTTTTTAGATGCATATACACTTTTTTTCTACCTATTTTGTCATTAGGTCAGTCGAGGTTTTGCCCATTCAAGTGGGTTGGAGGGTAAAAAGGTGTAATTTTCATTGTCACCTTGGTTCATGAATGGAAAATTATAAAATAATGGGGGCTTCATCTATATGGTTTCTCCCACCTAATGTCTTTGTTCAAGTGGGTGGGTTTATTTCCAACCATAAAAGTTATAACCATCATGAAATTAGAGCAATGGTCAAGTTCATTTTCGGGTTTGTATCAACCCATGAAGGGAATTATCGCCTCTAAAATGCCTCATTATTTTGTTCAGCCCATTTTTGGGACCTAAATTGAAGACTAATCCAAGATCATAATTTGTGTTAAGTTCTTTCTATTAATTTTTCTAACATACAAGGAAAGAGATAATTTTTAATAGGTTCTAGAAATCTTCAAATGACCTAATGTTGGGTCTAGGTACTGAATATTTGCTTGTGGTTTCCAATGAGAGTAAACAATGGGAATTACATCATATCATCAACAACCCTAAAAGTAGATTGGAAATAAGTGGGGGCAAGTTAATCAAACTAACTAGTTAATTATTACATTTAGATGGGGGTTGATTGGAGATTAATAGTTCTTCTTATGTCCTCAATCTTAAACCCATTTAATGATGAAGTCCAACAAAATATCTTGAAGAAGAGTATTCCAAGAGATATGCTGATTGATTAGAAGAAATATATAAATATAGATTTTAATATGTGTCCTATTTATTACATTTTTTGTGTGGCGCAGGTTATGGCGTGAAGATCCTATTTGTCATGATATGGAATAATATGATCTTAATTGATTTGAGATAAGGATTTAAAATGTTAGCTACTAAATATGGAGCACCCTTAATCTTTTCAGCAAGTCATTAAAAAAATTATAAATAAGTGAAGAAGTTGGTAGTGAGTGAAAAATCAAGAAATCACATAATTGAGGTTCTCACAAATCATCAATATTGCATGAAACTAAACCAACACAAGGGAATAAGGATTTAAATCATTGTGGTAAAGATAGTCATGATGCTGAAAAGTTCTTGGTAAGATATTTACAAGGCCAAGGCAATGCCTATTGTCAACATATGATATTGTCCTGTTGTTCATTCTTAGTTCATCTAATAACCCTTATTTTTAAAGGAATTTTATTAGAAATTGTAAAAGCACTGTTTCATATGCTAATTCAAAGTACTAGAAAGTTCCTCTAAGTTTCAACATCCTTTGCAAAACATGTGCCGCTCAAAAAGCCATTAGGGTTATTATTTTTCTACCTAGTTCTTCATGGATTATCTGATTAATGGATGACATATCACATGATTGGTCTCTCAACTATTACTTAACATGATGTCTTGTATTTGAGGTGAGATACATCAACCACTATTAAGAATTCTAATATTACTATTATCATCAACAAAGGCTATTAAAATGATTAAATTTACATTTTTTTATTGGAGGAACAAATAGGTGATTGATAGTAGACAGGAAGCTGGATGATTTTTACTTTTCTATTTAGCCTGAAAATTTAAAATTAATATAGTTAACTAGATAATGAAAGAACATATATGACATGGACACTGTAAAAATGGTAGTTTAATTTTTCTTAGTGTTGAAGAATGAAGTTCTAGGCACAACTCCGTACTACTCAAAAGAGACTATGCATGTACACATGTAGGCATCTATATGTTGTCATATGCAAAACATGCAATAGGCACAAATGCATATAAGAGGCATGTGTTAACATGGAACAACATGTAGAGTGCAAAAGGCTTGAACATGGGGGCACACAATCTAAGTAAATAACACCAAACTTGTGCCAAAAAATAAACACGAGACAAAGTTGTTAATCTCATAAAAACGCTCACATGGAGCATTGTGAACCTCACTAATGAAATTCATCTTGAAAACTTACACTATTAAATCACTCTACTATTAGATTTAAGACCACACTTAGATCAAGAAAATGGGGTTGAAATGATTGATTTTTAATCTTTAATATTGAGTTATCTTGTCTGATTTAGATCTTTTTAGAAAAATATAACTTTTTAGGTTCCACTAAGATCAAGCATTTGATTACATCTATTGAATATCAAGTTCAACTCCTTTAAAATTTCTTCTAAAAATTATCTTCTAGATTTATGGCTATATGAGGTTAACAATTGATTAAGAAGTTCAGCTTCCTCAAGTAATTAAGCACATTAATCATAAGTTTATCTCACAAATGGCGATAACAGATTTCATTGTGAGATGTTTTCTAATGATGAATTTGACTTTGAGTGCTCTCATAATTTCAATGAAGTAGATAATAGTTCAGATTTAAATATTTGATATCCTCTTCTTGTAATAATATTGATGAAATACTAATGACATTTTAGCTTGACTTAGGTCAATAAAAAACTTTGAATGCTTACATGCAGTTTTACAAAAAATGAAACCTCAAGTACAAAAGTAATCTTGTTATGGCTCTATTTTCATAAGACAAACATAAATTTGAATGGTTGGAAACTAATACGATAGGTTCATTAAGAGTTTGGATATCTTTAGGGGGGAAATCAATATTTAATTCCATTAAGACATAACATACATACTCAAATTGTGTTACCTTAAATTAGTTTGATAAAGATTTAATATTGCAAACACATAGTTGATGATACATGTATTGGTGAAGTAATGATTTAGTAGTCAAAGCTGATCCAAATCACCTTAAATAAAATGATTCATAAAGAATCATGATCTCATTCAAAAAAATTATACCTATCATAATTCATAATATTTAAAATTAATTTTGGAAATACACTTGTTAATATTCAAAAAAGCTGTGCAACATAATCAACTAAATATGATTTTGATCTATTAATTTGATGTTAAATATATTTGAATGTATTAATATAAATACGTGGGTACACAATAGATTGAATCAACTTTCATACACATTTTATTTTATAAATTAGTATTGATTTCAATGTCTTAGTCACTCAATTTCTCATTGTGATTTGTCCATAAATATTGACAATTTTAGCATCAATATGTAAATGAATAATTCTATTGAATGAAACCAATTTAGTAAATAAATTACTCATCATAAGTCATAGGTATATTCATTCTTTTATTGTCATTTAATAGAACTATTTTGAATTATATCTGAACACTTTCATATTTAGCCTCATATCAAGTATATTTAGAATTAAATACAATTGATCTTATAATTATTTAACATCATCAGAATATCATACATTCAATGCTACAACACCTATTAGACCCCATAGTTCCACCAACAATCTTATGTTATATAATATTAACATGTCCCACCAAGAATTAAGGTAAGTTAATAATATTAAGCCAACTTTGGGTCCATTAAGTATGTACCCTTCATAGCATTACTCTAGGGGTCTAGGGGTCCCTTGGCGTCTTTTCTGCTCGATCTATTATCTCCTCAATCTCAACATCTAGGGTAGCCAGGTGTTGCTCCATCCTCACTACAATCTATGGAACTCTTCGGTATTTCTTTAGAAGGCTTTGCAGATTCTGATATATTCTCCATTCCTGTCTAACTTGTTCATCCTCAATGCCATAGTCTGTGGGAAGAAATAACCTTCTATGATGCACTCAGTGCCAGGTTAGGTTCCTGTTTCTCTTGCAGGGCTGACTCATGAAGGTCCTTTACCTTGGGGACCTTTGCCCGGTTTGCTGCTGCTTTGGTCGTCCTCTCCGAGCTCAGGTAACCTTCAACTGATATGCCAAAAAATAAAGAAGCTCTTCAGAAGGAAGTACCTCAAAAGATTGAAGCAGTTTAAGTTCTTCGCACCTTGCCATTCTAGCACAACTTTCTGCTCACCCTTGATCATCTTCGGGTATTGGTCTATCCGAGAATCTTCTAGAACCAGTTCTTCCACCTATGTCAGACAATAAGCTTCAGATGAAAGAACACCATGAAATATAATCATCCCACGAAGCTTTGACTAGTCCCTTCTTTCTTTCCATCTTCCTCTTTCATCTTGACGAGCGCCTAAGTGAAACCCTAACCAAGTGCCATCAATACTGGGGACAAGAGCTCGACAGTAGGTACTTCTTTCACATGAAGATATGGGTGCACAGGGGATTGCACAAGGGTATGTTGCAGTAATTAAGATTCAAACTAAAAATAAAAAATATTGGAGGTTATGTACCTTTTTCCATAACACAGGGTCTTTCCTTTCTCGAGGCAGAAGTAGATGATCACGGAGCCAAGAGAAGCCAACCCAAGGTTCAACTCCAGAGTGTATGCTCTTTGCAGTCAACGCACTCTCTCTCAGGATTTCACATACCTATTTTGCGGGAATATGACTTAAAAATTCGAATAAAAAAATATACTTGAAACCAAATAAGGATAGAAAATATGTGCACGATTGTATGTTGCACAAGGGAATTCTGTACATAGATGTCTCTCCCTCAATAATGAGGACCCGACTGAAAGTGTAGACACCCTTTTTCTAGGGTTTCACAATCTTTGGTGTATCAAGGACAATAACATTCAAGTATAATAACTAGAGTTGAAATCTTGGAATAGATATTCAATGGGCTCGTTTCTTAGATGTTCTAAATGCCTTAGTTATTGTCTCCAAGTTTCCAAGGGATGGATCTCCTAAAATAGGACGCATTGATAAATAACTGAGAGGCACCGGAGTCGTCCAAAGCTGAATTCGAAGCAAGCTCTAGTTATCTTTGGAGTTTATTCCTCCTGCAAGAGGCTTCTTCCTAACGAAGTTTCAGCTAGGGCTCCTACGTAATATGTATCAATTGAAAGCTCATCAAAATGAGGATTCAAGTGACTTTGGACCCTTCCCCATGAGGGTAGTAAATGAAAATACTAAGGTTGTAACCCAAATCCATAGCAGAAGAAAGCTTTAGTTGAGGGCAAAAGCCACAGTATAGGAAGATATGGGTGGGTTGCATACTAAAAAGGCCAAGTTTGCAAGGGATGGATCACCTATAAACGGACTCAGGAAACAATAGTAAGAAGCATTGCGAAATAACTAATTATTGTGGTCTATATTGATTGATGCTAAACACTTCCCCCACCCCACAGAGGAGGAAAAAAAAAAAAACAGAATAGATGACTGCAGGAAACAAATTATACCTGCTCATAAAGCTGTTCAGCTCTGGATGAGATATATTTCTTTCGCCGTATCCTCAATGAAAGCCAAATTGATCCAGTTATCTGAATCCAAAAGACAATTAAACTGAAAATTAATATTTTCTTTCAGACATGTGATCAGCAAAACGAAGAAAAGGAACACCCAAAGACACAGAGACAACGTGCTTGGCGTTTTGTCATATGCTAGCGTACCAAAAACGAAACTGGAGCCAAAAGCAAGGCATTTTTGCGGATCCACTGTCGAATCTGGCAAGAATATGGCTTGTGGAGCTCCACAAGAGAATCTGGACACTTCACGTCCTTCGTTCTTAATATTAAAAGGGAAATGGAGATTTAGAACTTCCTTTAAGGAAACAATTGGGGTTAAAATGAAGAGTGTTGGCGTACTGTCTGTACACTGATGGTCTGATAAACTGGCAATGTAAATAAGATAGAAGAAGGGGATACCCATCAAATGAAATCCTTATCTCTAGGGAGCTTTCAGCAGCTTTTATAGCTTTTTGGTTCAGAAGAATCCAGGTGTCGTTCTCCAATCCGCCTGCATCCTTAAGTCTGTGCTCATCAAGCATTTTCAATATATCTGCTTCTGGAAACTGAGAGAAAGCCGTGCTCCGTAAATGCAGATTCTAATCAGAATTTTTTTCTAAAAGCTCCATACTATGAAATAATAGTCAAAATTAAAAATCAAGGCCATGGTGACAGACCCAGATTATCCCCGTCTCATAGCACAGAACCTGAGCATACCCTCCACAAGTGTAATCTTCAATCAATTCTGTCTGCATTTTGTGAACCAATGTAAGAAAGATTCAAGATAGTAACCCAACAACAAACTACCGATCTTTGCAAGCAGCATGGATTTTTTTTTACTTACGAGTCTCTCCACTTTTTGATTTATTTCTCCATCTTCAACGCATCTCCTGCCTTTCTTTTTGTAACCAAGGAGACACTCCCACCTGCCTCTGATGCACTCCCCATGGTCAGGACAAGGCTCACAAAAATCTACAATATGTTATTTCAGGTTAAAAAACTGTTATCATCAGAGTTTAAACCAAGAAAAATCGAAGGACACGCGATATAAGGGATAAATGGTGTCAATATATCAACTGTAAGACAACGTCGTCTCTTTTATGCAATGCTTACTCGATTACCACATTGAGGAGGACAAGGTTACTCGAAGCCTGGTGGAATGCTGTCATCCCATTCCCAAAGGGTATTTCGTGATGAACTCATCCTCCTATTAGTGGTTCCTAAATAATATAGGCAAAAAAATTTTATTTCCCTGCATATTTCCTTACCTAGAGAACTCCCTTTGGGTAGCTACTCAAAACTTTAAGGGGTTCATCACTATATCAGCAGAGATCCGTATCTCCCCCAGTTTTTTGGAGCACCGAACAACTTAGAGAGAGAGAAAGAGAGAGGGTGAGAGAGAGAGAGAGAGAGAGAGAGAGAGAGAGAGAGAGAGAGAGAGAGAGAGAGAGAGAGTTTATGTAAACGAACTGACCTTGGGGATCGTCACCACTGTCGCAGAAGGGTCTCTGCTGGCGACGACGAAAGCCGGCCACGAAGTGGCAAGCGACGGCCACGGATGCGGCTAGGACAACCACCATGAAGACCCTGAAAACCTCATCCCTGGACGGAAAGAGGCCCGGAGGTGGCTCGTCCAAGAAACCGAGCGGTGGCCGCGACGGCCGGCGATCCCGCCCAGCCTTAAGATTCTTCTTCCTCACCGACGACATTTCTCCAGAAGCCTGCGAGGACTCTCACCAGAGAGAGAACGGAGGCCGTTATGTGGGTTTAGTGACAGATTAATTGGGCTAATTGGGCCCAATTGTTTGGCTCATCTAATTTGTTCTGGAGAGTGTAATTGCCAGGACTAGTTGGAGCTATGGGCCTATTTGGACTGACACGACCTTTGCTTTGGCTGGATCCGGTCTGACAATCCACCACGTGGACCAATCGTGAGCGAGTGGTATTTGTTGGCGGATCGTACGAATTGTTGGTATTTCGGTCGTAAGGCTGGTCGTCTCTAGGTTAGGATCATCAGGCGAGAGATTGCCAGTACTAGTGGGGACTAATGGGCCCTAATTGGGTTGAGACAGGCTTTACTTTGGGTGCTCGCAATCCAGCAATCGTTACGTGAACCAATGGTGAGCGAACAGTTTTCCAGCAGAGCGTGGTAATCAGTGGGGCTAATGGGCCCTTGTTGCGCTGAGTCAGGCTTTACTTTAGCAAGGCCCGGTCCCACAATTCACGACGTGGACCAATGGTGAGCGAACATCCGTTCAGGCGAGATTTCCAGAACTGGTGGGGGGCTAATGGGCCCTAATTGGAACCAGACCAATAAGGCGGGCTTTAGGGTCACCCAAGGGATAACGGTCTGGTTTGCGTTCGACCGAGTCGGCTCGGTGAGTTGCGACTCGTGAGAACGGGTGGCAGAAGCTTCGTCTCTGCCGAGGCAGGCATCCTCTTCCTCCGCCGCTCCTGGGAGAAGATCTCTGCGGGGGATGCCGACGCGCCCTGGAAGAAGATACTTCCTCTGTGAGTTTCAGAGGAGGCGAAAGATGAGGAGAGGAAAGTTTACGGGATCTGTAGAGAGAAGTTCCAGAGAGTTTTCGGATTGGAGAGGATCCATCTATGGTGGGGAAAATCTTACCTCATTGTGGATTGAAGCCTCTTTCCGGTGTCTTTTCGAGAAGAAAACAGATGCGGAACAATCTTTGAAGATTGTACGCCATTTGCAGAGCTGAATCCGGCATGGCGTCGAGGATCAGGAGCCTCCTCTGGGCAGGCCCCAAGGCCGTCGAAGTAGCAGGATTACAGCGCCTGTTGCAGAAATGCGCAGCCGAGAGGAGAATTATCGAGGGAAAGTGCTGCCATGGGGCGTCTATCCATGCTCAGCTCCAGGACGACACCCTCACTTCGAACATCCTCATCAATATGTACTCCAAGTGCGGTCTGATCCGTGAGGCTCGCCAAGTGTTCAACAGTATGCCTGCGAGAAGTATAGTCTCATGGAACTCCATGATTGGTGGGCTCATCGACCTCGGGGAGGAGGAAGAAGCCCTGCGGGTCTTCTCCTGCCTGCATCGAGAAGGGACTCCCCTGAGCGAGTACACTCTGTCCAGCGTTCTCTGTGTGTGCGCTTCCTTGGCGGCCGTCGCCCAGAGCAAGCAGCTGCACTCTCTGGCGCTGAAGATCGACATGGCCGGCAACGTCTTCGTGGGAACCGCGCTGCTGGACGTCTACGCCAAATGTGGGATGATCGAGAAAGCCATGCTGGTGTTCGACGGAATGCCTGACAGATCTTCCGTCACTTGGAGCTCCATGATCGCTGGGCTGGTGCACAACCATCGCCACGAGGAAGCCCTGCGGGTGTTCCAGATGGCCCAGAAGGCAGGAACGGAGTACACACCGTTCACCTTCTCCGCTGCGCTCAGCGCCTGCTCGAGCCTGGCGGCGTCAACGGAGGCCGTCCAGCTGCACCCAATACTGGTGAAGACTGGTCTCGAGCTCAATCTCTTCGTCGCCACCTCCCTTATCGACGTATACGCGAGGTGCGGGCGGATCAAGGAAGCGCACGCCGTCTTCGCCTTGGCGGGGGAGAGGAGCGTCGCGGTTTGGAACGTCATGATCACGGGGTTCTCCAAGCACGCCTGTGCGAGGGAGGCCCTGATGCTGTTCGAGAAAATGCGTCAGTCGGGCGCTCGCCCCAACGAGGTGACCTACGTCGCCGCTCTCTCGGCGATGGCGCGCGCAGGCTCGGTCGATGAAGGCCGGCGCCTCTTCTCCGCACTGCTGGAGGACGAAGCCGTCCGCCCCAACGAGCTCCACTATTCATGCATGATCGACGCCCTTGGCAGAGCGGGGCGGCTGCGGGAGGCCTTGGGACTGCTGCGGACCATGCCATTCTCCCCCACTACCGCCATGTGGGGCTCCCTGCTCGGCTCCAGCAGGATCCACGGGGATCTTCGCGTGGCCAGGCTAGCCGCCGGCCGCCTCTTCGAGATGGAGCCAGGCAACGCCGCGAACCACGTCCTCTTGTCGAATCTCCTCGCCGCTGGCCGACGGTGGGACGACGTCGCACGGACGAGGAAGCTCCTCAAGGACAGCGGCGCGAAGAAAGCGCCGGGGATGAGTTGGATCGAGATCCAGAACCAGATCCACGCCTTCGTCGCCGGCCACCGGAGCCACCCCTCGATCACCGAGATCCACGCAAAGCTGGCGGATCTGGAGGCGGAGATGAGGAGATCCGCCGCCTACGATGCTGAGAGCCACCACGATCTCCACGACGTCGACGACGACGAGAAGGACGAGCTCCTGAGGCACCACAGCGAGAAGCTGGCCCTGGCGCTAGGGCTCCTCCGCCTCCCGCCGGGGCCACCCGTCGTCATCCACAAGAACCTCCGCGTCTGCGGCCACTGCCACTCCTTCATGAAGCTCGCGTCGGCGATCACCCGCAGAGAGATCGTCCTCAGGGATACCAACCGTTTCCACCATTTCTCCCGTGGCCATTGCTCCTGTGGAGACTTCTGGTGATCCATCCCCAGCTTTCCCCCTTCCCATCTACCATATATATACCTGCTCCTGCCACTCCATCTTCATGATCGTTTGGAATATGATTATCTGCCTGTAATTCTCATCTCTCTCTCTATCTCATACTCTCTCTTTCTCCCTCTGTTGCTCTCTCTACCTGTCTCTTGTCCTCTTTGTTGCTCTCTTTATCTCTCCTTTGCTTTCTCTATCTCTCTCTTGTTCTCTTTGTTGTTCTCTTTATCTCTCTCGCTCTCTAAATCGGAAAAAAGCCGTCAAGAGTGAGTATATGTACAAATAAAAGTATTTACATGTTAATTTGAAAATTTTCATATCCTCGTGTTATACAACCAAGTCATATTTGTTAGCAAGTCAACATCTATTTCACTTCGAGAGGACATCGAGAGGAGGCGGCGGCAGACTCTACCGACCTCCGACAGGGATGGATTTCGTGGAAGAGGAATCGCGCCCGAGATTCGTCCTCCACTCGCGGGCCCCCGCCGCCGCCGCCTTGCCCGCCGGCGAGACGACGCCCGAGGCGGTCGGCAAGGCCCACGCTGCCGCCTGCGTCGCCGGCGCCGCCGTCCTCTTGTTCGGTGCCTTCTACTTCTCCATTCAGTCGCAGACACTGGTAGGTCTCCTTGTTTGGATCTCGATCTCCCTCCTGGTTGGTCCCTTCGCCCCCACCTCCATCACCGGCGGCGACATCCGTGTCGGCGCCGGCGAGATTCTCGAGCCGCCGGAGGAGCGCGAGGAGCCGAAGAAGCGTATCCCCGGGCCCAGAACGAAGGCTCGGAGATCGGAGGACTTGGCTTCGTTTTCCGCTTCTCCGGCCGCCGGATCCGTCCCCCCTATCGTGAGGAAGAGGGAGGATAGTAATGGAGTGTCTGCGCATGAGAAGGAGAGAGGATCGGGGGAAGCAGGAGAGAGCGAGTGGAACGAGGACGACTTTGAGATCCTGAAGAAGCAGATCGCGAAGCATCCGGTGGGGACGCCGAGACGTTGGGAGCTAATCGCGGAGGCCTTCCAGGGGAGGCATGGTGTGGAGAGCGTAATCAGAGAGGCCAAGGCCCTGTCGGAGAAGAAGCCAGGGGATTCGTTCGCTCAATTCCTGAGGCAACGGAAGCCACTAGACAAGCGAACAGATGCTACGAATCCAGACTTTCCAGAAGCACTCTCGTCAGATAAGGGGGAGCCCGATGCCGCCGATCTGAATGGTGGTGGGGCCGCGATCTGGAGCCATGGAGAAGACATCGCTCTGCTTAATGCTCTCAAGGCATTTCCCAAGGATGCTCCTATGAGGTGGGAGAAGGTCGCCGCGGCCGTGCCCGGAAAATCGAAGGCAGTATGTATTAAGCGGGTCGCCGAATTGAAGAAAGATTTCCGGAGCGCGAAGGCTTCGTAATCATGGCGGCGTGACTCCCACGTCTTCTCCATGTTGTTATGTTTGCAGATTCCTGAGGGTATTTCTTTCGCCGGTATACCATTCTTTCTTCGACATCAACTATCTTCTGAGGATATCATAGTTTTCTCCGGTCTGCTCTTGTCAGTTTCTAGCATTAGTTGCCCAAAATTGAAAACAAAAAAGTGATTGGTTTCGTGCTACTTCTGATCTTTGTTCCTGATATATTCTCATTAAAATTCGCTATGTAATTGAGCATAATCAATCCGCATTCTCTCCTGTTGAGGGAATCAATGCGCCAAGGAACTCCAAGAATGTATTTCCGGTTTGATCATTTTTGATTATCAATGATGTTTGAGAACTCAGAATTTCATCTCCAAACTATTTATGTGCACTTCTCAACGCTTAAAGCTTTTGTGTGGCATCGACAGAATTACGGCCAGATGACAGAGCAGTCTCTAAGTTTCTCTAAAACCCCATGTACCAACACCAGTGGAGACAGTCTTCTGTGTCCCAACAATCTCTCTCTCTCCCTCTCTCTCTCTCTCTCTCTCTCTCTCTCCTCCCTGCCCTCGTGAGCACAATTTTGGGGCAATTGCAGCAAGAATCTCGCTTGTCCTTTTTATGTTACCTTGCAATGCTTCTTCTCCTCCAATGTTTATAATTCTGTCTCTGAGCAGATGGGGGACCTTTCTCCGTCATTTTGTTCGAATTCGATTATTTTATTTTACACTACTAATCAAAAGAATGCCAATGATCTTCTTGCATTATATATACAATGTATTCTCTGATACCCGTTTCCAGAAGATTCCACGAAAAACTTCTGAATGATCAAATTGCCCTGTGATGGGTACCTGAGAATCCATACACAAGTATTGTCTTGCTTGAAGATTTCCATTTAAGCAATCTTTCCATTGAAGAGCAGGACGGTGACCCTTCACACAGAAGATCCAGAAAAAGGAATTGTGCCTTGTTTGGGCATCAATCTCGCTGGGGACTCAGAACCATCAGACAGAGGAAAGGTTTGCTTCTCTCAGCCGCTTCCTCAGCCATTCGGGATTTTTTCGTGCCACTTTCCTCAGATATGAAAACTCTCCATCGCCTGGCCCTAGCTTCAAAGATTCTCCCATCTTTATCTAGTATTAATCAGTGTATAGTTCCATCTAACTGTGTTGTGTATGATGGGTTGGATAAATGCATCATTCCCTAAAGTTCAAGATCTAACCATGTAAGATTATTACGAAAGAGTGATCAGGAACCAGGCATTTTCCTAGAGAACAGGATGAGTCAAGAGGTCTTCTTTCAGAGCTTAATGGTTCCGGAATATGAGGTACTGATTCACTAGAAACATTGAACCTTGCTCAGGAAAAAAAAAAAAAAATCAAAAATGTCTGCCCTACTGTTCTTGGCACACAATTTAGATGAACAATTGATCTTGATGCCCACTCTCTTCCATCCCCCGTTTTCGTAGTCTGAACTTATTTTCGAATTTTTACTTCAGATTTTTATTATTGTCAGATGCTAACTTTTTCCTTCTGAAAGTAATCCATCAGATCATATGAAGATCTCAAATACTCAGGCTTCAATGGTTTGTCGCGTTCCAAGGGGCGATTTATTCATACATTTTACTTATTAGATGGAGAGAGAGAGAGAGGGAGGTGAAATAAAGTATATAAGTCTCTAATGGGTTTTTTAGAATTAACATTAAATTTTGATTTAATATATTCTTCATAAGTTAATAAGCAATATTTATTAGGTATAAAACTTTGCACTTGAATATAAAAATTGTATATGAGTCTCAAATGGGTACGGGAATATATTTCTGGTCTTTGAATAAAGATCCTCCCTTGGGAGGGAAAGCAAGCATCGGGGACGAAGAGGATCCGCGCGTAAACGGCATGGCGCTAGCGCCGGCATCCTCCGCCTGGCGCTGGCGCAGTCGCGCCGTTCCCCCCCGCACGCCGCCGCTTGCCGTCGTCCTCCGCTCTTCTTCCGGCGGCTACGAAGCTTCTCCCCGTGCGTTGCGTTGTTCGACGACCCCCGCTCGCCTCTCTTGGTTCTCGTCCCTCCCGGGCGTGAGCTTCCCGTCCTCTGCGACGGGGCTCAAGGGGAACCCCTCCCCCCTCCTCCCGCCACCTCGGGACCCTCAGGTATGTGCCAGATCCTTGCGGCTCATCGTCTACGAACTCCGCCCCATTTCCTCCCGCACTCCGCTTCAATTCCGCACAGAGTATTCTATCAAAGTTAAAACCCTATGATTCAGTCTGAGAAAATCTTTATGAGATTACACCACTGAGGACTTCTCCTGCCCCTGGAATGCGCAGAAGCTTTCGGAGGAAGAACTCCGCATGACATGACATTTTAGAAAGATATATGCAAAAACATCTAGATTCTGATAAATTCAGTCTAATTTCTGTTCTACTTGGTTTTGGATGAGGCCCAGAAAGATGCTGCTACTGATCATCCACCAGGGCCGTGCGATGTGATTATGGAGAAAGTAGGAAGCCCCTTTGGCTATTGAATCCTGTGGGATATCAACTCCAAGTGCCCAGATTCCACCATGAGGTGCATGCCATGTTGAACGAATCAGTGCTTCTGGCGGCATGTTTTATAGAACGTTTTTTGCTTGAATTGGGCCTCTCACCTTAGAATCTGCCTCAAATTTTTTGGGATAATTTGTGCCTAAAGTAGTTATGAACTGAGGGATTTACTGAAGTCAATTCTCTGTAGATTTGAATAATTTTGCTACGATTGTGGAAAGTGTCATAATTTTGGTGAAATTATCATACAGTTTGTTCTTCTATGAAATCTTAAAGGATCCTTTTGTAAATGAGTTCCTGTGTAATATATACTGGTCGAGCTAAAATATTGCATAAAGTGGCAATGATTAGATCTTAATTTATCTTTCTCCTGACTGAAATTGTGTCACTATTGTGGTAACTAGCATACTTTTTGGCAAAACCATCGTACCCTTTGCCCTTCTATGGAACATCCGATGATCTAATCGATTTTTTATTTTTTATTTTTTGAGCTGAAAACATTGCCATAAGCAGTATTTATCCTGAGCAAATCGTCCCACTCCTCTGGAATCTATAATACTTTTGGGTGAAATGATGATGATGTAGTGTAAACGATTATCTGCTTCATATGTTTTTCAAGCTAAACATTGGCAAGATGGGTCATCATCGGTTCTTCATTCACCCTTCTCCTGCTCAAATGCCGCAGCTGGGCATCACGAGGGCCGCGTGGACTCGGAGGTCGCGGAGCGAGACTTCCAAGAAGCCGAACAGGAAGTCATGGAAGCAGCGGACCGACATGTACATGAGGCCCTTCCTGTTGGACGTTTTCTTCTCCAGAAGGTTCATCCATGCGAAGGTGATGCACAGAGGGACCTGCAAGGTGATCTCAGCGGCCAGCACTAATGCCGACGACATGCGGAACTCACTGCCTTCCCTGGTAGATGATGATGCTTGCAGGACCGTCGGCCGGCTAATCGCCGAGAGATGCAAAGAGGCCGATGTCTTTGCAATGGCTTATGAACCGAGGAAGAACGAGAGGATCGAAGGCAAGATCGGGATCGTCATCGATGCTATCAAAGAGAATGGCATCATCTTTGTGGAATAGGGCTTCAATAGCCTTGTTAGAGTGAAAAATGGCATTTTTTTGAGGTATCATATGAGGAAGAAAATGGCATCATGAGAGTTATTTTTTTTGCTAAAAATGGTATTTATATACAGTAAGCAAATGGCATGATCTTGCTGGAATTGGACCTCAATAGCCTTGTTAGAGTAAAAAATGGGATTTTTTTGAGGTATCATATGAGGAAGAATATGGCATCATGTGAGTTATTTTTTTGCCAAAAAGGGTAATTTGTTATATATATAGTAAGTGAATGGCATCATCTTGGTGCCCATGACTGAAGGTATTTTGGGAAAATGGCACATATAGTGACAGAACAGAATGCTCATTTGAGTCTAATGTTACTAAAAAAAAGGGGTTTCTAGGTTACTGAAAACCCTAAAAAATATTTTCAGGTACTGAGAGGAGCTTAGTGGGTAAAGAAGACTAGAGAGATCAAGCTGATCCAAGCTGGTACCCACATCATGAAGATTTGAGCGTTGACTGGATTTGCTTTTTTAGGGCTTTGGGCTTTTTTAATGAGCCCGGGCCCTCCCTAGTCTGGCCCGGTGGCACTTTTCTGTCGTAAATAATGAGCGATTTTTCACAGCTAAAGAACTATATTTCTAAGGTGGCATTTACTTGAGAAAGAAATCACCTCAAAAAGTAAGGGTCCGAATTTTACGTAGACCGCGGTTCAGTGGTCCGCTATTTCGACTGAGTAATTGTGCGCCACGTGGCGAGTGAGATGGACCGGCGGTCCAGTGGTCCGCCCGGGTTTTTCTCCTCTCGAGATGGAAACGTAGATTTCGGTGGGTCTGAATCTCCGCCGCGCCGCCCTTCTCTCTCCCCGTCCACCCACCCACGCCCGCGCCGCCGCTCCCAAATGCTTGTGGTGCTCACTGTCGAATCATGCCCCTGAAGCTCCTACCATGTAAGAGCTTCCTCACGAAGTCCAGATCCTTCCTCCTCACCACCATTTCCGCCGCCGATGCTTTCAGAGCTCACTCCACCACCACCATCACCACCGCCGCCGCCACAGCCGCCTCCTCTTCCCCGCTTTTGAAACCTCCTTTCTCCATTTCCTCGGCCGCTGGCGCCGACCTCGATGCCGCTCTCATCTCCTCCTCCTTCAAGGAATGGTTTAAGAACGCCTCTACTCACACGGTCTTCGATCGCATCTTCGAGGTCCTCGCCGCCTGCGCTGACTCTGAGGACTCCACCATCGATCGCGCCCTCTCCGCTCTTTCCCTGCGGCTCGACGAGGCCTTCGTCATCCAGGTTCTCCACCATTCCCCCAGGCTCTCCGATGCCACCAACAGTTCCAGCGGCAACAACTTCCTCCTCCTCCGGCTCAAGTTCTTCGACTGGGCTGGGAGGCAGCGGGGTTTCCGACATACCCGCGCCACATACCACGCCATCTTCACGCTCCTCTCTAGAGCCCGCCTCATGTCTGTCATCCACGACTGGCTACAGTCCTTCGCCGCCACGCGCCAGCAGTTGCCCAATCTCTTCTTCCAGCGCCGCCATATCCGCTTCCACGAGATCCTTGTTGTTGGCTATGCTGTGGCAGGCAAACCGGAGATTGCACTCCAGGTGTTCGGTCAAATGCGCTTCCAGGGCCTCGACCTCGATGCCTTCTCCTACCATGTGTTACTCAATTCCCTCGTCGAGGAGTCTGCCTTCGATGTGGCTGACACCATCTTCTCCCAAATTTCTTCTCGTGGTCTCTACTGTCCCTTCACCTCCTGTATCCGTATAAAGAGCCTCTGCAAGCAGAATCGGCTGGACGAGGCCATTGCCTTCCTAAGGGAGCTCGACGTGGAGGGCCCGGAGCACCGGTCCATGACTGATCACACCACCGGGATCATCGTCAATGCCCTGTGCAAGCAGCGGAGGTTTGAAGAGGCGAGCAAGCTCGTGGAGGAGTTGGGGACCGCTCGCACCTATGATGTGTGGATTCGAGACCTAATCGACGCTGGTAGAACCAACAGAGCTTTGGATTTCCTCAGTAGCAAGAAGGAATCGGAGGGTTACACGCCGGATGTCGTCTTCTACAACAAACTCTTATGTCAGCTCCTGAGGGAGAACAAGCTGGATAAAGTCTACGAGGTTCTTGTCGAGATGAGGGATGGGGAAATCGCCCCTGACAAGATCACCATGAACGCTGCTCTCTGCTTCTTCTGCAAAGCTGGTATGGTCGACGTGGCACTCATGCTCTACAAGTCGAGGATGGAGTTTGGCCTCTCGCCCAACAGCCTGGCCTTCAACAACCTGATCAACGCCCTCTGTGCTAAGGACGACGTAGATGAAGTTTATCAAATGCTCGAGGATTCTCTGGAACATGGGTATTTCCCTGGGAAGCAGACATTCTGGGTCCTCGTGGGCGTGCTTTGCCGAAAGGGGAAGCTGGATAAGATGGGGAAGCTGCTCGATGTGGCTTTGCAGAGGGATCCCTCGTCGATGACTCCTGCCTGGTCTCATTACATTGCGGCCTACATAACTGCACTATGCAATGCTAACAGGCCGGAGGAAGGCTATTCGGTGCTGCAGAAGGTCACCACCTCAAAGAATCCCCAGAACAGCTTCGTATTCACCAGTTTGATTCGTGGGTACATTTTGCTCAGACGGGGCGACATGGTCTGCAAGCTATTTGTGGAAATGCAAGATTGCGGTCACTCCCCAAGTCGGAGTCTGTACAAGGAAGTCATATGTTTTTTATGTGACATGGGCAGCTACGAGCAGGTGCTGAACTTATTGGAGACCCAACTGTCCCGGCAGAAGCCAAGCCCTCGAATATGTTACAACTACTTCATCTATGGAACTGGGTGTGCAGAAAAACCCGAGCTGGCAATGGAGGTGCTTCGCCATATGAAGAGTGCTGGGATCGAGCCAAATACCGACACTTATATTGTGATGTTGAGCAGTTATTTAAAGAGCCAACGTATTAGTGATGCACTGAATTTTTTCTATGGATTATGCAAGGAGAGGGGACCCAGCAACAGACTTTACAATCTCCTGATTGCTGGTCTCGCCAAAGCTCAGAAGCTGGATCAGGCCCTTTTCTTCTGGAAGGAAGTTAGGGGTAAGGGGCTGGTCCCATCCCTCCAATGCTACGAGGAGCTTGTTCTCTCATTCTGCTCTGCTGGTGATTATTATAACTTGATGAAAATTCTTAAGGATTTTGAGGACACAGGTAGACAAATTTCTCCTTTTATTTGTAATTTGCTGCTATTGCACACTTTGAAGAATCCCCAGCTTCGCCGAACATGGGAACTAGTGACTTCAAGTGAGGCAGAGGCCAAGTCAGATGGTGTGGAGAGTGAGGCCAAACATTCGAACCGTCTGATGCTTGGCCAGCTTATCTCTGCATTTTCTTGTGGAATTAGAATCAAAGAACATCTTCATTGTTTGGAAGAAGTGGTTGAGAGGTATTTTCCTGTTGATACCTTCACATACAACATATTGTTGAGAGCGCTTAGTATGGAAGGGAGAATGGATTATGCATGTGAGTTATTTGATAGAATCAGCAAGAAAGGGCATCAACCAAACCGGTACACATATGACATTATTTTGCACGGCTTGTGTAAGCAAGGTAAGAAAGAAGAAGCAGAGGTATGGAAGAATAAAATGATATTGAACGGATTTTATCCAACGTGGTACACTGTGGAGTTGTACAACAGCACAAAGTGAAGGAATGAAACTGATCTTTGTGATGTTGCTTCGATCAGTGTTCTAATCATCGGCGTTCATGGTTCAATTCCTCACAGTAGACATCATAAGCAGGTTATCCTCGCCCTTTCCAAGCCTTTGATATTTTATACCTGCTTTTGATGTTGTTTTCACAAATAAGATCCATTCCTACTGGACTGAAATATAAGACAGAAAACTACAGGAATCGTGGGCAGGAATCACTCAAGATGAAAGGAAATTATCCAGATTCACGTAAGAACCCTAAGGTAAATATAAGAACTGTAGGGTCCTCATATTAAACCCAAAACCATTTTCTGTATTTTTGGAGAACCAAATAACAGTTGGCGATTTTTTAAGCAATTTAGCAGTTAAGATATTTAAGCGACTTTAGGGTTAGTGAATATGCCTGACTTGCATGTGGAACATATGGTGAAAGCACTAGATGGATTAGAACATGTAGATCTTGCAATTCTTTTTCGTCTAACGGTAGATTAAGGACTAGATCATCAAACGATGAATATGCAAGAGGAAAGGGAGAGGTTCATGAGCACATAAATCTTTGACATCCTGTCAAACTGTCCGCTGCCTCTTTTCCCATCTTTTTCTATATTTTCTTCTCCGTCTGGCAAAGCATGATTTAGCAAGGTAGGTAATGAAGAATTAGTTGGGTTGAGTTCCCCTGTAGAGAGCAGCTTACATGGCTCTCACAACGGTTGAATATCGTAGCTCCACCATGGCACCAGACTCCACAGCAGGGCACCTGCAGTTCTCTGGTGCCATCCCACAGCTGGCTTACACAACTCCACTGATTTATCATTAAGTAACTTTCCCACCACTTCATCTTCTTCTATATGTTGCTTGATGAGTTTCATCCCTCTCGCTCTCTCTCTCTCTCTCTCTCCACAGCATCGCGTGCGTGTGCATGCTTCTTTCCTTCTCACCTAGTCACTAGTCTGGTCTTTATCGTATCTTCAGACAGAACCCTCATCAAACATGACTAATATAACCGCTCTTAGGAAAATGTTTTGTAGTTCAGGAATTGAAGACAAATGACCTATCTTCATTTAGTTAATTAGCCATCAGACCCACTGCAGATCAGCTCAAATTATGACCAGCCAATATCATATACAAATCAGGACGAGAGTTTCCAGTCTTTTCCCATCAAATATTATTGTGTGCCTGTACGGTTCATTGATAAACGAGATTCATTTCCACCCTGGTTGAGTTCTTTCTGATAGTTCCGCCTACTAGCTGACAATACATTGACATGTCACCCTTTCCCGCTGGAAATGTTCCCATCCATTAATGAAATGCCGAAGAAATACGGATACTGCAAATTATTCTTCTTTCCCTGTCTAAATTATTCTGAAAACTTGAATTCTGAACATATTTAAGTGTAGATCCGCATGACCCTGTTTCTAACAATCTGCAGGTTCTCATTAGAAGGCTGCTGACTATTGCCAATAAGATGAAGAATGTTATTGGAGTATACACCAGTTGACAGGGTGATCACAGAAAGGCTCGTTATGAACAAAGACTATGTGGATCAAACAGGAGATTTATACCTCCCCTCCCTCTCAATCATTTATTTTTATACCTCAGACAGTTATGGCGGCAGAATCATTCCCCAAGTAATTTAATAACTGATAGGTCTTTATTCAATACCTTTTCCTGAGGTGAAAACTTCTCGAGAATTATTTTGTATCCCCTTGGTTTGAGCCTCTAATGTATCTATAACGGGTTCTTTCTCCATGTCACTAACAAATAACTGGCAATTGATCAAAGCAAAATGTTGTGTGAACAGTTGATGGCAACTGAATAAGAAGGTAGAATTTTTTTCTGAGCTTTGAATTGGACAAAAATATTTTCTACAAACTGAAACCAGGTGTGTCTCGATGACCTCTCTCTCTCTCTCTCTCTCCCTTCCCCCTCTCTTTCTCTCTTGCTCTGCTTTTGTGAGCGACTGAGTTTTTCTCACAGCCAGATAAAAAGGCATTTTGTGCAGGATTTGGAGCATTGGGAGATGAGAGAAAAGATAGCCAGCAGGGAGAATTGGACAAATGCGGAAGGAAATATGGGATGATCACAGTTAGAGAACTGAAGAGGTATTCATATTCTACTTTGTTGAGGTATGGGCTATGTTTCTGCCACGATGCCTTGTAATAATCATCTTCGTTCATCTCTCAATAATGCTGGATTTTTTCGCGAAATTGTGAAAAAAAATCTCCCTTTGAAGAACGCAAAAGTTCTTCTCCTTTTCTCTCTATGGATTTACTAGATCTGTTCAGAAGGGCAGGTGATTTGTTGAATGCCTCTTCACTCAGGGGCTCCTAATCCTGTAAACTTGAGGCTACTGAACCTGGGAGACACTTCCTAGGGCGTCCTCATTAACATTAACGTGAAAATTGACATTTTTAGAAGGAGCTGCTCTAAGATTCATACACAGGCCGGCTGTCAGAGGAGTCCATTGTGCTTCAAATTATATTTGCATAAAGTTAAAACCTGGAGGATCTACTGTACCATATTCGGAAAGAACATGGTACATCCCATACCTTCGTCACAAATTAACTGGTAGTATATCCTTGAGTATCGTTTATTGATGGGAAATTAATGATTAGTGCTGGAGATTTTTGAAGTCAGCTACATCCCTGTGGCATTTAATTACTCTTTAAAATGGAGTTATCTCTACTATTTCTGTGTATTTTTCTGAGGCCAATTGGCTCAGTCTCGTCTTTCATTGGATGCAAATGTCGTCATGGGCGATTATCTCTACTATGCTTTGTGTCTGCTGTTTGTGTTTCACTGCTACTTGATCTACTGGCGCCCCGAATGATTAAGATTTTTTTAAAAAGGTTAGTCAAATTATTTCTGAATTTCAAGTATAGAATCATGATCTGGAAAATTATTAGGAAATAGTTAAATCATATTAGGAAAAAACATCATATTCACTTCAATGCCAATTATGTATAGGTATGGGATTTGACTTGGAAGTTTCTATCAATCAATCCAAATCATACAACATAAAAATTCCAAATGATTGATAGGAGCTAAGATGACAAAGGTCATGACAGTTCAACTGCTTATACCAGTAGTTACATGTAAGATGAGTCTAAACCCTGACATAGCCGAGCTGAATCTCTTACATTTCTCGGAAGCTCACCCGAATTAAGTAAAGAGTTTGGAAAATAAGCTTCAATGTGACATATCATGATGCAACCATATGCAATTAGAGTAAGTCAACCTAGAACATTCCCCACAGATGAACACTCCCAACCATAGCTACTAAACAAATCATGATATGTCATATTCCACTCGAGTTCTTTATTTAGTAAAACAATGGGGATGACTTTCCTGCAAACCTATTTTTGGGGGAAGCAGCAGATGAACCTCTATGCTAACATTTTTCTAATGGGTTAGATCATCTCAGCCACAACCTTCAACGGGTTAGAGATTCTGTAATCTCGGAACAGCAACCCTCAAAGTCTCCAGGTGTTCCAACTACTTGTTCTTCATAGTGGCTCACTTGTGCTTGACTCCTTGGCGCGTTTCAGTGTCTGGCGGCCCCCTAATCTTCCACATATTGACACAGACAGTTTGTAGCAAATCCTTGATGTCACTAGAACAAGAAGATTTCTTACTCGCAAGCTTCAGGGATAATTTCAATGGGCAGAGGAGAAATTTCTCAGCAAGTTGCTTTTTTCACCGGTCATTGTCAAATAGAACTCATCCAAACTCATTCATTTCGGAAACATACATACATATACATGGCTAGAGTATGTTTCACAACCTCAAAACTTACCAAAAATTATTTTTATGAAAGCTTAGATCGAATCAAATATAGCATCATTTTGATGATCAAAAGAATAAAACTAAGATATTGAGGATAAAGATGTTTATGGCAGATAATCAATAAAAAAATAACAGTATTGTATTGAATAATGGGATTCCATAAGTATCACCCACCAAGCCACCGAAGAAGATGGCTTTTTCTTAAGTATTGTCAATGTTAGGTTTTTTTTTAAAAAAAAAATTGTAGTTAGGGCCATGATTTTCTGAATTGACCGGAGAGGGGATCGTTTCAGATGATCTGCTCATATTGGCGGCATAAAGAATCATACATTACCAGATACAAAGGTGCCCTTATAGAGGAACCCAGAAGAAATCACACAGTTCAACACAGATTGGAAGCTCCTGTTCACATCTTCTACCCAATCCTTCAGATATTGGCTGCTCAGTAATGCTTGATTCTATGTACGCTTTATGTTTACAAGGGGAATGAATATCCTTTCATTCAGTATATACACATTCGGAACTATATAGCCAAGGATCAATCAAAAAAAAAAAAACCCAAAACCGGATAGTTTCTAGTCACAACTCTAGAATATAATATTTAAACTCTATAGATAATCCTTAATGCATGCCATTCCATCATGCAGAAGAATGCTTGAACCCTACCTAAGACTTACCACAAATAAAAAATAATAAAAATTAAGGAAATACGACCCAAAACTACGAACAAGCTATTAATACATTCCAATTTAATCAACATTGAAATGTCATGCAAATCTAACGTTATATTCAAAAGAAGAAAAAAAATGGGTTAAAAATGACGGTAACTATGATGAATAATGGGAAAGAAAGTGACTTACTAACATGAGAAAGCAAACTAGTACATGACTAATAGTTGAGCTCAAAGTGTAAGTATACGCAGGAATGAAGTCTAGTTTGAACGATAAGCGGCTGAGATAAACTAGAGAAATCATACCGAAAAAGGGTACAGAAGAAAAAGTAGCAGAACTCGAAGAGTTGTATACCTCGCGGGGCGTTGTCTAGACGCGGAAAGAAGAACTCGAAGGCCTCAGTATCATGGCCCAGTATGGTGGAGGAGCGGGCTGCGGGAAGGGGGGAGTCTTGCATTGAAGAAGAACCACCGTACCTGTCTGCCTGCCCGGGCAGGACTGGCGAGCACAGGGAGAAGCCCAAGACGAAACAGACCCTGCGACCGACGGCTGATCCGGCGGTGTGACGGTCCTAGCGCAGAGGAAAGAGGTTTCGTGCGCGGAACTGCACCGCCGACAGGATGCCGCGCAGTGGTGCGTGGGGGCATGCGCAGCGGCACGGGTGGACATTCGCGGCGCGCGTTTAGGCACGGCGGCATGTGTGCGTGCATGTGCGGGCGCTCCGCCTTTACGAGACGGGGTTGAGGGAAGTGTCCCACGGATCTCGAAAGCCGCTGCCACAACGTGGCGCGACAGCGGCAAGGGACGGCAGGGGCGGCGAGCGTGCGGAGGCGCACGGTGGCGGCACGGCGAACATTGTCGGCGCATGCGCGGAGGCGCGCAGCACCGTGCGACGTGATGCGGCTTGCGGAGCCACTATGTGGCCAGCATGGTGCAGCAACTGCACTTACGAGGAGGTGGGAACGCCCATAGCTCTGGGGAGAGAGAGAGAGAGAGAAAGAGAGAGAGTCTGATAAATCTGCCACACATCGAAAACTAATTTCTACGCGCATAAAAATTCGATTAAAAAATTTTATGTTCTTCTGTTTGGAATGAGCAAAGAAGGTGAGCTCGGAATTTAAGACTCTTTCGATTATTTGTCTTAACAGGTATTCCGGCTCGCTCATGCCCGGCGTCTGGACAACAGCCTCCGCCGCAGATCGGCCGCGTCGACCTCGGGGGCGCCATTCGCTGGCCGGTAGTATCCCGTAGCTGGGTCGGGCACCCACGAGGACGACAGCGCCGGCACCGTTGCCGTCGCCGGCGAGTCCGCCGCCGCCGCGCTGCTCATGCTCTTGCCCTTTGGTGACGCCAGCGCCTTCTCCTCCACCTTCCTAGCCACCGCCGCTGCCGCCGAGTAACCTCGCCTGTGAGAGTGCAACACAGACGACGATGAGCACTCGAGGAAAAGGAGATCCTCTCTCTACCCAGTTAGCCGAAGTGCAGGAAAGATGGCCGGAAATGTATACCTGCTGACGAGAAGCCCGGCACCTTCGGAGATCGCGACGGCGAGGCGGGCCGCGTGGGAAAGAGATTGAGCCATCCGAGCGGCGGGAAGAGAGAGAAGATGGGCAAGGAGAGATGGGCAGAGAGAGAAGGAGAAGAGAAAGATTAGAGAATAAGCAAGCTGATGCTCCTCCTCCTTCCAGTGTCGACTCACATCCTGATTGGGGGAACTTATATAAGTGAAGGCGGTGACCGCCGCCGGGGGGCGGCGAAGACGTGGCGAGAGATGATGGGTGAGAAAAGGAGGCGCATGCGCCGCCCCCGCCGCCTACCTGTCTTCCTCGCTCTCACCTCCGGAAGACACGCAGAAGCCGCCCTTTGACCTGTTCAGCGATCGCCACATCGTCAATGCCGGTCGGCCGGACTACTACTCCGTCTTCGCCATCTACATTGACCGGAGACTCCACCTCACTTGTTCCCGGGTCTACGGGAGCACGTGTCGACGAGAAATGGTGCAAAAGGTCGGAAACGTCAAGACAAGGCAGGCGACCGTTTTTCTGTCTTTTTCCGTTGTCTTAGTTCTTCTTCGGGGCTACTAATGGGCCTCCCCATTAGTATATATTATATGATATTGGGCTTTTATTGGCCATGTATTATTTTGGGCCCCACCACCTTCTCTGGTTTGGCCCAAATAAATCATAAGGGGACGAACGTGGGCCTATGAAGTCCTCAATTAGTTCATAAGTTTAAATTTTAAAATATATTTATGTAAATTTAATAAATATACCCAAATTTATCTGTACTAGAAAGAATAATTTAATTCACTGACATTCCATATGAATTATGAAATGGGTTTATTTCAAAGTAAAATAATTTCATACTATCTGAATCCCAATTTGAAAACGATACACGTTCTAAGACCGTGATTTAATTTAAGTGATTAATAATTTAATTGTATTCATAATCATAAATAAAATTTCCTTATTTTTGGAACTTGAGAAATATATTTCACTACTATTCCATATAAATGACGGAATGGGTTTATTTCAAAGTAAAAGAATTTCATGGTAACGATATTAAGAGTCCTAAGTCCGTGATTTATTTAAGTTATAATGCTTAATTTTATTCATAATCCTAAATAAAAATTCCTTATTTTTGGAACTTGATAAATATATTAACATGAATATCGTTTAAATTTGTCTAAAATTATAATCTGGTGTTTTTTTATGATGCGTTCATGCTTTTCGGTTTGAAGAATCTGAGAAACGTAAAACGATATGGGAACAGTTTTAGAAATCGAAGGCCCGAGATCTAGAAAAATGAAAAGAAAAAGAAATTCGGGCATTCGAATAATCTCGGGGTGAAAAGAGTTTCTGTCGGCAAAATTCGGAATCATCTCCAGGAACTTCGCGAGGAATTCCATTTTTATTTTATTTTTTTAATCTCGAAGGTCGTTTTAATGGCGCAGAAGAGTCCTCGTGATCGGCCGGGCACCGCAAAACCCAAAAGCTGGGAGAGGAGATGGTTGGCTGAGGAAGAAGAGGCGCCGTGCCCACGTCGTCATCTTCTTCGCTTTGATTAATGGCCTCTGGTTTTTCTCCAATCCCCCTCCGTTGCTCTTCTGGGCACCAGTTGCCTCTTTTAGAGAGAGAGAGAGAGAGGGACGAGGGTGATTTGGTGGGCCAGCTTTGACATGACAGCTGCTTCCTCGAGGGTATGCCACCTCGCGCTCTCCTCCACGGTTTTCCCCTCGTCCCCGTCCCGCCGGCGATTCCCTCCCGTGTGCAGCCTTCTTCCCCGGGTACAGGTGGTGGGAACAGGTCCTCGAAGCGTCACCTGCTCTAGTGTCGTCGGCAGCGGCAGAAGCTGCGGCGCTGTTGAAGCTACGATCATGCCGACCGACATATCAACGCAGAGGTTCCCTCTCTCTCTCGCTCTCTCTCTCGCTCCCTCGCTCGCTCGCTCTCTGTGTCTCTCTCCCTCCGTGTTTCCGACGGATCTGAGTTCTCCTTGGGAAGCAGAGGAAGAAGACGATGGTATCCAGTGGATTTGGGCCTTCCAGGCTGCAAGACGATCTGGGATTAGGCTGATCGGATCAATTAGTGGAGAAAAAAATTCTCTTCGAATGGTCATAGCTTTGCTATATCTTTCCTATCTCGTCACGATCGACTGGTCCTGATCGCCATGCCCATTCTAGGGTTCTAACAGTTTAAACCTGTTTTGAATCACTGAACCTCGGGCATGATCCCTGAAATTCGTCGTTAATTTGTTGAGTATTCTCTCCCCCATTGATCTTCTTTCTCCTGTTTCGCCCCCAAACCAGGTTCTCCTTCGCCTCCATCTTCCCGCTCGAAGCTGTTCTATTCGACATCGATGGAACGCTCTGCGATTCCGATCCCATCCACTACTTCGCCTTCCGGGAAATGCTCCAGGAGGTACGGCGCCCTCGATCTGATCTGCACGAAAATCTCTTCGTTTCCTCCGCCGGATCTCTTCCAACACGGCTCATTTGCAGGTCGGATACAACGGCGGGGAGCCCATCACGGAGGAGTTCTTCGCGAAGAACATCAGCGGCGGGCACAACGACGATCTCGCGCGGTTCCTCTTCCCTGACTGGGATCACAAGACAGCCATGAAATTCATGGACGACAAGGAAGCCATGTTCCGGAGGTAATTACTACAATTCACAGAGAACTCCGGCGGAGTCCGTCGTAGGGCGGTCATGATTGAGGAGAACTCCGCTTTCAGACTGGCGGCGGAGAAGCTGAAACCAGTGGAGGGACTCCACAAGCTCTGCAGATGGATCGAAGACCGCCGACTGAAGCGCGCTGCAGTGACCAACGCCCCCAGGGCGAACGCCGAGCTCATGATCTCCATCCTCGGCCTCTCCGACTTCTTCGAGGTGCTCGTCGTAGGGAGCGAGTGCGAGCGGGCAAAGCCTTTCCCTGATCCATACCTGAAGGCTCTGAAGCTTATCGGGGCGTCTTCTGATCACACCTTCGTCTTCGAGGTCCGGTCGCCCTTCTCTTCTTCTTCTTCTTCTTCCTCCTCCCCGAGAGCGAATAAACCCTAATCTCTGCTCTCCGCCCCGATTTTCTCAAGGACTCTGCGTCGGGAATAAAGGCCGGCGTCGCAGCGGGGATGCCGGTCGTGGGGTTGAGAACGAGGAATCCCGAGGGGATGCTGCTGGACGCCGGCGCCGCCCTCCTCATCGGAGATTTCGAGGATCCGAAGCTGTGGGCAGCGCTGGAAGAGGACGAGCGGCGAGCTGCTGCAGCAGGCGGAGCTTAAGGAGAGAATCCGATTCACAAGAGGCACTATATTCACTCCATTTTTATGCTCTTCCCCTCCTCTTCCATCTCCACCCCGCTCCTGCTGGCGCGACTATCCGAGAACCTGAAGCTTCTTAGTATTTAAATGCAAAAATATTTCTAGTTGTTTAGTGGGCTAAAGTTCTCGGTGTCTTTAAGTGGGCCATAAGTGATCAGTCCATTTAATGTACGATGACTATAAATACTATTCTTTCTCTTTATTTTAATATATGAAATATTTCATCCTTTTTAAGGGTCCGCACAACCGTCCCCTTTCCCTCTCTCTCTCTCTCTCTCATCTATTTTTCCTTTCAAAATTATTATTTTTGTTGCAGGTTTATTCTTTTATTTCCTATAAGTGGTATTCAAGTTCGCATATTGAATGTTGTTTTTTTTTGTGGAGAGATAAATAACAATGAAAGAGAAGAAATTCGAGGTTTGTGAAAAGTATTTAAGGTTTTTCTAAAGATTTCTTACTATAACAAGTATTTTGAATATTAGAATCATCATTTATGTGAAGAAGAATCGTCATAACAGTGAGATGACGAATGATAATCTTTTAAATTATCACAACCTTTTATTATATTTTTTAATAGAAAGAAATATGATTTTTAGAGTATTAAATTGAAGACATTTTTTATTTCTCAAGACATAATAATTAGTTGACAGTGAAAATAAGAAAGGAGATTCTTCAAGACAAGAAAATAAGAAATTTAGAAAAAAGGATGTTAAAATGTTATTAGTTTTACAACAATCAGTTTTAGAAGCCATTTTTCCACGAATTGCTAATGCATCAAGTTCACTTAAAGTTTGGAAAATTTTAAAAAATAAATTTCATAGTGATAGCATTGTTATGAATGTGAAGTTTCAAATTCTTCATTGAGAATTTGAAAATATTTTATGAAATAAGATGAATCAGTGTATGATTTTTTTCTAAAGTTGTTGTTCTTATAAATCAAATGAGAATATTTGGTGAAGATATTTCGAAAAAAAGAATTATTGATTTTTTTAAAAGAATTTTGTCTTTTAAATTTGATAATATTATTGCTACTATTGAACAATCTAAGGATTTATCTATTTATACCCAAAATGAGTTGGTTGGAGCATTATTAGCATATGAAGAATGAATTAATAGACAAAAGAAAGAATCTATTGAATAAACATTCCAATCAAAAGTTGAAATTTCAAAGAATGAGAAAAATAGTGAAGATACATCTACACAATGAGGACGTGGTAAAAGACACTACCAAAATAGAGGCCGTGGAATAGGACATAGTAAATAATATTATGGGTAACAAAGAAATGATGGTAGAAATCAACAAAATCAAAAACCAAATTACAAAATTATGCAATGTCATTTTTGTAAGAAATATGATCACATTGAAACCTGTTGTTATGAAAAGTCAAAACAATAAGAAAATATGAGAGAAGGAAATTCTAAATCAATGTGTAATTTTTATAAGAAGTATGGTCATATTGAAGCAATTTGTTCGGAGAATAAAAAAGGACAACAAATATTGTTGAAGAAAATGATCAAAATAAGTTGTTTATCACTAACTTTTCTTCAAGTTCAAGTACATCAAATATATGACTTATTGGTAGCAATTGTAACAATCATATGACATGTGAAAAAGATTTATTTTAGAATATTGACACCTCTATAGTTTGTGATGTGACTATTGGTGATGGAAATAGTATGAAATTGAAGTTATTGGTATTATTATTGTTCATACTAAATCTTGGACAAATACATTAATTCATGATGTTTATTTTGTTCTAAAATGTTACATAACTTGTTTAGTGTAGGTCAATTATTAGAATGTGATTTGATTGTTCATTTCGAAGATGATAGATGTGTTACCAAGCATAAGAAGAGTTGCATGACTCTGATGATGATTCTTAAGGTTAGAAAGAGGATGTTTCCTCTTTGATATTTCAAGACTTATTAATTTTGGCATGATTACAAAAAAAAATGATTTATCTTCACTTTGGCATATGTATTATGGTCATTTAAACTTTAATGCATTGAAATTATTACATCACAAACATATAGTTGTTAGTTTATCTTCTATTTCAATAAATGACAAAGTATGTGAATGATATGTTTATTGCAAACAACATCAATTATCATTTCTTATTGGCAAATCATAGAAAGTAAGGTTTCCTCTTGTATTACATGTTGATTTATGTGGTCTAATGAAAACATTATCCTTGAATGGTAGTCGATATTTTTTATTGATTATTGAGGACTTCACACATATGAGTTAGGTTTATTATTTTTCATAAATCTTAAGCATTTTACAAGTTTATTTATTTCAAAACTTTTTCTGAAAAATCAAGTGGGCATATTATTAAAACTCTTCAAACAGATTGAGGAGGAGAATTTATTTTTCATGAGTTTGAGTTATTTTGTAAGAAACATGGAATTAAAAGACAGCTTGCTATTAGAAAAACTCCAAAGGAAAATGGTATTGTTGAATGAAAGAATATAACTATTGTGCAAATTGTTAGAAGTATGTTTAGTGAGAATCATTTTCTTAATGATTTTTAGGCTGAAGCTGTTGCAACTTCTATTTATCTTTTAAATATTTCTCCTACAAAAGTGGTGATGAATATAACTCTTTATGAAGCTTGGTATAATCGAAAGCCTCATGTTAGACATTTAAAAGTTTTTAGTTGCATATCTTATGCTTTAATTGATGTTGATGATCATAGTAAGATACACAAAAAGATTATTAATTTGTCATGACATTATATTTAATGAATATACTTACTTAAATTAGAACACAGATCTAATTTTTCAAATTTATTCTTGTGAAAATGAGCAAAAAATTATGCAAAATAATGAAGATTCAATAGGTGAAGCTTCAACTTCATGTATCACAACTTAAAGATCTTCTTCAAGAAATAAAAGTGATATTAATGACCAAAATGATTCAAGTCTAAAATCATCAAGTACTCTAAGAAAGATGAAACCTTTATGTGATATTTGTGAATCATGTGTTTTTACTCTTATGATTGTAGAACCAATAAGTAATAAGGAGGCAAAAGATAAAGATAAATGAGAGAAAGTAATGCAAGAAGAAATTATAGTAATTGAGAAGAATGACACATGAGAATTGATGAATTTATCACAAAAGACAAAAGTAATTTGAGTCAAGTGAGTTTAGAAAGTAAAGTATAAATCGGATAGCATTGTTCAAAAATACAAGATAAGTTTAGTAGTGAAGGAATATACACAACAACAAGGTATTGATTACTTTAAAATATTTTCTCTGATTATAAGATTTGAAATAATTCGTATCGTTTTAGTCGTGGCAACCTAAATAAAATGATTTTTTTTTTCAATTTGATGTTAAATTAGTATTTTTAAATGATTATTTGAATACAAATATATATGTTGAATAACTATTAGGTTTTATTCTTGAAAGAAGAGAGAACAAAGTGTATAAATTGAAGAAGTCACTTTATAGTCTTAAACAATTTATACACTTTGTTCTCTCTTCCTTTAAGAATAAAATCTAGTGGTTGCTCAACATATACATCTTCATTCAAATAATCATTCGAAAATATTGATTTAACATCAAATTGAAAAACTTTTCATTTCATTTGAGCTGCCACGACTAAAACAATACGAATTGTTTTAAATCTTGAAATTGGAGAAAATATTTCAAAGTAATCAATACCTTGTTGCTATGCATATCTCTTCACTACTTACTTTGTCTTATATTTTTTAACATTGTCATCCGATTTATACTTCACTTTGTAAACCCATTTGACTCCAATTGTTGTTGTCTTTTGTGATAAATTCACTAACTCACATGTGTTATTCTTTTCAATTGCTGTAATTTCTTCTTACATTATCTTCTCCCATTCATGGCTGAAAATCGTGTATGGCTAGAGATGATTGCCCAGCAGAGCGTGTGCTCAATAAATCTCTTCAATATCGTCTTTTGCCCTGAGATTACACCAAGGTAGGAGAAACATTACGCAGTGTTCTGCACTCGAAGGGACGCAACCGAAGAATGGTGGTACGAGCAAATCATAACCCTAACCTAACCCAAAACCTAAGGGAACCAATCTTCAGAGGGGAGCACCGCCTGGACTTTCCTCTGCGACCGCCGTTGAATCTCGCTGCCCTTCGCTCCGATGCCCCCTCTCGTCGGGCGTAGAGAATCAACTCTCTCTCTCTCTCTCGCTCTCTCTACCTCCTCCCCCGTCGCGGTGAATGAAGGCGCGGTGAAGTAGCGCGGCTCACGCAATGGAGAAGGGCATCATGCATGCGAGAAACGGAGTGAGCAGGCTGCTCGCAGACTACGACGCAGGATGAGAGGGAATCGATCGTTTATCACAGAGTGAGAGAGGATGACCGGCCGTAAGGTGGAAGAGACTGAACAGAATCGCCGAGATCTCTGCATCTGAGCACTCATCTGGCGCAAGGTGCAGGTGGGCGAACACGGATTTGCTCCAGCGTGCTCTCCTACGCCCACAGGTACGGATTACCTCCCCCTTCTTCGTTCTCCAAGAAGTCGTAACCTAGAAAGATAGTATCCATTAATGGCGTGAGCATCGTCATTCTACAAAGGAGATCCATTCCAGAGATATATCTTCTTCTTCTTCTTCTTCGGGAGATTCTCATGGTAGTTTCTGGGTTTCTGAGTTACTGTTGAAGGTGGGTTCGTGGGAGATTTCACGACCCGTTGACCCATCTCTCAAGGTCAATGGCCGGAGTGATGGGGCAGTGTGGCATACCCTTTTTCACAGTACTCAAAACTGCTAAGGGACCAGCAGCGGATTGATGGAACTGTAGATTAATTAAGCTCTCGACTAACACACACATTGGTACTAATTAACATTAAATCCACACCTTCATAACTGTAGATGATTATAAGCTAAAATGGAATGCCTTGCTAACTCTGCTTCTTTATTTATTTTTATTTATTTTTATTTTTTATTTTTGTTGCTATCATACAACTCGTAATAAAAATCGTGGTCTTGGGGGGCCCAAGGAGAAGGTTCTTGGATTTTTCCTGCCCAAACATGCGCATTGGTTTCCTATAAATATGATAGAACTGTGTGATCATCTACCCCTTCCCCTGGCCAAATGACTGGATCATCATCTCTACCTGTTCTCCATAATCTAGAAAATAGAAATTTCTTGCTGGAAATCGATACACAGTAATTGTATGGTAGATATGATGGCAAGTGGAAAATGATGATAAAACACTTTTTTCTAGGCATATTTGGCGGAATTATCAGGCTACTTAAGTCAAAGTACGCGCCATATAAAGCACTTTACCATGAGAGAGAGAGAGAGAGAGAGAGAGAGAGAGAGAGAGCATTTCAGACTCCTTGATTTCAGGCCACATTAGTCTAATAAAAGGAACTAGACCCACATTAATCTGTACAAAATCCTCTTCAAAGTAAAGTAATGCGCTCTATTTACCCTTTAAGAAGACAAGAATAAAAAAAATCATGAACCAAGTCAAGCTCTCATACCTTTGACTCAGCCTACTTGAGTAATTCCTCACAGATGGCTGTACCCTAAAAGGATAGACGGCGGCACCGCCAGGAACTATGAACAGCATCAGCCGAGAATCTTCATCCAGGGTTTTAATGTCCCTAAGGTAATAACAGAAAACAATACGATGCAAACATAACATAAAACGAGGATTTTATTGAATAGCATTTGGGTAGTCAAAACCATCTTTATGAAGAGCATCACCCTCTTCCTCACTCACACGTGACACAGTATCCTTGCACACGTGTGAATGGCCATCAGTCTTCCGTGCAGCCAAGAAAATTTATAGGGTTCAATCGTTCTTGTACACCAAGGTTGGGTACACTGGATTCCACATGTTGTTCTGCACATACTTCACAATCTCCTCCTTCAAGTCCAAGAACACTTGGCATTAGAGAATTTCATGGAGATAAAGGGGAAAAAAATTATTTATGCCATAATATATTTACTTATATATTATAGCAAGCCCCAATTCACCTGACTTAATCTCTTGAGTTCTCGGGCATCCATGCTACGATATCCCTCGGCCAAATCCTCCTCCACTGCTTCCTTTACAACCGCCGCAGCTACCTCCTTTGTGATGTCGCGAATACTGTGCATACACTAGTATGTCAGTAGAGAGAGAGAAGAGAGAGAAGAGAGAGAAAGAGAGAAGAGAGAACCTAGATATTGAAGGGTAGATGACTCCTCGAAGAACTTCCTCTTCCTTCATATATGCGGCCAGGCTAGCATCCATAAATAGAAGGTGGTCAAGAAAAATGATATGATGGCATATATAGATATATATACAGTGATGAGTCGGGTTCAGGTCAAACTACCATTCAGCAGCGGCCTGCAGCATGCCATCGGATATAATTCGAGCTCCAGACAGAAGAGTGCCGAGGCCGATCCTGAAATGAGCAGGTTTGAGAGTAAATTACATAGAGAGAGGCCTGAGGATCAGGTTTAGAGGCACTGAACCCACCCAGGGAAGAGATACATGTTATTTCCTTGGTTGCAGTGGCCGATTTTCCCATCCTCTAAAATGAAAAAATTAGAAAAATCAACCAAAGTTAGACGTGTTATTAATCCTAAAACACCGCGGACTTTGATCATATTGGACCAAATTATTCAATTATATCTGTATGAACTCATGAATTGACTGCACCCAAGGGGTCTGGCACATGCTATCAAAAAAAAGAAGAAATATATATCGCTTTAAATATAAAATATATGCATAGAGTAGTGAAATAATTTTCGAACATCATTAGGGCAGAGTTTGCGAGGAAATCATCTCTGAAGAAATTTTTACACACCGAGATCCACGTTTTTGAATGGACTTCCACTGGCGAATATAATATGGTCACCCAAAATGGTAAAGGCCTGTTCAGGGGTGCATTCAGCTGAGACATAAAATCATTAGAGTCGGAACTAAAGTTCAAACAAAAGAAATAAATGCTACTTGTATGAGTTTTGAGTGTTGAAGTCAACCATTTTTAGTTGGATTTGACATTGCGAAAATTGCTGGTCGAGTGGAAGTTGAGTCCTTGAGGGCTTCCAAAACCTACAAGAGAAGCATTTATGGCCATTCATATAATCATAAGAACAATTGACCCAAAAACTCGGTAGTAATCGGGAAAAGTCAAATGCAACTTACAGTTATAAGAGATATAATGTTGAACATAGAGTCTAATTATGTATACAAATGCATTTAAACTACCAACCAAAAAACAGGATGGGTCTCCCAAAAAGTCAACGAATGTCACGAAAACTCATGCTGCCAGATAAACTGATGCCAAATTGAGCTGGGAAATCTTTTTCCAGGAAGACTTTGAGGGTAGCTGAAGTAAGAAAGCTTTTTATCAAACAGGTGGAAACACACCCAGAGCGAATAAATAAATACAGAGGACAATCTGAACTTAAAACGTCTGGAGAATTGCTCTTATGACTCTTAACTATGGAGTAAAATACCATACTTAAGAGTTGTCTCACGGGACGAAAGTGAACTTAATTGGTAATAACCAAAAAAAAAAGAGCGTTAACACTCCCACAGATGTCATCTTAAACATTTATCCTAAGCCAAGCTTATAAACTTACAGTGAAGAAACTGAACTAAATAAAAATCTCCATTTAAATGAGAATCAACTAATCATAATCTGAAAAGCTTGATCACAGCATCTATTGCCCTTCTAAGAAGAATAACATGGAAATCTCCTCAGGCATTTACTTTCAGAAAGTTTCCCAGAGACTATGCTTCTGAGTCTACCTTACAGCTGTTGATGAAGCTTGAAAATTGAATGCATTGTCATAAGTACAAGGTGACAAGGAAATCTATCCAGTTAAAGAAAGGACAATAATACAGAATAAATATGAAAAAGGTGCAAGTTGGTAATCTGTATGCATTAAATACCTCGTTTGAGAAGAGACCGCCAACTGCAGATAAGCCGAGGAGTACATCAGGCTTTACTTTCTTCACCTGATAAATGAAAAAAATATAAGATACAGTTAAATCAAGAGCAGTACAAAGAGAAACGTGGAAGACTAGGAGGGGGAGAAAGAGGGAGAGAGCTTATTTGAAGCAAAAAGTTTTTTCCATTAAGAGAACGATGTGAACACATTTATGCCACCAAACGCTGCCAGGAGTATATCAAGCATGCGGTTTAATAAAAGTCAAAGGCATCACGGACACCTCCAGTTATATAAAATGACAATTATGATTGTTTACTTAGCTTTTAGTAAAACTGTTAGGGTTTTCATCAAGTAGAACATTCAAGGAGACCATTAAAGGAGGCAAATATGACTATCCAAGGAGAAATAAAACAAAGAGAATACTTTGGCTCATCCATCTGGGTCAAACCACCTAACTCATAACTTGAATCGGACTGCAGGAATAAAAGTTCCTAGATCTTTTCTTGTGCAATATAATTATATACGAACTGGAAAAAATTGTCCAACGCTTGTTGCGATTGCTGAAAACCCACAAGACAACTATAATGTTAGATACCTAGCCGGGTTATGAAGCTTTGCTGAGCATAATCATAAATTCACCCGGATGTCGTGCGCGCCCAGGTCACCTTGTGAGGTTTAACGACACATTTTTCAGCCAATGATCCTAAGAAAATCACGTGCAACAGTGGCATAGAAGGGACCTCAGCAAACTCTCGATTCTAACCAATCCGTGTTTACTCACTACTTTTACTTCCAATATCCCTTCCCCTGGAACCATTGCTTCGCCCAAACAATTATCTAAAACGAGTATTGTTTTGCCAGAAGAAGGCTGTGACACCCCTTGCAAAGGCCCTTGAGCCTTGGTCATGGGAAGTCATCAGGGCGTTCTCCATAACGGGGAACCCAATCTCCATTCTGAAATATAGATCACTATATCAATTTGATACCATAAAAGAAAAGTGAGACTAACAAGTTATGACTAAAATGTGTTCACTTTGATTCTAAATTTATCAAATTCCAGTGGAACTAGCCAAAAAATCAATCTAAAATAGGGAAAAGCCTGATTCAGATTTAGGTAGAATGTAAGAAAAAGGAGTATTATTATTAGCAGGTATCCATCAGAATGCCAGGCCCAATATGCTCACATTGTCTCGTACTAATCAGTTAGTAAGTCATTTGGGATCGAACAGCAAAAGATCAAATCGTACTTGAGAAACCTGCATGCATACCATTAGGTAACACTCTCCCACACATTTAAGGGGCACAAATTGATTATATCAAAGTACATGTTCATGTGTGATAAAACAAAGGAAATAAAGTATCCACTGACAACATCCAGCGGTTAGGAGAAAAACTATGACATAAAAGAACAGTCATTGTTATAAATAGGCATACCACTTCCACAAGGTTCGCTCCTTCCCTTAAACCTTGACGGTCTGCCTCTCTAACCTTTCTAGCAAATGGCAAAGCCTCAGGATCGATATCTGAGCGGTCTTCAGTAATCAGGCCCTGAAAAATTGCACAATTTATTAATTACATTGTTAAAAATAGAATGATAATTGAATCTCTACTATGACTCGAAGTGAATGGCATTCCTCAAAAAAAAGTCTACGAAATATAAACAGGTTGAATTCAATTGAAAATTTAAATGATACAGTTCAAGGGATGCCCAAAACTACAGAAAAGTTCAGTAGTGAACACAAATTTATTATGGATAAGAAAAGAGAAAGTAAATGCAGTCTATGACAAAACTGTAGGCTGCAGTGCAACGTACACTAGAATGAGACATGAAGCATGAGCATGAGATGCAATTCAGACACAAAATGCTACGTGGTGCCAGTATTCTATGCAGTGAGATGAGGACTGAGAGGCACAGAAAAATATGGAACACACCATGACAAAAATAGTCGAGGCAGGGGGGAACTAGATGCCCCTAGTCAGGGGGCTAACTCTTGAAGACATCGGGTAACACAGTAAGCGCTATTCACGCCTGTGGACTATTGCAGTCCGTGGGAGAGAAATCAGTCATTAATGGGTCCACCCGCCATGAATTTATGCTCTTTCATGTAATCCAATGAAGAAAATATTTGACGTGGATAGTATGTGTTACGCAGAACAAGCCTTCGATATTAGGCTTCTCTTCTATTTTTCCTTTTCTGTCCCCTTGTTAGATGTATTTCCCTTTTCTGTGTTTCCTTCATTAGACCTTTCGATAATACCGAAAAGGTCCATTATACGTCAATATAAATACTGGCGTATAGCCCGAAGGAGGGCTAAGTCAGTTTCACCTTTTTGCTTCCGCTGTATCTCGAAACAGTATGCAAGATTCTTATACCATGAAGAAAGAGGAAGAAAAGTAGAAAGTGAGTTGGGATTGACCAGAGATAAAGGTGTCCCAATGCACTTTAATGCTTCATGTGCAGTCCCCTCAGAAAAAATTATATTAAGATGAAATAAAATTATGACAACTCTATTCATGTAAGGTAAAATAAAATACTATTAAATAAAACTAAAGATACTGAATTAAAAACTCCGACAATGTAATAGTGTGGAATACTTGCTGAGAGAAAAATTTCGTCCTACTTCAAATCACTTTCTTCCTTTAGAATAGTCATTGAACATATACATAAGTCATCTCAATATCAATATCCAGATCATATATCCAATAGATTATCAAAAAGGAGTATATAGCATATGAAAAGATTCGCACAAGCGCCAGGAAAAAAGAAGATCTATTTTATTACTGACCAGGGCATCAACAACCCAGAATTGGCTACGAGCACTCTCAAAAGCAGATTCATTATTCCCCAGAAGCCTTGCCATTGTTTTCCTAGCGGCATTAAGGACACCAATTCCAGCACTAAAATAATAAAAAAATCATTTCAGCGTGATGAATTAAACACAAGAATAAACTGGTGTGCATCACTTAACATCGAGAGAATGAATTGCTAAGTGAAAAATCAACGACAGAAAAAAAATGTAGCTTACTGCAGAGCATTCAAGATAAAAAGTTCACAATACCTTCCAGCCAAAAATTCATGGATACAGATAAAGGTGAATGTAATAGTCCAAACTTAGTTATAAATAGTCTCAGAGAAGATAATATAAATCCTAAAAAATGCGAAAAGACGTTCAAAATTCTTGCAAGAATATCTGAGATGGCAAGCCATCTCCATCAACATTAAGTGAAGCATAAATTTTGGAAGACAAAAACTTGAGATTGTAAAAATGTATTTGTCACGAGAGTAGGAAGAGATCATCTAGGAGCCACGAGAGTAGGATAAGAGATCATGTTATCAAAGGCCATAATCGTGGTACACTAGAATAATCATAGAAGCAGCACTCAATAAGTTGGCAGCATGAAGAGAAGAAAACCGGAGCCCTGGGAAACAAATGCCAGCTGGATTATTTCCTATCCAGCTCAGTAACAAGGTTCGCTCTTACTCAGTGCCATCATATAGAACCCTACGACAACCTAGCAACGTAACTAAAGATGAGCTAAGGAAGACAGTAGCAGCTCACCAACAGGTTACTCTGAAGCAAGTCAGCTGAACAGAATAGCTAAGTTTGACCCATTCCACATTGAGAATGGTCTATCAAACTGTCAATTCCCTAACCCTATTTAGCCAGCTATATTGGCTCTGTCAGACTAGACAGATGGAGAGGGAACAAGGTGAATTGAATTGGATCAGCAATTTCTGTCCACATCATCTAGAATCAACCAACTATAGATGGGTCAGCCCCCAACATACCCAACACAGGCCAATCAGCGATTATCTAGAATAAATATCACCCCTAAAATATGCGTATTGAATAAACATCTGCCTATTAACATTAGCACACAGAAGAATACTTTCAATGAAGTTTTCATGAAGAAATCAAGAGATTGCAGATCTTATTCAAAGTGACAAACAAATATTCATAAATAAAAAATTAACTACAGGTGATCCCCATGATAGCACATGAATGGCCAATATATGTTAATGACTGTTGAAATACTATGTAAATACTGCGTTAGCAGTTGGGGTGAAGTGTATCACGTGGTTCACTCAAAGAAACACGTGAACATCACCTGTCTGTCCTGGGATGTAAGGCTCTCTGTCTAGAACCTTCCCCCATGGATCTGTTATAAATAACAGACCCCTGTCTCGATTTAAATTTGATTACCTTTAATCAAATAACCCCTCAACGTTGACTTTGCCTGACACTTTTATCACAGTCCTCACCTTCCACCATTCCAGTACCAACTACACCCCATCCTAGCATCAGCCTTCTTCCTCGCTCTTAGAATTTTTCACACACCTTTCCTTCTCCTATCCTCTGATTACCGCGAATTGCTTCTCTAAGTTAGTGGTCTGTCAATCTACAGTACACTGACAAGCCCCTGAGCAACTCAAGGGACAATGTCAAGGAACACCGTAGTTTGGTGATCAATCTAGACAGAGATGTTGTTCTACTTGATCTACTTCTTAATGCCGACTTCTATCCTCAAGGTTGCTCCTCTAGATACAGGGCTAATTTAAACTAGATTCTCCTTGCTCTCAACATTGACCTTGTAGGAGGTGTCCCCAATATCATCCCTGTTATATTCTTGAGGATAAGTTCAGTGGCAGAAATTTTCTTGTGTCATTTCAAAGTCCCTCAAAAAGTTGATAGAAGAAGGTGAAGGCAAGCTCAGGAGTGGAAGAGAGAAGAGGAGATGGCGTGCAAAGAGATGGGACGAGGCATGGCAGGTACTAGAATGGTGTGTGGGTTCGTGGTAGATCCATTAATGCTTAGGTGTTGCTTTAACAGTGAGTTACATTTGCATTATTTATTTATTCCAAATTCCTTATTAATCTTCGACACACATCAACTTTTTGCGGAAAATAAGGCTATATGATGAAACCAAATCCTAGCACGGTCAACTAAAGTGAAACTAATTGGTGCCGCAAAGATAGAATCATATTGTACCTTCCAGCACCTGCAACAACGATTTTCTGTTTTGGGAAGTCTATCATTGGTCTACCTTGTGCTCTCACAGCTCCCAGCAGACCAGCAATTGCAACTCCTGCAGTTCCCTGGGAAGAAAAGTTCGATCAAGCCATTACATCTGAATTGTAGGCAAAACAATGTTACATCCGGTCAACCCGTGATTGCTAAAGATAGCCAATTTATTGCAAGAACATCTTATAATTATCTATAGTCTAATTGACCACAAGAAAGAACGTAAATCTTAAATATGTCAAAAAACAGTCATAAGAAGTTTCACGAATAAGATTATCATAACCTTTCTCAGTGGAAACTGGAAGGTAAAGCACGAGGAACTAGACCCAAATATAGAAAAAAAACATTTATTGTTTGTCGGACTGGAAGAGGATTCTGAAGAATGAGCAGAAGTTCTTGAAGCTTCTTGAAGGAGAAAGAACAAAAGCAGCTGGATAATCCAGGATCACGGTTTCAAAAAATGGATTCCTCTATAAAAAAAATACCCACAGTCTGCCCTTATTTAGTCATTCCCTTATCAGCTCTATGTCGCTCAAATAAACTATTTGAGACATCTGAGACATTAACACGGCAACATAAACTATTTATTTCAATCATCCAAACAAAATCAGGATATCATGTATCAATACATCAATAATATATTAGCATGTTAGTATCTGAAGTAGGCAACATGTAGCATTTGCTTGCCCAATCTTTTCATGGAATTGAGAATTAAATCAGAAGGATACTACCGCTCAAAAGACCCGTAATATTAAACCATTGGCATCCGTAAAACACAAAAGTAAAAATAAATATAATCGCCCTTGAATTTTTTTCTGACCTGAACATCGTCATTGAACATTCGATAGGTATTTCTGTAACGCTGCAATAGCTTGAAAGCCCACTTGCTTTGAAAATCTTCAAACTATTAGGAAGTTCAAGTCACTGTACTGTAGTAGGTTGCACCTCTAAAGGAATAGAAAGTACAAATTCGAATTACCTGCACAATGACGTTTGGCCATCGTGTAAAAACAGCCCTCATAAATTCATCAATAACAGAGAGGTACTCTTCACCATCAAGGCGCTCTTGTTGCAGTCCAAGATCTGATTTCAGACAATTTTTGGCATATTCAATCTTCTACATGTAGAAAATATCAGAAAATCGACTTCTGATATGAAAAGCCATTGTTCGCAGCTTCTAGCAAAATGTCCAAAATGCTGAATTGCGTTATGGTTAGATACATGTAACCAATGGTAGAAGAGAGATTTCGTTTTCTGTTGCAGTCAGGGGAAAACATTGAAACGTGTTTATTGCAGGACTTAAAATGACTGACTACAAGTCTAGGTAACTTAAATATCTATCTTTGCAATCGTTCACCTTCACGTGGCTTCTTTATAGCTAGACTAAGTTATAAACGGCATGCATTTTCCACCGTCAGAAAAAAGGAAAAAAAAGTGTGAATGTTTTGCGGGCCTGGAATTGTAGAGCACACAGGTGATGTGATTCAAAAGTTGTGAAAATCCATTCAACCTCAAATTGCCTCTGTCAGATAGAAGCAATCCACAAGTGAGCCACCACCGAACAGAACTGCAGGCTGCCATAGCCGTGGGCCTACTGATGTCCATTGAGGATCTACATCAGGTCAGCAATATTGACCGATGTGAGGAGGGTATTGATCCAATGCAGATACTCAGGCATATCCATAAACTTCAATGAGTCAGCCATTATTGAGAAACTTTAATTTTGGACACCAACAAACACTTGCTTTTGCAAGTTTCCAAATTTCATAGAGATTTTGACAAATAGATCCTAAACATAGCAATGTCTACTATGATAATGAAGGTTTCTTTTGTGAGTCGTTAAAACTATTCACATCATTAAAACCAGGGAAATTTCTCAGGATTCTGAATTTCAGTTTGGTTAAACATAATATTTTTAAACCATCAAAAACTATATCTCACACATCAGTCTACTAAAGGCTTAACAATAAAACGGATTATTTATGTAGGATGGCAAAGGAATCCTACAGAGTGGATCCTTCAAAAGTTTCTCATTGTTGGTTCCCACATCAATCATCACCGGAAGCACCTGCAAGATAAAAGCCCACCTGAAAGTTAGTATATATTTGAAATAACACAATAAAGCACCAAAAAAACCAAGTACACATTTATCAATGGCCAACAAACTATGAAATGTGAATTAGTATGACAACCAACTTGTAAAAGAAATCAATACTTTAAAGACATAGATTTTAAGAAATTTCTGAAAAATCAATTATCATGCTTCTAGACATGATAATTGATGAGTAGCTGAGGATTTCAGGCTAGATGTTGGGTAGCTGAGGATCCAAATGGGACAGAAATTAGACATGTTGTCTCCACTAATATTTCAGCATCCACATGGACTGTTAATTACAGCAGTTAGATAATTCGTGGTTCTTAAGAAAAGTAAATATCATTATTATACAGAAGAACTCTCTGATCTGCAAGATAGATGAAACAAATACACCAAGTTGGCGTTAGTATCGACCTGCCAGTCCAAGGTTTATCTAATCCATCAGCACGATAAGAGTAGAGAACTACAAAGTCCATGAAATAATACCCAATTGCAACTAGCGTGAAAAATCTATAAAAGTGACTTATTATGATAAACATTGGAGATAGATTATTCACGCAGCAAACGAAAACATATAGCCAAAGGCACTGAATCAGCCGAATGTCCTTCCAAAGGACACAGCAAGTCCTTTTGCATTTTTAGACATAGCCTTCAAACAACTTGACACCACAGTGCAATGTTTTGTCATAACTGTGAGAGTATTTTTATTTCTAGCCCGTCTGTATTTTAGAGAGATAAATTTATTTGTATTTATGTACCACAGTGCAATGCTTTTTAAGTAAAAGTTACAACACCAATTTAGTGGGAAACGGTAGGATTTGTGACAGTGGTACTAACACTTGAGAAACTATTCCTTACTGATTCAGCCATAACAACTCAGAATTTCTCCATATGATATGCACAGAAAAACTGGCATTTTCAATACTGATGAGTCATTAATGAATGCTCTCTGATAATCATACCTGCAAAGAGGTTTGCTTGGTTAACTAGTAGAAAAGCATTATATGGCTCATCCACTAAGCCAAACAATACTGGATGACTTTATGGCAGTTGGCCATATATACCTAGATGTTATTTTTCAGGATTTCAAATCTTAATTATTTCCAAATATGGCACGATTTCTTCAATCATGTGAAGATAGGAAAGAGACGTTTCGAAGATCAATCCATGATCACGATTCTTGGTGATAGTTTTCAAGGAGAAGCGTAATCAGACATGAAATATTCCATGATGATTTTACTACTGATTGTACTGGGCTTTAGCTATAATGTTTCACATTGTACTATTTCAAAGTTGTTTATGATGTACAAATCCTAGTACGCAACGTATTTTATCCTCTAAAAACAAGATTTTCTCAGGCGAGCAAAGTGATGGTGTGTCTGCCTTGGCAACAGAGCAAGGAACCTGGGCGATATTTAATTTTATAAATTATTTAAATATGACGGAAGGTAAAAAATAAATTTCTAATATTATAAAAATAATATAAAATATATGTTCATGTTTGAGGGATAATGACAATAAGAAAGCTAAATATTCACCCATTTTTCTCATAAATGACCTGAATCAGGAATACAATGTGAAGGAAACGACTACCATAGAACATTCATCCAAAATAAATTCCGATTGAATCAAATTTATAATAATGTCCGCCTTCACACTAACATGAGAGCATGTTTGTGACGCCTAATAACGCAATTTAGATGACACAGCATCCATGTCATTATTCCCTCAACAACATTTTGAAAAACACAACTTCCTGATAAGTGCTACACTTGACCACATCCGAATTGACACAATAAAACAACATGAAGGCAATATGGCAATACTTAACGAAGATCATGAAGCGTTCCTCAAAATAAATGTCATTAGAAACGAATAATAATAAATAAAATAAATAAACACAACCTGAAATTTATCAGTAAAAACACGAAAAGACGAAATTACCCTATGAGGATTTATTCCAGCAGCCGCAACATATAAATCTAGTTTCCCAATTGCAATGCCAATTCCTTGGATGCCAAGATCTCCAAGGCCCAATATTCTACTTCCATCAGTTACCACAATCATATCAACCTACAAGAAACAAAGGAAAATAACCTTAAAAAAAAGTGTAGTTTTCTCAGATATCGTAAGTCTTCTAGAATAATATGTTCATCTACTTTGTGTAAAAGCATAATTAAGGTAAATAGATATTTACATTGGCCAGGCAAGGCCATAACATGTAAACATGTCATCCCACTAAACGACATAATAACAAAAAGTGAGTTTCCCCATTGTTTTCCTAATTTCCTGCAATAATAAAGATCACGTTAACAGTTCAAGAATAATAGTTAAATGAATCTTTTAAAATCTAAAAAAGTCATGGTTTCAAATATTTACTATCAAGTACTTATGATATTTCTTTAAGCCTCTCTCAGGAGACAGATTACTAGACTGCATTATTCAATCAATCCAGATGACAAACTAAATGATTGGAATAGCACCAGATCCCAAATTGAAGTTCAACCTCCTCAGTGCCTTGAGCCAGAAACAAGCCACAAACGTGACAAACTCCTCAAAACGAAATAATAGGAAAGGCATGGTCATTAGATGTTTTCAAAAGAAATAGGCATGCCCATGTACACAAGTATTGGTAAACATAAGTAGAGACATGGTTGGCTTTAATGCTTGAATATGAATCACAAACCTGATCAGCTGGCCAGTTGTAAACCATTGACATCATTTCTCCCCGATCTTCTGCACTGAAATACATTCCCCTTGGTCTTCTAAACAATCCACTGTAGTTCTGGCAGACAAGGCCAACGGTGGGTGTATACACTATCGGTGCATATTCCTCAATGTTTTCAGATAAAACCTAGAAAAAATCAGGAAAAAAACCGTTGTATGATGTGTCGCTTGTTATCTAATTGATATGAACAAATTCGAAAATTGTAGAGGATGTATAGCTTCCCCTTCCCTGCATGGGTTCATTCAAATTGTGATCACGCACCATCATATGCACTATTCTTTCCCACCCCTGAGTGAAAAAACGAAGCACAATAGAATGGAAGAATTATATGGACTTACTTTGTAGTACATTATCTCATTTCGATCATGCAGTCTGTTCAGGATACGCCATTTAGCCAAGGAATTCGTATCTCTTGCCCCGTCCCTTGCATTCACTTCTAGTCTTTTCAAGTCAAACACTGTTCAAGAAAGAATAGCTTAATCAACGAGATCAAGCTCCATTTTATAGTAAATTCTGAAGAGACATCAAGGATGATAGAAAAAAATGCTAGTAAATCTTAAACTCTCCCAAGAAAAAAATGCTTGACGTTCTTCAAGTTCTTTTTCTCTTTTCTAATAATTTTTCTTCAGCATGAACATGAAACTTCCTACGTTACTTTGAGACTCAGATGAGAATCTACCTTCATTGTGCTAATGAGAGTCATTGTCTATATCGATAAGGGACTAGCAACAATTCAGATTTTGAAACGAAGGCAATATCTACTGTCTAGAGAGCAACATCACATCTCGAGCTATCAAGTTTCCAATTCTCTTTCATAACAACAAGAATCTATATTTCAAATAAATGTACCAATACTTCACCCAAATAATCTTCATTTATTTTAGATCATGCTCAACAATTTTAACCACGTGGAATAATCTAAAGGGGTACCCATCTGCATGAGTGAGCATCAGGGGTGACTCAAAGGGAAAAGGACGTTTTGAGTTAATCATGGTTGCATTCAATTTAACGTGTTAAAGTTTTGTACATCTTCTTCTGTTACATAGCCTATTACCATAAATGTCTCTCTTCTTACATAATTTTGTTTATCTTCTTTTAACTGTTCCACCATATCCACTTCTCTCACATTAGTCTATTATGTTAAATCTCTCTTCTCTTACACAGTCTATCTTCACCTAACTGTTCCACTATATCCTCTTCTCTTACACAGTCTATCTTCACCTAACTGTTCCACTATATCCTCTTCTCTTACATAACATATTAGTATAAATCTCTCCCTTCCCGGTGAATGTCCTTCTTGTTTGAATGGCGATAGTACTATGCAACGAAGAACTAAAAGCTGAGAACAAGTAAAACATACAACAAGACGCTTGGAGTCATGCCGACCAAGTGGTAGTCCCTTACTGACAACTATCACATTAACTACAAGCTAGGAGTCAAAAACTTACTGAACCGCTCAATTTGCTGCTCGGAATTCATCACATTGGGAGGAAGAAGGCCACGGAGATCAAGACGATCTCTCTCTGTCACAGTGAACGCAGTACCCTACATTTTGTTTCAGGTAACAAAACGAAGAAAGATTTATACAGGACCCATTGAACCACACCAATCAATCCAGTAAAATCTAATAAAAAGGAAATACAAAGGAAAACTTTGAAGGAATTCAGTAATTAGCAAATTTTCGTAATCCGCTGGCTGCGCCCACAGACCACCGCTTTGAAGCAAGCAAGATCGGAATCAAAACGAAGCCCACGGGAATTCAGGACCAATTCGGACCATAAAAAATGGGAGAGATCCCGAAAGGACAACAATTACACCTCGTACCTTGTTGAACCAAGGATCATGCAGAATGTCGACACTGCGCTTGTGGACGATGGAAGGGCGAGAACCCTCAGTGGTGGTTAAGGATCTCGCCGCCGACGCAGCCGCGGCAGCTGGATGAGGCCGCCTCAGCCGCCTGGCCAGAGATGACGATAGCGAGGCCCTCGTCAGCTGCGACGGGAAGAATCCCATCTTCGCCTCCCCGCGAGAAATCCCCTCAGCGCAGGGACGAACCAGACACTGGCGAAGAGACTGTCCGAGTCAGAAGGATGGGGCGGGCTGCGGAGTTGGTGCGATCGCCTTTGACTGCCGGCGCATCTGGACTGTTCACCAAAATGGATAGGAAGATGCCTGACTTTCACCGGGCGGACCGGTTCATGGGTATGTATACGTCGATTGTTCTCAGTCAACGATAGCCAGCTTGACCCTTTTTTTAAAAAAAAGTAACTAATTATTATTAAATTAATTATCATTATATTATCCAGTTTTTAACAGTCATTTTTCTTCAATTTATTTTTTTTTCTTGAAAAAAGAAAGGGAGTTGCCCAAAGGGGGAAGTTGCCCACGAGCAAGTCAACGAGGGTGGTCCTTTGCTATTGACATTTGGAACTTCCCGTTTTAGATATTCCTAATTTTTATTAATGTGACTAAATATATAGACCAAGTGGCGTTTTGACTTTCTAGTTGACTTAATTTTTAATAGCTTCTCGCATTTAAAATTTAGCACCACTTTAGTTTCATGAATATTTTATTGAGATCACTGCCAAAATCATGGCATGAGCTCAAATAATCTCACGCATATACCAAGAAATCAAGCCAGGTTTGACCTTTTTTGGGTGAGATCCTCTTCTCGTCACCCATTTCTAAATTGGCCTAATTCCACATTAGGTGAGGGACAATTAAGGTATGATACGCCCTGTTTGACTTTAAATATAATGTCTACATATGGAAATGAGTAACTTTTGACTTCCTACGAGCTTGATCCTATAAGCTAAATTTATTTAATTTTATATTTTTCAATAAAAATATCAAATAAGTCAATCAATAACAATTTAATAGGAATAAAATAAATTTCATATTTATCTTTCCACAGTTTCATATTTTTATCTTTCCCCACAAAAAAATATAGGAATAAAAAAAAACTCAAGAAGCTACTATTTCATCTAGAAAACTCTCAGCAAGAGAAATGAGAATTGGATGAAACTATAATATGGTGGATCATTCAAGTTTATCTTAGATAATCAAGCTTTCCATTGGTTGACTTAGTTATCAAGGCCACCTATAATTATTCTTGGTCAACTACCCAGATGAGGGTAAAGCACAACGGCAAGGATGTTCTAGTAGACAAAATATAGTAATTTGAAAATAATTATTTTAAATACATAATTCAACAATAAATACCTATAAAAATGTCGTAGACGATGTTAATATAGATGTAAAATTAATGAAAAAAAACGATGGGAAATTTGTTACTTTTTTACATCATAAGCTTTCTTTCAACTATTTTTCTTAAAATAGCAAAAAATTGGTACAATACCATGACATGGCTCACACAACCACTCATCAAATTCCACTCACAATATCCAACATCATGATAAAAAAATGGTTATAAAAAATAGCCAAGAAATTAAGATAAATGATTGCAATTATGTCCATGAGTACTACCTCAGTCAAAGTTCCATAATTTTTTAGGGTTGTATGCCTTGTCGAAAGTTTGACTTTGGTGCTAGAAACCAAAAAAGTCAAGCCGAGCCAAAGCCCATAACAAGTTCACAAGGCTCAATATTGGATTTTTTTTGTTGTTGACAATAATAGACAAAACATTTAAACAATAAATGTATGAACTTACGTGGGATATGGTGGATTATTCAAGCTTATCTTAGATAACCAAGCTTTCCATTAGTTGACTTATTTATTAGGCCCACTTAAAATAATGGGCAACTACTTAGACAAGGGCAAAGCCAATAGGAATGATCTTCCAATAGGCAAAATATAGCAATAAGAAAAATTAATGCCCTAAATACACAATTAAGCAATATATACTATAAACGTGTGGGAGATAATGTTAATATTGATGTAAAATTAATGAAAGAAATAATAGGAAATTTATTACCTTTTTACTATCATAAGCTTTTTCTCAACCATTTTCCTTAAAATAGTAAAAAAAATTGGTGCAATACCGTGGCATGGCTCACATGGCCACTTACTAAATTCCCCTCACAATAGTCAGAATGATAAAATGATTGGAACTATGTTCGTGAGTGCTAACTTAGTCAAAGTTTCATAATTTTTTAGGGTCTTACAATTGATTTTGTCGCTAGAACCCGACAAAGTCAAGCCGGGCCAAAGCCCGAAACTAATTCACAACGCTTGGTATTGATTTTTTTGACAATAATTAGAAGAAAACGTTTGATACAATAAATGTCTGAACTTACCCGGCATAGTAGCCGCACGTCCACGTCAGAATGATTAATGCAAGTTTTGACCTATGTTGAAGATGACCCATCTGGTGGGCCCGCGAAAGGGACCAAATATGACCTCTGCTGCGTACTCTGGCAGTCCCCATTTAGTTAACATGCATATTTAATTGTGAGAATTTAAAAAAAGCCCAACAAAGTGTACTCACATTTATTGGAGGCCGCTCGGGCCCGGCCCGGCCCGACCAGGATTTCCAAAGCCCGGAAAATGGTGTTCTTCCTATATAATAAGTGCTCGAACTCTGGCCTGACACTGTTCATGGGCCGGGCCGGTCTTCCGGGCCCGTTTTACCCTTTTTTTTAATAAAAACAACAAGAGCTAAAATAATTGTGAGCTATTTTGTTTTAGTGCGAGTGGGTCCCACAAGAGGACCGTGCAGCATGGGCGCCTATTTATTATGATCAGGGAGATAGGGTTGATGACGTCAGCGGGTCATATGCTGGGGCCCCCACAAGAATCCAAAACCCCGAGATCCATATCGGACGGCAAGGATCCGCCGCCCCGAAGCGAATGCTCGCCACTTCAACGGCAGGGGAGACGCGGCGGCGCCGCCGCCGGTAGGGGGCCACCGGAGTAAATCCGACTTAAAAGAACCCGGCTGCGGAAGGTGGCTGCGCCACCAGATCCAATCCTCGGAGCTCGAGGAAAAGGGTGGAGGAGAGGAGGAGCAGAGATGCCCGATCATGGGGGGTCCTCTTCTCTCTGCTCACCGTCTCTTCCACGGCGGCGACACTGTATTTAGGGCGGTATAGAGAAGAGGTAGGAGGAAGGAGGAAGGAGGAGAGTTGGTGACAGTGAGAGGTAGGTCTGTCCCTGTCCAATCTTAGGGTTCCGATATTTTTTTTATATATTTGGGGGATTGCCGACGGCTTTGGAAGATTTCCTCCTCCTCCGATGGCGGAGGAGAAGGTCAGTGAGATGCGACGAGGAGGATGATGAAGATGACGACGAAGTGCAAGAAGCATCCATTCGAGCAGGGCGTCGGCGTCTGCGCCTCCTGCCTCCGGGAGCGCCTATTGGATCTCGTCGCCGCGCAGTCGGGGGGCCGCCACCGGCGGACCTCCGGTGAGACGCATCGGCAGGAGCTTCCTCCGCCGCCGGTCTTCCCCCGATCCGTCTCTCCCTACGTCTCCCGCCGACGATCCGTCGATCTGGACCTCCACGCCGACGGCAACCCGCCGGCGCAGAGTCATCGCCGGCAGAAGCTCCGGTTCTTCAGCACCCCGCAGGCGGGAACTGTGCAGGGGAAGGGCAAGGGCGCAGGGAGTGGATTCTTCGCCTCGATCTTCGGCCGGCAGAGCAGATCTGAAGTGGTCGGAGAGGATTATCGAACCTCCAAGGTGCAGCAAGGATCGATCTCCTGGTTCTCCGCCCTCGTGCCGGGGAGGAGGAAGAAGATGCAGCAGATGAGGGGTAATTCCCGATTCTTCGAGGAGGCAGTGGAGGAGGAGGAAGAAGACGACGACTCGCCGGAGCGTAGCGGCGCGGCGGAGTCCGCCGGCGATTGGCGGATACCGGGGCTGACGCCGACGAGGAAGCAACCGCCGTCGGCGCAGAGCGCCATGGCGGGGTTCGTCGTCTGCCTGAGCCCCCTGGTCCGCCCCAGCCCACACCGGAGCCAGGCGGGGGAGGCCAGCGAGCCTGGTGGCGCTGCCAGGGTCTCCGGCCAGCACCGGCGGCACAGGTCCGCCCTCAGAGCGGAGACGGCGGCTCTAGGGCACAACCGATCGAGGAAGATCGCAGACTTGGGTAGGTTCCCTTGATCTTCTTCCTTCTTGATTATTTTCCTCAAACTGGATGTATAGCCCTAGAAAAAACGGCCGCTCGAGAGTTCCCCCAAACGCTCCAACACTTTCCAGGAAAAAAAAAAAACTTTCTTCATCCTTGATCATTCTCAACAAACCGTCACCAGCCATCTCTCTCTCTCTCTCTCTCTCTCTCTCTCTCTCTCTCTCTCTCTCCATAACTCAGATGGTAACTGCAGAGAACTCCTAAAAATCTTTTACTGTTATCTCTCATTTTTCTTGGTATAACATCAAAATATCTGATAATTTTTAATTGGGAAAATATTAAATTGAAATTAGCGGGTATTTATTTATATAAGATATACCAAATTTTGGTACCATTTGACATGATATTGTGGATAAACACTGAAATTGCAAGTAATAATATCTGCAACCTTTTTATGTGGGCCCTTTTTAAAAAACGTTTTACCTTGAAAATAAGCCCGGATAAACACGCATACAAGTCCATGTATCCCCATTTGAATGCACATTTTTATATCTTTATATGCATATATGTTATATATATATATATATATATATATATATATATATATATAGATAGAGAGAGAGAGAGAGAGAGAGAGAGAGGAACACGTTATGTAGAGGGGGAATTGCCGCAAAATGCTAGTCAACGCACCAGATGCTCTGGAGAGAGAGAGAGAGAGATACCTCCAAGGAAGAGGGAACAAACGCTTTCTTGACCGAACTCAGAGAGGCTGTGAATGGCTCCATCGAGACTTGCCCAACCAGCTCATCGCACGGCTCTATTCGTATAGTGGGGTGTGGGCCCAGCCCACACTGAGCTGGGATGCTGCCTGCCCGGGCCCTCTATAGTCTGGGCCCGGCCCGTAACACACGCCCATGTGATATAAATACATGCATATGAAATATTTCGAAACATAACTAAATATTTATATAGTTTTGGTACAGTTCCTCCTATGTTGGGACTCATGCCGGCTTTCAATGCCAGCACAGTGAGCCGGGGTCCTTTTCTCTTGGCCCCGGCGTGCTCTGGAAGGCGCTTTCAATGGGCAATAATAATGTGCCTCTCACTATCTTTCTCTCTCTTCTTTCTCTCTCAACAGTATAATGACGTTATTCTTTGGATGGCTCACAACCATCAATGGAGCAAGTCGGGCCCGAGCTTTATAAAACTTATCCGGGCCTATAGTTGGGCCTTATGTTTCGGGCCGGCCCGGGCCCGGCACAATAAGCTTCGGAGAGTGTGAGAACGGAGGGGGAGGAACCGAATTGATACTGAGCTTCTCATTGAGATGAGTTCGAGCGGGTGGAATATTAGCTTCAGATGGGTTGGGTTAAATGGGCCTTGCTTAACGGCTCAAATGGGGTGGGGACTGGGCTTGTTGTGTTTTACCGGCCCATTACCGGACCTGCCGGTATTTTTCTGATCGTCTTCCTCCACGCCGGCGAAGCGCGCGGCGGCTGGAATCTCTTTCCATCGGCGGCGGTGGCGGAATGGCCTCCTGATCTCCATCGCCACCGTTCTCAGATGCTCCGCAGATTAGGGACCTTCGTTTTGATGTGAATTACCATCGTATGAATTCCTTTACCGTAGGATCGGGTTGATCTTGGTCGAGTAATGGAACGGCGCAACGGCGGTGGAGGGGGATTCTGCTCCTTCCCTCTTCTATTTGCCGTCGCCGCCTCCTTCGTGGTGGCAGTTCTTGCGCGGGTACTGTACGTGCTGTACCACACGGGAAGGCCGCTCCGCTCTAAGAAGGGTGTGCGGCCATTACGCACGCTCATCATTCTCGGATCCGGTGAGAGAACGCTTAGTTCATTTTATTTTTTCAGGGAAAATTGTTGATTATTTTTTACTGGTTTGTCGCGGCGCTGAGGTTGATCGAGCGTTTGATTTTGGAGGACCCAGGGGGTCACACGGCCGAGATGCTCAATCTCTTGGCGGTGCTCGACAAGGACAAGTTCAACCCCAGATTCTACATCTCTGCTATCACGGATAGCATGAGCCTCCAGAAAGCTGAGGTTTACGAAGAATCAATCGCGCCGCAGAATGTATGTCGCCTTCCTCCCCAGTCAATCACACTTGCCCTATTATTGATTTTTTCTTCAGTCACCATGCCGTTTTAGATTTTTTTTGGGGAAAAATTTAATTCAAACTATCTATCGTTTGCAATCTTCAGCACAAAGGGATCATTTCAAAAACTCCAAAATTCCAAATATCGGATTTAGGGGCAGAACTTGGCAAAAAAAAAAAATCCACTTAAAAAATGCTAATTTCGAAGCTTAAAAGCATGCCATGCCATGCCATGCCATGCCTTATGAATCACCACTTTTCGGGAGACATTTAACCATCCAGATAATCTGATGGTTACAGTTGTGTTTATGAACCTGAAAGTTGTCTCTATGATCGCGAGGCACGTGATGGGAGACTTATTTTACTTCCCTGTCTGCCTTCAAAGGGACTAAAACTATTCACTTCGCAAAGGTTCTTGATTCACATCTCTGACAAATTCTGTTAACCAAAGTGATGCTGATCAAATCATTTTGGGGTTAGAAATGCCAATGGATCCTATGAAATCGACGGACAAGTCCTTTGGGATTTTAGAAAACCCTATGAGACTTTACTGATCTCGTGGTTATCTATGTTCTAATATAGAATATCTTAGTCAGGGTTTCTTTTCTCGGTTTTTTTAAGCAGAATCAGGGCTTCCTGCTTGACTGCCCTGACTGTTGTTCTATCCTCCTCTGTCAATGTACGTCACCCAGCGGTGAGGACATGACTTGAACTGTACATCATGTCCCCTTGGTTTTATACTAACAGCTTATTCAGTCAAGGTATGGAAATACCTTATATTAAATTGAATAAATCGAAGATTACTACACAAAAAAATGAAACGAGGATACTGCAGTGTGCTTAAACAAACAAAACAGAAAAAGAATTTCAAACGAGGAACAGGACCCAAATCCCTTACATCCTAGAACGTGGGTGCACAATTGACTACCGATAGTCAACTACAAAAAATACAATTTGATGGCTCACTGGTGCCTGTGTAGCTTCTATCGTGGACGTGGCATAGAGATCAGATAACACGTATTCTGAAGGTCGGGCAATGGCTTCGAGGCCACAATGTCCTGTGAGTGTCCTCCATTGATGTCCAGCACCATGCTATTGACAAAGTCTGGTCATAAGGGTTGCATAACCAACTAGTGTTTTCATTAAGGATAAACCATTTATGTCAGTTACTCATATGCATTTCACATATACTGGCAAAATAGAAGCCAATCTACTTTGTTCATTATTACACATTCAAATTAAACTATATTCTTTCATAATCCCTGGGAACTCGATTGGACATTTCACTTGGGGTAGATACTGTTTATACAGCACTTATGGTGTATGATTTGTATCTTTCTTTCTGCATTATAAATAAGGTTACAGACTTTTTTTCTCTGATGATTATCTATATTTGGATAGATTTGCGGTCATTAATGTGGTATTGATATTAATATGTACGCATGATCTGTATCTCGTCCGTTTGCTTCTGTAGTTGTCACATAACAGCCAGAGCTGTTGCCTGATTTCGCTGGTTATAGTTTCTGAAAAGGATGTAGTCTCACAATTGGGGCTGGTTAGTCATATTGCAAGAAGTTCCTACCAACCTCATCTTGACTGGCAGCAGAATGAACAGATCCAATGCTAAGGGTGCATGTAGACTACAGGGAGATGAGAGCGGACAGAGGAGACGTACGCACTCAAGACTGGTTCAGTTTGTTCACAATAAAGTGAACATGGTGCTCTGTACATGGCATTACCTGATCTTGAAAAATCTTTCCACCTATCCATCATTTTCATGGTGCTCTTGGGACTACTTGGGGGGCCATTTTTTTGAATCTTTCTTTGACTTTTTTTTATTGGTTGCAGACAGGCACTGGGGACGAGATGAATCCTGCTCATTTTATGAAGATCTATCGAAGCCGGGAAGTGGGTCAATCTTACATAACATCTGTCGGAACGACCATAGTCGCTATCATCCATGCATTATGGTTGACATTTAAGATCAGGCCTCAAGTGGTATTTTTTCAATATATTAAAGTTTCTGGTCGTCAAATTCTCAGAACTCTTGAAGTATCACGTAATTCTTTGATCTTGTTTCAGGTCATTTGCAACGGCCCGGGTACTTGTATTCCACTCTGTGTTTGTTCGTTCCTTCTCAAGGTTTGGACTTTTGTACACCGAGGAATCATCTTCCAAAACTGAAGCATCAGATTCATTTTAAACTTTAATCGAAGAGGAAATAAACACAATTTTTTGGTTTCTTTCTCTGAATATTGGGACGACTTTACGGCCTTTGCTATTTATAATTAGCTAATTAAGAATTTCTTATCGACGATAGCAAACCCAGAACATAAACTTTTGCTCCAAAACAGCTGGGATTTCGACCAGGATTCAAATTTAGACCTGGGGCTTGTTTTTTTTCAAAGATTTTACCTCTATGATTTTTCGATCTCATTTATCACCCTTTTGAGAGATTCGACTACATATTTCTGTCAAACAAGAAAATTTACTTGGATTCAAGGCAGACGAAACTCTTCTGCTCAAGGTGGGATTGGTAGAGGAGGGCTCAACTCTGCTGCCAGCTCACATGCAGAACATCATAGCGAACTATTTTTTTTGAGCAATAAATTGACAGACTCTTGTTCTTCAGAAACTATTCACCATGGGTGGAAGTTCCAACATATTGCTTTAATATTCACCGATCTCTTATTATAAAATGTCCATAGGAGATTGACTGTTCTGTCATCTCTGACAGGTGGTCGGTATTAGATGGTCATCCATCTTCTACGTTGAGAGCATAGCAAGAGTCAAGAAACTGTCCTTGAGTGGTTTCCTTCTCTACCACTTACGCATGGCTGATCAGTTATTTGTCCAATGGCCGTACTTGAAGACAAAACATCCCAGAGCTCTTTACGTTGGCCGCCTCATGTAGTCAGATACTATCGGTAAACATGCAGCTGAGATTATCTCTTTTATTTGCCTGGTCGCTCAGTTTTTTCATGCCCCTCTTCACCATTTGCCAAAAAATCAGATAATTTTGCACTTGCAGAGATCTTCAAACATTATAAAGCTGAGATAAATTTTGTATGTGTTGACTTCTGAAAGAAAATAAAATATTTCCTTCTGTTGACTTCCTCATGTAGATGGGTGTTATCAGTCAACCAGACAGATTATCTTCCTCATGTATTTCCTTCAGATTATCTTCCTCTGTTGACTTCCTCATGTATTTCCTTCAGATTATCTTCTGATTGCCTTTTTTTCCAGCTGGTTCACGCTCCTCTTCTCCATTTGCAAGTCACATTCCGGCATGGTGGATCTGCGTAGTCTTGCTCTTGCAGAGAGCTCTTCAGACTGTGTGATCATGGGGAAGAGAGCAAAGCTGAGATCAATTTTATACGTGCAGATTTTTCAGAGATCAGATTTTTTTTTTATCCGTTTCGTCTGGTCTGTAAGATTTTAGCAATTATCTTGAACCCACATTTAGGGTTCATGAAATTACTCTGAACCAAGACCTACGGTTGATGAAATTATCTTGACCCACATCTGCTTGATCCATATAGTGTAATCGTGGGGAGAGTTCAAGCTGAAGTTGATTTTATGCATGCCGATCTCTGAAAGATCGGATTTTTATCCCTTTTTATTTTTTGTGTCAATAAGGTTTATGAAATTAGTTGAAACCTGCATCTAGGGCTCCTGAAATTCTCCGAGCCTACATGCATCTTGGGCTCATGAAGTTCATCCCATTTTCTATTTATGGGAAAATTAAGCCTCAGATCAATTTATTTCATGCTTATTCTATGTTGACTTTGGTCGATTAGGTCTTAAAGAATCTATAGATCTTTTACTAGATTTGGGTCTTGTGATATAAATGTTATTCTCTGTGGCTAAAAGAGCAGGGGAGCTTGCCAATAATAGACGAAGTTCAAGGGAATATTCTTCTTCTTCACCCACGTCGGTGAGCTGCTCCCTCTCACGGCGGCGGAGGAGGTGGCGGCGGCGCCGTCACGGCCACCGCCACCGCTGGGGCCTCGGGGTCGTCGTTGAGAGCCTTCTTGACCTTTTGGACGTCGAGGTAGTTCTGGTAGACGTAGGAGGCGGATCCCCAGACGGCGAGCAGCATGGCCAGCACCTTCTCTCCGTCCATGGGGTCGCCGAAGAAGAAAACGGCGAAGATGGGCACCAGCGGCAGCGCCACGGCGCTGATCACGTTGGAGAAGAGGGACGAGACCAGGAAGACCAGTCCCACCACCCCCACCGACGCCACCTGCCACGCCACCGCCGTCCCCGCCAGCGTCATGGCGTAGGACGCCTCCCCTTTCCCGTACGCCGCCGCCTCGCCGGCCAGGGACCTCCACTCGCCGGAGCCCAGCAGCCCGGCGGCGGAGGCCCCCGCCGCCACCGCCGACGTAAAGATCTGCATCTCCAGAACCACCCGAAAAGTCGCCCTCTTGATGACCCTCTCGAAGGCCAGCTGCATCAGGGACAGGATCAGCGCGTACGTCGCAGACGCCCCCAGCGTGAGGATGAAACCGAGGGCGTACTTCCCCTTGGGGATGGCGGAGGAGGAGGAGTCATCGGCGGCGCCGCCGCGGACGCCGAGCAGGGCGGCGGAGAAGGTGAGGAGGAGGACGGAGTTGAGGATGAGGTGGGTGAACTTCTGGGAGTTGATGAGGCGGGAGAGGACGGCGTTGAAGGCCAGCTGGGTGGCGCAGATGAGCGAGTAGGTGGAGACGGGGAGGTAGAGGAGCCCGTAGGAGTACATCAGGTTGTCGCCGGCGACGAGGAGGCCGATGGAGAGGTACACGGCCGCGAGGAGCGCCGCCGGCGGGCGGCGGGCGGCGGCGCCCCCGGGGGACCCGCCGGAGGAGGAGGAGGAGGAGGAGGGGAAGAAGATGTAGGCGAAGAGGAGGATGGGGAAGCCAGCGGATTGGACGAGGGTGGCCATCCACTTGCTGTTTCCTCCCTGATCGTAGTAGAATCTCCCCAGGAGGGTGGCGGCGGTCTGCCCGGCGAGGAGGAAGAAGACGTTCAGGCCCACCACGAACCACCACCGCCACCTCCGCCGCCCGCCGGCGGCGGCGCCGCCGGGTCCCTCGAGCGTGCCCATCGCCGCAATTGCCAACCAGAACCAGCGGAGAGAATAAATAAGCAGAAATAGATAGTCAGCCCGTCGTTACCGGGCCTGATCATATGTTTTTTTTTCCAGAAAAAGGAAAATCCTTTTTTTTTTCCGGGATCTTATCCGCCGACGAACCCAGTTGTTGTAATCGGTTATGATAATCTGCCGGGAGGGAGGACCCAGACCGGGATGAACGGCGGGAAGATCTCCAAGCCGCCGCCGCCGTCCTGATTCTGAGGTGGTCAGTTGCCGCCGCGACGTGGAAAAGTCAAAGATTGCTGTTTGACTTGCGCAGTCAGGTCAGTCACCGTCCCCCCTTGTCATATATTTTTCGGATTCCGGATATTTTTTAACATAATTAAACTGGTAACAATGCGAAAAGCGGCGTTGGGTAGAGAGAGAAGAAGCCCGAGCTCCAAAACGATTTGACTTTCTTTCGACTTCACCCTAGACGACGAATCGCCCTATAATGGCCTCTTGTCCGAGAGCGCCGACGTGGAACGGTCAAAAGATCGACGTGTCAGTTGCTGAGGGGTGGAAATCGGGCCCACCCCGGGTGAGGACTAGCGAAGGACGAGGTCTTGTAAAACGGTCAACGTGGAGCTCTCTCGCTGGTCGCCGGAATGCCAGTGCAGACTTTCCTCACTTTCATCAGTCCCCCTTTGACCAAAGTGGCGGGAGCAGCCTCTCTATCTCTTTCTCTCTGTGATCTCATCCGATCATTTGGGTCCCGCCTCCCCCAACACTACAATGAGTAGCCAAATCACACCGAAGCGAGAGAGAGAGAGAGAGAGAGAGAGAGAGAGAGAGAGGAGGGCTCACGAGCACCAATAAGCCACCCAGAGAAGTAGCCATGGAAGGAAAGAACGAGGAAAAACATATACTATATTGACACGTCAGACGATCTTCGCCGGAAAAACCCTCCCCAAAAAAACAAGATAGATTCCGCCGCGATCAGATAGATCCTCGGGATCTCCGCCGGGAGGACGCTAGAGAGAGAAAGGGCGAATAATTAATTAGAGAGAGACGGAAGGCGGCCCGCGGGGGCGGGGAGTTTCAGCAGCTGCAGCCCCCGGACTGCGGCTGCGACTGGGCCGAGTTGGCGCTGGTCGTCTTGAGGTTCACGTCCACCATGTCCTCCTGCTTAGTCGAGGAGAGCGTCTCCATGCCCGGCAGCGCCGCCGCGATCTTGCGGAAGAGGGCCTGCAGAGACGGGCGGCGCCACCAATGAGAGAGAACGAGGGAGCGAGCGAGCGAGCGAGCGAGCGAAATAGAGAGGGAGAGAGAGGAGCAGGGTGGGTGTCTTTCTTACCTTTATGTTGAATCCGGCTTTTGCGCTCGTCTCGATGAACATCACGCCGAGATCCCGTGCCTTGGCCTCTCCCTCCTCGATGGAGACTTGCCTGTTCCATCAAGATATGCGCTTCAGCCCGTTATTCTGCCCATTTTTCCTAATCTTTTTAATCATAATATGTTCGCCGCATTGTGATTTGGGTGATTAAAAAAAATAAATCAGCGAAAAATAAATCATGGCGGGCGAAATGACTGGACGGCGGGAAAAGTTGGGCCACGATCTCCCATAGTCAACTCGTGTGTTTACCTCTTGTCCACAAGGTCCGTTTTGTTCCCGACCAGGACGATGATGACGTCACTGCCCCTCTCAGTGCGAACCTCCTCGATCCACTTCAAAGTGTTCAGGAACGATTGTCGACCTATATGAAGAAAGGGGAGAAAAATAAAAATAAAAAGGCAAAAAAAAAAAAATGGTCAAAGAAACACCTGGATCTTGCACGACGATGAAAGATTGGAAGAATACGTTGACTTGATTCCATGCTTGCAGGGAATACGTTTTGGGGGATTTATCTACTTTCATCCAGAGTGTGGATAGAAGATGCACCATTTTGCATTCTGGGCAAAAATAATTGTTTTAACTGGATGCCCAATTAATATTTCGAACCTTTTATTCAATAAATATTTATGTTCTTGAGCTAAAAAAATAAATAAATCTTACTTGCAACTGAAAAGATGTACTTCCTGCCATTCTGGACAAAAAAATTGTATTGAATTGATGCGCAGCATGTATTTCCAAGCTTTTATTTAATAAATATTGATGTTCATGCTATATATATATATATAAATCTTATTTGCAACGGAAGATGTACTACTTTACATTCTGGACAATTTTTTTTGTTTTGCATTGATGCTCAATATATTTCGAACCTTTTATTCAATAAATATTAATGTTCTTGAGCAAATAAAATAAAATAAACTCATCTTACTTGCAATGGAAGATGTACTACTTTACATTCTGGACACAAAGATTGGTTTTGAATTGATGCGCAATAAATATTTTCCAACTTTTATTCAATAAATATTAATGTTCTTGAGCAAAAAGAATAATAATAAAAAAAATCATCTTACTTGCAACGTCGTAGACGATGACAGCGACGGAAGAGTCCCTGATGTAGCTAGGAATGAGGCTCCTAAACCTCTCCTGTCCTGCTGTGTCCCTGAAACAAATAAAAAGTTACTAAAAACAACAACATCATCACGCATGATCACAGAGGAAGATGAAACAAGTTTACCAAGATGGGCCATATATTTCTAGCTAAAGTATGCGGACATCATCCTACAAGTAATTTCATCATGTATTATGAATTTGAAAATATCTGTGCATCGGGCTAAGAACCATCGGCCATTTGGGATCCGTCTGATGCAGAGATCCAGTCTCCCAGAGACGGCCTGACTGCCAGTTACCGACCTAGGTGGATGATATACTTTAGGAAACATCTATTACCAGATAAGGTAAGTCAACCTAAGCTTGACAGGAGAACTCCGGCAACAGACCTATTATTTAGTATGTATGTTTCCTCGCAGATTTATTTAAAAGCATGCAAGATAGAACTAGTTATTTACAAAATAAAAGTGTGTAGGATGCGCCCATGTTTTATAGTGGGCATAATACATTCCTAACAATCGAAAGAGACATAGTTCTTTCCCTTACTGATATAATCGGAAGAGCACTGTTTATAGCATACAAGAACGAAGTCACATTGTGGACCATCCAAAATCGAGACATAGCAAGTGATTGTATCAGAGTATGGTTTCCGAACGACGCTGTACCAGAGCTGTAGTCTCACAGTTCTATCCTCAAGGTACATTGTCTTTGATAGAAAGTCAATGCCAATGGTAGCCTGCAGGTCGAAGGAAGAATGGTTGGCAACTAGAATTAAATTAAGAAAGCTTTTTATACCAAAGAAAGAGATTCAACATAGACAACATGACGTACTGATGCATCAATGCACACGGAACAAAAAAAGCAACATGAACAGCAGAAAAGGAAGAATTCACGAAAAACAAAACAATCTAATTACTATCCGAATAGTACAAAAGACGAATACGACACACCCTTCTGTTAATTATTATTAACATATGATGCTAATATCACTAGCCACGTTACTGATAGATTACAGAATGAGGCACGAAGAAAGATATAGGGGCTGAAATTTCAACCTGTCATCATCATTCTTCGATGCAATCTGCCGTAACACAGTTAATATTTTTGTCGTAGAGTCATGAATAGCTTTACGTGAAATATATGTGGCATGATGAAAGAAAATGTACGCATTCATATCAAGTTAGTTTCTTCCTACTGGGTATGTACTTTCAAAAAAAGCCCCTCGTGAGCATATTAATAGTCCATACCACAGACTAATGGATATTAGGAGAGTAGTGGAGATGATACGAACTTGGAACATGGAAACAAGAAAACCATGGGCCATGGTCCATGGTCCATGAAGCTCCGAGAAGAATAATGAGCACTGGCAATGGACATTAAGATTCGGCTGGTGGCAAGGAAAGAGCATATCCAAAGTCCTGGGAATGATGGAAAAAATAAATATATATATCCAGGAAAACCGATGAAAATGAGACTGTGATAGCCATATTTCATATAATCATAGCAGACTGACGTGGGAGATAAAGAACAGCAGGAACTCACTACTATGGAGGAGAAGAGAAATGGAAATCTGAGGAAACAAAAATATGAGCACCACTACCTGGGTTATTAGTTTGCATTTTTTAACCAATGAAGGATAAATCCTACTTTATTTTAGATGATATTTACACTATCAGAGTGAGAAAAGATGTGAAAATTTTAAAAAAGAAGACCTGTTCTCTTGGTAACTATATGAATGGTCAAGTACAGAAACTTTTGAATAACCAAAGAAGTTAAGCAGATTGGAGAGGAAACAACTGGATTCTCCTGCAGGCAATGATTTTGAGAGGACTATAACAGATCACGGAGTGTTTACTATCCTTTCTTTTAATTTTCGTTTGTGGAATGATTGATGGGGGAATTCCTCATCTATTCCTATTTTTATTCATGTGGGAGGCCTTAACTACCTGAAAATTCGTCATATTTCACGGAAATATTGTCTCTATTGGTCTCTCTTTGAACTGATCATCCATTCGTTTTAAATTATCTTGCTTCTCTGAGACACGGTAAAATGAAAATCTCAACCAGATTGAGAATCAGCAGTGGGTTAAATTGATTAAAATATTTCGGGAATAATATATAAATCGCACTAGCAAAAAAAACTACACGAGCATTAACGTATTTCAAAAGGATAGAACTTTTCCATTATTTGAGGATTCGATGAGATTCAGAAAGAAATTTCAGAATATAGGACAGCTCCTCGCGTAAAATATAAAAGAATATAAATATAAATCAATGCAACTAAGTCGGCTTCCAACAGCTACTGCCTTACTACTATTGTTAAGTGGACAGAAGAAGGTAACATAATGGTTGTGCCAGGTATAGCCTCTCAGATCGTGAAAAAATGATGAAGCCGAAGAAAATTGATGGCATGAGGATAGGATCAAACGTAATTACGCGGTTTTAAGGAATAGATCGGTGAATTGAAAGAGGAGGGAAATATCAAAAGCGTCGTCTAACAATATTGAGTTATAAGATTAAAAAAAACAGGTAGATTACCAAACATCGCAACAAGAGAGACACAAATGTTCAACAAGAATCAAACAGATCGGCCACAGAAGCAAGTAAGCAAGCCAGATCTTGACATGCCAGAGAGGATATGAACACCCGCGAGAGATAATCCACCCACCCCCCACGGCAGGGAGATCATACTCGAGGATCAGACCAATTACCTGATACGTGTTGTCGAACTTGTCGTACATGAAGCGAGTGATGATGCTGGTCTTCCCCACGGACTGATCCCCGAGGAAAACCAGCTTGTACTTGGCGAGGGCGGACACGGGAGCCATTTCCTATCAGTCGATCGACGCCAATACCGCTCGGATCCACGCTGCCGCAGCGAATCCCTCCCTTCCTTCCCCTAGCACCAAGCCGAGAGGATCGCAGTCAGCAGGGAGGAAGACGAGGGAGGAGGAGGAACCGAAGACCGCAGAGAGGAATTCTTTTTCCTCTTTCCTCTTCTCTTTCAAACAAAAACGCGGGGCCGAGATCTCGTTCAGCCTCGCCATTTATGCGCCTCCACGATCGCCGCATTCTCAGTGGGGAAGGGTCTTTTCGTCATTTCCTCACATGACGGTTCGTCGAAGCTTGGACCGGATCACCTCTTCGACCGGGTTCGGGCCGACTCTCTCTCTCTCTTTGCACACTGTAGTGAGGGGGGGGGTATTTGAGTCATTCATGTAATACAGACTGTTTTAAAAATATACGAAATAAATTATATACGAGAAATAAATAAAAGTTATTTTGTTAGTCATTTTTAAAAGCGTGCTGTGGGTCTGGTGTCTTTGTACGTACCATTTTTTGGTGCAACGCGGTGTGTACCAACTTTTCCATTCCTCGGCTTGAAGCTGAAGAAAACTTCAGTGGCCGCCGCTCATATAAGCTCGCGAGGTCTGTTCTCTCTCTCTCTCTCTCTCTCACACACACACACATCTGGTTTGTACCGAGTTCTGCTGTGTGCTCTTGCCCTCGTTCCAGTTTTTTGCCATGGCTGCCGGCCCAAATCCAAACCCTAATGCGGGCGGAGCCGATCAAGGTGCTGCGGCGAAGTCCGCAACCAAGGACCTTAAGAAGAAGAAGGACGAGAAGAAGGATGAAGATCTGGTAAGCGGGGGCATCTTCCTGCGCATTCGTTGCCTGCCATATATATGTATGCTATTTTTCTGGAATTTGATGAAACGGGGTTGTTTAATGCGAAGTCGGACGAGGATTTGGCCTTGAAGCAGCAGCTAGAACTCTACGTCGAGAGGGTTCAGGACTCGGATCCTGGCGTGCAGAGGCTTGCCCTTGAGAGCATGAGGTGACTATTTCGGATTTGTAACCTTTTTTGTGAACGACTGTGGCGGATGGTTAGGGTTTTTTAGTTCTTCCGATACTTCTGTATGGGGTTGATCGGCAACAAACGTAGAATTTAATGAAATAAGGGGACACTTCTTCCGCGTTGAATTATGTTTTTCGGCGTTGGCCTTCTATTGCTTCCCTGGGGTCAATAGAAAATCGTAGTACATATATTGGACCCTCGGTAGAGGCTGAGAATTAATATCAACGCATAGCTTAGGTTGAAAAATGTCGACTTAAATGGCAATATAATCAAAGAAAGATGGCATTAACTTGTTATACTAGCAAAGAAGCGCTCAAGTGCTCGTCTTATGATCATGTGAAATTTTATGCGGTAGCGAATTGAGGCTAGTATCAAAAGATAGTTTTGCTGACTAGAAAGTTAACCTTTTTTTCTGGAGGAAACTGTACATGGATAGTTCCGAGATGTAGATCCTATAAAAAATAACTTGATCAAAAGCATATATTTTTTTTCTGTTGAGAAGAATGATATATGAACCCATGAAATTCCAAAGATAAATAGCTAAAGCATCATGTGAACTACATCTTAACTGTTCACAGATATCCGTTAAAATGGATTCACTACAGATTATGAACTTCCCTTATAGTAGGTTGTAGCCTCCTAATGTCAGAGCATGCAATTGGATGTTTTTGAACTGCTCACATTGCTGTTGTCATCTTTCCAAATCATTCAATGGTGAAAGATTACTGATACTGAAGGAAGAAATTGTTTTAGTTATTTACATCTCAGGAAAATTAGTAGTCAATAACAATACTGATTGATCAAGGGGCTGAATTTTTTTTGGATCACGAGGTTAAGTCACGCTTCTATCTTATCATCCAAAGTTTAATGTGATATAAAAATACCTTTTTTTTTTTTTCACGAAGATGTTTTTCTCAGTTAGACATCGGATGATATTTTTCTGAAGTTGAGGGGAAATATTGTGCTTTCGAAATCGGTTTCTTTTCAGACTCACTGCAGTATTTGTGTTTCTTATGTTGGAATAGTTTGTTATTTTTTCAAACCATCTTAAGAATAATCTAATAGGATTTGTGGCATAAGAAATGATTTTCTATCTCATAATACTGTTCCTGTCTATGTTTCATAACACTACTGTTTTCAGTTCTCTTTTTAGCAAAAGAAACGTTTTTTCTATTTGCAAAAGAAACGTTTTTAGCAAAAGAAACGTTAGCAAAAGAAATATTTTAGTGATTTTAAAATTGCTATTTGCCTCATTGAAATTGGGAAACAGTATCTAAGTTGGTAACAGTAACAATATATTTTTTTTGGGTGGCCGTTGATCATGTATATTTACTGTCCCTTAAGGCAGGAGATTCGTACTGCAACAAGCTCGATGACTTCTGTTCCCAAGCCTTTAAAATTTCTCCGCCCTCATTATGGCACGCTGAAAGCGTTTTTTGAGACTGTTGCTGAATCTGACGTCAAGGTAGATCCTGCTTTCATCTTAACATTACATCGAATGATTATCTCAACACAGATGAACCACACTGTCACTTTTGTTGATTATTTTATTTAGAGTAACAATGACATTCTTTTTTAACCCTTTGTAGAAATACTTGGCTGATATACTTTCAGTTCTGGCGATGACAATGTCTGCTGAAGGGGAGCAGGTAGGCAAGAATATATGCGAGAAACTTATCTTTTGTTTTTTGAGAATTTTCGTTTTGCTTGAATGTTGACATCTACACTGCATTGGGGCAGTACTGTCGGTAAGACACATGAAGAAAGGGCACATATCCGTTTTTGTTTATTTCTCATTTCTATTTCCGTAAAGCTGCTCAGTGAATTTCTGAAATAAATCACATTTCCTTTGTTTGGGTAGTTTCCTCACTATCCTGTGTTTGTGTTGTGAGATTTTACCTCTTTGGTAAATTCACGTCCTTTATAAAAGTCAAGTGAATTTTTTCAAAATGAACTTTGAATTACTTTCCATCCGAAGCTCACTGTTTCGTTTTCTGCAAGCTTATTGCGCTTTTTTTTACTTTGTAGTCGTCATTGAACTTTTTCACTTTTTCTGCAAGTATTAACATCCATGTGATTGAATGATTGTATATGAGGAAATAGCCTTTTTGTGTAATAGTCTTACCTTATCGTTTTCTAGTTTTTTAAAGTTTCTCTCCTTCCCATACCTCAATGTAAATTTTTGTCCTCATTTGTAGTATCTGAATAGTTACACCTCTATGATGTCAATGACTTGCTTTCCAAGTATTTCAAATGGATATGACCTTTTATGTTACTTTAAATTGGCTTATATGCTGTATTGATATTGTCTGAACCAAAAGTTGCAATGCTTTGACATTATCTGATAATAGTTTTTCGTCTCCATTTTAGGAGAGCTTGAAGTACAGGCTATTAGGCTCAGAAGGTGATATTGGCTCTTGGGGCCACGAATATGTGAGGTGAGGGTTTGCCAGTTATATTTAAATGCATGGCCATTGATACTCTGGAGCAAATCGTGATCAGTTAGTACCTTTGAAGGTTTTTTTTTCTTATGGTGAATGACATTAATGAAAAAAATTACTACCGCCCTCTTTAAAAGACACGGTATTTATAGTGAACAATTTTTTTGAATAGGTCATTATATTTTTAATAAGAATTGTGTGATCATAGTCTCAAATACCTTGAATGCTAATAGACCAGGTCGCCATTCTGCAGCAGGGTAGTTCATACTTCTCTAACCAACTCCTTGAAAACCTCCATTTTCCCCTGTGATCCAAATGACTGTTGGGATAGCGTCTAGTACAGCCCACCATACCTCCTTTCTGTCTGCTCAGTCCTCGGATCCATCGAATGGTTGAGAGCAGGCTCATTTATGGGCTAGAAGCTTCAATTTATAATGGAAAATTGTTCAAATAGTAGTCTTATTTCTCAATATGTGGAGTAAGATGTCCTCCAATACGTTTTGTTCATAATGTTGTATTGCAAAAAGTTTCAAGTTCCGTACATGACGCATGAAACATAGATGTTGGCATTTAATGTTTTGTACTCTGTGTGACGTCCATCTAATTAACCGGAATTTTTTATAAACATTTTCCTTTCCAATGCGTCAAAATTTTTAGTTCTTGTCAATTTATTTATTCTAAGTGAAATGCACTGTCAGGAACCTTGCTGGAGAAATAACAGAGGAGTATGCTAAGCGCCAGGTCAGGCTTACAATGTTTTAGTTCATTTAATGGCTTTTTTTTCTTTTCTTTTTGAAGTACTTATCTGGTCTGTCCTGGGGAACGCCTAGACTATCTAAAAAGGGCTAATGTTATAGGAAATTTCAATTGATATCTTGTCTAAGTGTCCTGCTTAAAAAATTGAGTGCGATCAAACTGTAAAACTGTCCAACATAGACGTTGTCATTTGGTTTTGTATTTAATTTGGAATTTTTCTTTCCTCTTTGGGAGATAGGTGGGATTTTAACTCTAAATGATTATGGGGAAGAAGAAGGACGCGCAAAATCTCCCTATCCCTGCTTTCCATTTATGCCTTGTCAGCAGAAAATGAAATCTGTCCAAAAGAGATGATGCAGATTCTGGAACTGTATACTTACGTTTCTCTTAACTTTTACGTTAGAAACTTAAAATATATATTTTTAAATTCCTTACGTGTTTCATCATAGATGAAGTTTTCTCATTTAGTTGTTTTCTGCTCTATATGCTTTTTCTCCACGGGTAGGACAGTTTTGTTGATGTTTTCTCTCTTGTTTTCGTTCGTGGCCTAAAATTTTAGGCTTCGAAAGTTTCTTACAATTTATGTGTCTAGTGGGGTAGCATGGGGTGAGGGCAAGTAAGTGAACGACGTTACACAAATGAAGACTATGTGAATCTGAGCCAACATTTTTTTTCTGAATAAGCCCGCTGAATCCCAGACAGGGAGATTTGGAAATTAGTTTTCATTACTGGATTGGGATTTTTATCAAACGGTCCTATCCGTTTTATAATATAATGGAAGATTCATTGCTGACTTTGTTTCTTTACATGTCTTTAGCAGCATAACGACGACCTACCAATGGATGATATAATGGAACTTGTTCAGCAGATAGTTGCTTTTCACATGAAGGTAAACGTCATTGAATCTCATGCTATCGTGCTTGGGATTCTTTTTTAAAGAGTTTTCTCAGATGATGGTGGTGGGATTAGTGTTCGTAATTATACAAAATTACTATAACTGTATTGGTATGTCTCACATTTTGGCATATATCTTATGAACGCGCTGAAATATTTGTGCATCAAGTCCGTATCATGAAGCAAGAAGAAAAAAGAATCCGTTTCTAACATATTGCGTTTTAAAAAATGCAGCACAATGCTGAACCCGAAGCTGTGGATCTTCTAATGGAGGTAGTTCACCAATCTTTCTTTCGTCTTCAAACATGTTGATATTTTAATGTATTAATATTCCCTTAGGTTGAAGATCTTGATCTGTTGGTGGACAATGTTGACTCTACGAACTATAAAAGAACATGTTTGTATCTTACAAGCGCTTCAAGGTATGTTGTGAGATATTTGTTCGTCTGTAGATTCTTTTCGTTTGTTTGGCTTTATATTCGTCACATTATTCTGTCACTATCAGAGAATAATGTGGGAATTCTAATTTCAGAGCGAAAACATGTATAAAAATTGTCTCTCCAAGGAGTTGTCTTTTTAAATTGGTTAGCTTTTTAATAAGGGAAATGGAGTAGATAATGAAACGTTTTTAGTCCAAAAGTGTTCCTCTTAATATTTTGATGGAAATCAGTATCCAAAGTTGACATAGATTGACTTTCTACATACCATGGGTTTTGATTCTAGTGGTGAATGATAAGATTTCGGATGATTAAGAGATGTTCATTATGGCGAAACTGTAACATAGTGTTGATAATCTGACATGTTGTTTGGTTTTGACCAATTCGAAGGGGGGGAAATCATTATTGAAGTCCGTAGGACCTGTGAATCTAGATTTGCCTAGCTGATGGGGATATGAAATGTGATGATGGATCTGGTGACGAAGTTTATTGTATGCATAGAAAGTTTTGATAAGACAATGGATAAATTTCCAGTTTGTGGATTGCTACCCTGAAAGTTGGCGTTTTTATCAGAGTTAGTGCCCTTATGCTGATGCTTCCCTATGGCGAACGATTTCCTTCCATATAAAATGAAATCATCATTTATGACTTACAGGTATCTGATGATATTCTTTTGCTGTGAAAGGAAGACACTTGGTTAGAAATTTATTCTTATTTTCATGTAGAGAATGAATTTGGTCTTCTGCTTTGGATGACTAAACGTCTGACTTTGGAATATATGATTTTCTATAGTTGTTTATTTATAAGTTAGTCTAGTCATGCACTTTCCCGCTGTCTTTACCGAGTTGTACTCATCTTTGCACATCATAATTATTTTGTCCAGTTCGTGAAAAATTAGCATGGAGTTTTCGTAGGACATTCAATTCTGAGTTTCGTGTCTTTTTATATGTCCATTAGCATATTTTTAAATGTTCAGTAGCTAACATTGCCCTCCTCTTCCTATGAAATGAAATTAAGTTTACTTGGAACTTCTTGCAGTTACCTCCCAGGTCCAGATGATATAGTGGCAATAGACATTGCGTATACTATATATCTCAAATTTGAAGATTGGACAAGTGCACTCCGGATCGCCCTTTTCCTTGATAACATTCAGGTTTCTGCCAATAATCACTTACATCTATCAAGGACACCATTTGCTTATCGTGTTAACTCTTTGAAAGAGGACCTACTGCCATTCGTGTAAATAAGTTATCTAATCTGTGTTCTATCCTTGGTTTTGATAGTATGTCAAGCAGGTATATACATTATGTGAGGACCTGTTGCAGAAGAAGCAATTTTCTTTCATCTTGGCGCAACATGTAAGTTTCTTTGTTGGTTAATTTGTTTTATTATCTTTTTTCAGCTGCAGCGGTATGCTCGCGTGTATCCATAAATTAATTGGTTCTTTTCTGGTTTATTAATGCTTAGTAACGCAATTGCCACAAATCATAATAGAACAAAGTAGATTGTGGTGGTGGTGGATACAGAATGAGGTCGAACTCGCCCACAGAATCGATTAGGGCACATCATTGTATCTGGTTAAGATTAAGAAAAAATAAACTTGGAATGGTTTTTTATTTTTCTACCTGTAAATCCTCGCAATATTACTCCAGGGACAATTTTTCATTGGTGGCAGAGAATACCTGTGCCTAAAGAGTAGAGAAAAATATTTAGGATGCATAATATTAGTTTAATTATGCTTTGGTCACTTCTTTCTAACTTTGGAGACGAAGTGTTTCAACCTTCTAATGAGAGCCTTGAATCTCAGTTTTAAAGCTAAGCATTCATCTTACACAGTTCATTATTTATTTATTTGTTTATTTCTACCCTTCAGGATTTTACAATGTTAACTTTGGAACTGAATACTGGGGCACTGACGTCGAACTTTTTAAATGCAGGGTTTAGTATTAGAACTTGATGATGAGATGGTTGCAGATGACAACGACAGGGAGGCACTTCAGGATATAATTAATAACGTAAAACTAAGTGAAGGATATCTTACTCTTGCTCGGGATGTTGAAGTAATGGAACCGAAATCTCCCGAAGATATCTATAAGGTATTATCTGCACTGAACAGGAAAAAATATCTCCAAGAACTTTCAATCATTTATAAACCGTTTTAATTTTTTTTTCTTATTCAATTTGCAATGCCCCACTAAGTATATGGTGTATGTTTTACATAAAACGTGTTCCTGCGTCTACCTTTTTGAATCACAATTGAGGTCATGATCCGTGCTTTTAATGATCTCATCTGTGTAGTGGATGCATCGGACATCTGTTTTATTTTCTTTTACAAATAATATTGGCTGAAATATGCATCACTTTTGACATGTTATGGAATTTAATTGCCTCCTAGTATTTAACTTTGGAGTTAGGATGGATTCATCTATGATAGATAGGTTTGAACTTCGTGGAAGTTTATGGTTCTCCCATGATTAAATTTGTTGGCTTCTTTTAGGCACACTTGATTGATGGTCGCGCTAGTGCAAGTGCCACTCTGGATTCTGCAAGACAGAACTTAGCCGCAACGTTTGTCAATGCATTTGTAAATGCAGGTTTTGGTCAGGTGGGCTTTCACTTTTGACTGTTTGCCCACAAGTTGGAATTGCATTGTTCTAATGTATCTGACTTTTTCCTTCAGGATAAGTTGATGACGATTTCTTCAGAGTCTTCTAGTGGTAGTTCAACGGGAAACTGGTTATTTAAGAATAAGGAGCATGGGAAGGCGAGTGCCGCAGCAAGTCTGGTATTGTACCATCTCGTTTTCTTTTCTTGTTCAGAGTACGTAATGACTTTCATCAGACTCTGATTCTTTTGTTCTTGTGTGAAGGGAATGATTATGCTTTGGGACGTTGACTCTGGTCTTGCACAAATTGACAAGTATCTGCACATTGCTGACAACCATATTGTCGCTGGTGCCTTACTAGGTGTTGGAATTGTAAACTGCGGTATCAAGAATGATTGCGATCCTGTTAGTAATCTTTCATCTTGTTTTAGAATCATTTTCTTTTTCAGAAAAATTACAGTTTTCTGTTTACAGGCACTTAAAATTCTTCACGAAAAAATAATCAAGGACTATCTTTCTGTTTTCCTTCAGCATTTGTCGAACATTGTTCTTTCTTTTTATTAAATCACTGTGAAAGATTGATCTGAATGTTATTTTATATCCTACCCTTTTTTAGGCCCTTGCAATTCTTAATGATTTTGTAACAAAAGATGATCCGACAATGAGGATCGGTGCCATTATGGGGCTTGGGATAGCTTATGCAGGTTCTCAGAAAGAGGAGGTGAGGGATGCAGCCACGTTGACTTCTCCTTTTCTTCTTGGTTTTATCGTCCTCCTATTCACGGCTGATACATGAAATGTTCTTGTAGTTGAAATTGCGACTGTCTGCCCTGATCAGTGACTCAAGTACTCCATTAGATGTACTTGTGTTCAGTGCGATCACTCTGGGACTGGTCTATGTTGGTTCTTGCTGTGAAGAAGTCGCCCAGCTTATCATCATTGCCATAATGGAACGAAATGAGACCGAGCTGAACGATCCCCTCATCCGCTTTCTCCCTCTAGCCCTTGGGCTACTGTACCTCGGAAAACAGGTAATGGGCACACTCCCTCCCTCTCTGGGCACACTCCTAGTATGTTTTCATGGTTTCTATTCCAGGAAAGCGTCGAGCCCACCGCTGAAGTCTCGAAAACCTTCAACGAGAAGATCAAGAAGTACTGCGACATCACGCTGTTGTCCCTGGCCTATGCTGGAACGGGGAACGTCCTGAAGGTTCGCAGTCCCCCTCTCCCTTCTGTGTGACATACAACCTGTAACCAAGCTTCTTCAAAATCATGATCTTTATCAATGGGCTTCTTCTCCTCCAGGTTCAGAAGCTGTTGGGTCACTGCGCCCAGCATCTTGAGAAGGGCGAGACCCACCAGGGCCCCGCTGTCCTGGGAATAGCCCTCATCGCCATGGCTGAAGAACTTGGACTCGATATGGCCATTCGATCATTAGAACATCTGTTGCAGTATGGAGAGCAGAACATCCGCCGAGTGGTGCCTCTTGCTCTTGGCCTCCTTTGCATCTCCAATCCGAAAGTAAGTCCAGTGGGATTATCTTCTAGAGGAGCTGCCATGGCGGTTCTTACTACAATTTTTTTTTCCTCTCCTCTTACTTCCAGGTCAACGTCATGGACACGCTGAGCAGGCTGAGCCATGATTCAGATGGTGAAGTGTCCATGGTATGAGCTACGGAGAACTAGCAAACAATCATCATGACTTCATCTTTCTCTATCATCTTCGCTTACAGATTTATCTCGCCCACTGCCCTTTGCAGGCAGCCATCATCTCTCTAGGCTTGATAGGCGCCGGCACGAACAATGCCCGGATCTCAGGCATGCTTCGGAACCTCTCCAGTTACTACTACAAGGAAGCTGGGCACCTGTTCTGTGTATGCCCTCTCTTTCCCTCTCTAGCTTCTACATAAAGGAAAAAGAACCTACCTTTCTGGGCACTTATTTTTATTTTTTTTCCCTCTCCAGGTGAGGATTGCTCAGGGCCTTGTCCACCTCGGCAAGGGGTTGCTGACTCTCTCTCCTTACCATTCTGATCGCTTCCTGCTGTCTCCGTAAGCCCAGATTCATATATTCATTTATTCATTTATTTATAGAAATATCTGACTCTACGCCCCTGCCATATGATCTAATGCCCAATTTGACATGTATCAATCAGGACGAGGCTGGCTGGGCTGGTGACTGTCCTCCATGCATGCCTGGACATGAAATCCACAATCCTCGCCAAGCACCACTACATGCTCTACTTCCTTGTTCTTGCCATGCAGGTCCTCCCTCTTCTTCTTCTTCTTCTTCTCCCTTCTTCTGCCTCTTCTGCCTCTTCTGCCTCTTCTGCCTCTTCTGCTTCTGCTTCTGTTTCTGATGATGATGATGATCTAGCCGAGGATGCTGATGACGGTGGACGAGAGCTTAAAACCGCTGTCTGTGCCGGTGCGGGTCGGCCAGGCGGTGGACGTTGTCGGCCAGGCCGGGCGACCGAAGACCATCACGGGCTTCCAGACCCACTCAACTCCGGTCCTCTTGGCGGCCGGCGAGCGGGCCGAGCTGGCCACCGAGAAGTAAGCAAACCCACCTCTCTCTCTCTCTCTCTCTCTCTCTCTCTCTCTTCATTCTCTCTCCTCTTACTGAGACCCCCATTTGGAAATTCTGCTTCAGATACATCCCTCTCTCTCCTGTTCTTGAGGGCTTCGTCATCTTGAAAGAGAACCCAGACTACAGAGAAGAGAACTGATGAGCTGGTTTCAGTAGGAGAGTTTCATCGTTAGCTGTGGGGCATAAAGGAGCTTCATTTATCGTCGCCACACTGCCGCTTCTTCTGGATGGGGGAAGATGCCATGGGAGGCCACCGGAAGGGGGACGTTGACTCCCTTGAAGCCAGGTTTCTCTCACTAGATTGTAGAGAGAGGATTGCAGGGTTTTTGTCTCCACGAAGCTCTTGCCTCGCCCCTTTCTTGTGAGGGTTCAGGTTGTCTGAATTTCTTTTAAAAAGGAGAATTCTTGCTTTGGTGATTGGGGAAATAACTGGCTACATTATTAACGGAGAAGAAGACCAAGCAGAAGAAGAAGAAGAGAAAACTCGGTCTTGACTCGTCTTTTCCCTGGTTCCAAGCTCTTAAGTGGGTGTCTTTATGGGCCCGTCAAACTGCTTAATTTACTCTCTCTCTCTCTCTCTCTCTCTCTCTCTCTAACCCTGTTACTCCAGTCTCTTGAGTCTCTCTCTCTCTCTCTCTCTCTCTCTACTCATCTGCATCAGCTTCCATCATGCCATGCTTCTCTTTCTAGTCTGTCCCCCTTCTCTCTCAATCTCGCTCTCTTCAGTCTCTTTTTAACCCACTGGGTTTTTATCTTCTCTTCATTCCGCCTTTGACTCGCGAGAGAGATAGATGGTTAGATAGAGAGAGATAGAGAGGAGAGAGGAGAGAGAGATGAGTCTTCGAGCTGAATGAGCATTGTGTAGAAAGAGGCCCAAAAAGAGCCACTTTTTATACCATTTTGGATGTTTCCCAAGTGACTAAATTGATCAATTAGCTTCCAATTCTGGAATAAATAAGACAGAGAAGGCTGCGGGGGGAAAGTTGGGGAGACGGCGATGCTTTTAAAGGAGGCTGAGACCTAACGGTCATTTGTTGCACTTCTCTGTGTCTGCTTCTCGCTTGCTCCTGGCAAAACCTCGCCAAAACCCTAGAAGGGTACTGATCCTCGAGTGGGGGGCGGGATGGGACGACGGAAGGGCGGGAATAAGGGCGGCGTCACCCCCTCTTCCGGGCAGAGCAGCAGCAGCGGCACAGGGAGTGCACCCGAGGTACCCGCGAAGATGAGCGTCGCCGATCCGGAGGGCGTCGACGAGATCTTGGAAGAAAGGACGGAGAGCTCCAATCTCGATGACCCTGCTGAGCCCCTGATTGGCAGCGACAAGACCAGCGCCGATTACTACTTCGACTCCTACTCCCATTTCGGTACGATGGTCGCTGCTCTATAATGTCTCTTCCTCTATCCGTTTCCCTCTCTTTGCTCTTTGCTCCCCTTGTTTGGTGGACTTTGAATACGTTTTCTTCTCGCTTATATCTTGTAATCTGGGAAGCAGTTTTCGACGTGAAAACTAAAGGGAGTAGACGGTTTTGAAAGGAGGATAGGACTTCTGACAACTTCATTACCGTGCCAGTTGACAGTTCTTGACTTGTAGCATATACCAGCTGGCCATGTTTTCTTGTTCTACTATTTATTTTCTGAGCCACCCTCCAATTATATAAAGCAAAAGCCTGCAGAGTGTTGAATCCTGTCGACAGGGATTGCAGGGTCTGTAGCTTATGCACTCCTTGAATCCTGTCGAACGTTTCGTCTGTAGAGTGTTGGGGAGAAATGATGCTTACAGTTTGCCCTGAATGAAGACACTGCTAATCTTTTGTTTAGACATTCCTCAAAATTTTTGCATTAATTTTTCTCTCGTGCGTCGTGGTCGTCCAATGCTCATCGTTAATGATTATAATTATTGCCCGAGTTTGTTGCTGGATGTACCGTTGCTGAAGATGAGGTGTATCTATTGATGGGTCAATGAGATCTTGGTTAATGTGTGAAGTACATCTCTCCGTCTATTGTCAACACAGATCGATAGGAATGAGTAAGAAGCATCCGACAATACAGTGGCGGGGGGATCAGTTTACGTTGGACAGCGAGATTGACCGTCAGATATTCTCAGAGGCTTCTCTTTTCACTTTCATGATAGTTTAAGAGGCACCTTCTTTTGCTTTTTCGTACCTTGAAACCCTTGATTGCCTAGAAACTAGTATACATTTCGGAATCCCCTTAATACAACGTTTAAAAAATACATCTTAAACATGAAGTTTTGTGAAAATATATCTACTGTGCAGCGTTCAAAGCTAAAGCTCCCTTGGATCGTCATTCTGAGATTAACTTGCGATTTAATTATGCATCTACCCGAGAAGCATTGCTTAAATGTTCAGTTTGCATTTGTATTTATTTTCATGTAGCCTTATTGGAAAACTCCGTTTCTTTTTTTTTTACGTTGTCCGTATATGTATATTGTTCTGATATTCGATGCTATCCTTTTTTTTTTTCAGGTATCCATGAAGTACGTAGATGCCAACTAGATGTTCAATTATTGCAGTTGTTCAGTAAATGTGATCTGAGGTTTTGACGAGGGAAAATATGATCCCATGTTAATTCATATACAGTGAATTCTTTCGTTTTTGGCTAATACGAAAAACATCCATGATTTTTTATCCCTCGTGCTTTTGTGCTTCTTATGGTCCTGTAATTTTTGCCTGTGATCTTGCATTGTTCTTTGGTGATTACTTTTGGCCTTGTGATGGGATTTTTCTGAAAATTTGGGCTAGGTCACTGGTGCGCAGGCCAAAAGTTGAGATGTCCTCAACTTTTGGAGTTCTCTCAAAGCATAATTTATGTGAAATAGATTCGAGTCTCCAATGTCGACGATGATTTAGAACCTTGCTTTTTCTTTGACCGAGTCTGAGAAAAGATTGAATGGTTGTAAGTCCGTCATGATCAGGAAAACAGTGTTATGGAGATGGATCACAAAATGAGTCCTTATCCAGAACATTTGTGGAAAATGCCTGGTGACAATCTGTGGGAAAATCATAAAAAATGGTCATTAGCACTAAAGGTTTAAATTTCATGCGATAAATGCCACTTAAAGTACTACCTACAATTCAATTAGAATATTGCCTAAGGTACTTTTTGATGGAATAAGGAGTCCATTGCCCATATCTTTGTTAAATGTGCTATCATGCATGTGTAATGGTTTTGTAGTTTCAAAGGCATGTTCCTGATGTGTCCCAAGCTTGAAGGAATCAGTGAACTAAGGGGCAGCTCAAATTATGCATATTCCAGTGAATCTGAAATTTCTTGAACCAAGAAGAATAAGAGAGAGTGTCAAGGATAAGCTAAACATTGATAAAATCTCCCTCTTCATGGACGACAAGTTCTCCCTGGAGGTACTCTGGATACGTGAAGAAAAAATCCGGAATCTTAGCGTTAAGGTTTAAGCCTCTGCTTACTAATCACCTGATTCTGAAGATGAAAGATATGATATGTTTATTATGCTACTTTGCTGTTAATTCTTTGATGATCTGATTTTCAGAATGAGCTCTTTCAACAATTTAATCGTTTAATAGTGGCTTAGAGCAACTGCCTGCTGTACCTTTTTTTAACAATTGTGGAGTACGGCTTAATGTAAATAAAGAAGATATTGAAGCTGATTCTCCTCTCCTTGATGGAGAGAGAAAAGATATTGCCCCTGTGACATCTTGATGGAATTTTTGAATTTTTTTTGAAGCTGTGAAGCATTAAATGGAACTCTGACATATTTCAAAATCTATTGCAGGAAATGTTGAAGGATACTGTTAGGACAAAAACGTATCAAAATGTTATCTATCAAAACACATTTCTATTCAAGGACAAGGTGGTTCTTGATGTGGGTGCTGGAACTGGAATCCTTTCTTTATTTTGCGCAAAAGCGGGAGCCAAACATGTGTATGCGGTGAGTCTTAGACCAGATATCCTTTAACATTTTTAGATTGTCCTCTTGAAGGCAGTATGCTTTTTCTTACCCAGGGAACAACCATTGAATTTTAATTGGTTTGTGTTCATTCTCAAGGAGGGCATATCCAATTTTATATTTAGTCACCCTTTGCAGTTTATAACCAATCGATTACACCACAGTTCGCTATCGCCTTTTATTCAACTGCATTTTCAGTAAAGTGAATAGGGTTACATGCGATAACCACACTATTCCCTAGGTCCTGCATCAACCACTCCATTTTTAGGTGCTACCTCTATACCAATCTATCAAAGCTAATGTCCTTGCTGGTTTTGATCATAAACAGAAAGAAATTCTATAAAAAAGGATTGCTGTCAAAGCTCTATTTTGATCATAACTTTCCATGTAGAGGTACCTTTGGTAATCTCAACCTTTATGAAACCTCGCTGATTTCTTCATTAGAAACGGATTGCTGCCTCTAGCATATATGTTCAAATACGAGTGAAGCTTGTTGCTTCAATCGATTCAATTCCTTTGCAGGTGGAATGCTCCCTTATGGCTGATATGGCAAAAGAGATTGTTGAAGCAAATGGGTACTCGAATGGTAATTTTTCACTTTCTAGTCTTTTCATGGCAATTTTTTTTTCTCTTGGACTGGTGATATTTGTGGTACTGCTTCTTTGCACGGGAATTTTTATTTTCCCTCTGATTTGGGTTCCTTTCAAGTTTCCAGTCATAACTGTTCTGAAGGGAAAGGTTGAAGAGATTGTCCTTCCAGTATCTGATGTAGACATCATTATTTCCGAATGGATGGGCTATTTTCTACTGTTCGAAAACATGTTGAACACAGTTCTGTATGCACGCGACAAATGGCTTGTATGTATAACGTATTCTTTGATTCGTTTTTTAATTTAATTTATTTGCGCTGTAGTTTGGATTTTTCAGGAGATGAATGTACTTTTGTGATGGCGGTCTTTCACGTTTTAGTAGATAGATGTGATCATCTTTGTTCTTTTATGATGCATGCAGTTACCATATTTTTGTCTCTTATACGAATCTATGCGAAAACTAAGTGATTATTGAAGTGAAGTTGACCTTACTCCATTATCTTTTTTTTTTTCTAGTCCCCAGTCCTCTCACTTGCTGCTGAACCCCATCCTTGTTTGCTTAAACTGGATGATTAGTTGTATCACTGGATGGATCTTCCTATCGTTTTCTATTTTTTGAGGCTTTATAAAAGAATCGTGTATAAACCTGTCGATCTAGAAAATAATGAAGTACAAAATAATTTTTATGTAGCACTAAGACCTACATTATTCGCTCTGAAGTTCAGAATTTGACCTACTTCTAAAAACGGGGTTTTTGATGTTTGTATGGAATCTTCCTTAGAACTGGGGCCCCATTGTAAGTTGACCTCAGGTTACGTTCCCCGTGGTTGACCAGATATTAGTTATTTTAATTTTAGTGAAGCATCCGGATATGGTCAAGTACATTGAGACGAGAGTTACTGGTCTACAACGTTGGAAGGTCAGACTTAGTCTTCTCTTTTGTCTTCTGATGAGGAGTATTGTTTTCAGGGAAGATGCTACCCGTTGTTTATATGCAGGTTTTGAATCAAATTAACTATTTTGTTTCATGAGCTAGCAAGAAAGTTATCAAGCATTAACTAGCCAGAAGTCTAGTAGATGCGAAAGAAATTAATATACGATTTAGAGCAATCAAGTCAATCAGAAACCAGTTTTCCTAGGTTAATGAGACCAAATCTTAATGTGAGTTGGCTAGATTTCCTTTTCTTGCAGAGCATTGAGGTCAATGGCATTCCATATTCTCTCTACAATTTAAGAGTCAAATCTAAGAAAAAAAAACATTTTTCGAAATGTGCAACTTGGCCTTTTCCATATCTTCTTCAGTGTTTCTGACGGTTTAGAAAAGATTTTGGTTGACTTAATTCAGCAGTCTTCCATCTGTTCTGATACGAGCTACTTGTTGACAGGTTAAGGATGGCATTGTGTTGCCAGACATAGCTTCTCTGTATTTGACGGCGATTGAGGACGCTGATTACAAAGAAGACAAGATTGAATGCAAGTACTCCATATCTCTTAACACTGCATTAAATTTCACTGGAGTCTGGATATTTCTCAGAATGCTGTGTTTGATTGATGCCATTGGCTTCCTTGATATTTAAGCTTTATTTTTACTATATATATTTTATATATATTTTTTGCTTACAGTCTGGAATAATGTGTATGGGTTCAACATGAGCTGCATCAAGAAACAAGCCATGCTGGAGCCACTTGTTGATACTGTGGACCAGAACCAAATCGTCACCAACTGCCAGTTGCTGAAGGTGGGCGTTGACTCCATTATTTTGTCTCAGTCGATCATTCTAGATCCAGTGCTTAAAATGGTAGGTCATTTCTTTGTAAATCCAGACCATGGACATCTCGAAGATGTCTATTGGGGACGCCTCCTTCACTGCCCCTTTCAAGCTTGTGGCCGAACGGAACGACTACATCCATGCGCTTGTGGCTTACTTTGACGTCTCATTCACAAAATGCCACAAACGGACGGGCTTCTCCACAGGTTCGCTTACCCACCTCTGCTCCCTACTTTTCTTTCTTTGTGTTGGGTTTTTAGCCACTGCCCAGTTGGGATCTTGGGCAACATCTAACATTGGAAGGCAAGTGGAAAATGAGATTAATCTCGTTGACTTTATCAGAAAAGGAAAATCTGTCACCGAAATGTTGGTTCTCTTGTTCTGTACCGTGATGGGTTTCAATGATCATATCCCCCTTGATCTCAGAATTGGCTTAAAAATGGCATTAAACTAGTTGACTTCATCCCCTGAGGGAGAAAAATAGCTCTCTCTGAGTCTGTACCATGATGGGTGGGTTTCAATGAACAGACAGACCCCTCATGTGATAACCGAGTCAACTTATCGAAACCCATCTCATGAAAAAATTGAAAACCACCTGGCAATCCTCCCATTGACCAATAGAAATGGCACTGACCTCGTTGACTTCATCGGAAGTGTTTCCAAAAGATTATGTCTGGGTCTGTACTTCTGATTGGGTTTCAGTGGACCAAATGGCTATTGTGATAATTTTCTGAAAGGCGGATGGACATCCTCTGCAGGGCCCAGATCTAAGGCGACCCACTGGAAGCAAACAGTGCTGTATCTGGAGGACGTGTTGACCATCTGCCAGGGGGAGGCCCTGGTGGGGAGCCTCTCTGTCGAGCCCAACAAGAAGAACCCTCGGGACGTTGACATTGTGCTCAAGTACTCCCTCAATGGACAGCGCTGCCAGGTCGCCCGGACCCAGCAATACAGAATGCGTTGACTCTTGTAAGAGCCCCTTATCTTTGCTCCACGTGTGGTGGGTTTTGACTTTGACTCTGATTGATGATGGTTGCTATTATGACCACCTCTGGAATTGGTGCGACGGAATGCAGATCTCTTGTGATTCTCTATTTATTGGAAAAAAACAAAAAAAATGTTTGAATGGAGACATCATAATCACCCAACATCGATCTTTGCCTCCTGGAAAACTGGAGAACTTCCGTTTATGTTCTTATAGTTTATTTATGAAGAATTATTATCGTTCTCTATAGTTCTTGCTTAGATCTGTAAACAGGGACGCTACAATGGAAGAACCGGAGACCAAAAAATTAGAAAAAAAAATCCGATTGCCCATCTGATATCTGGTTTCCTACTGTTATTAGCAGGGGAGGAAGGTAAGTTTGGACGACTGTTCATCATGGAGATTGCTTGGTTTTACTTTTGACTTCTTTTGGTTGTGGAGATCTTTGAGCCTGTGCAGTTCTCGGGTTAGAGAGAGAGAGAGAGAGAGCGTCTTGGAAGTCTTCTGATCTTGGCTCCAATCGTCATGTCTGGACTTTTTGTAGATTTAATTTCTAGTGGCTTTGATTTATCTCCCTTCCCTCTCTCTTTCTCTCTCTCTCTCCCTCCCTCTCTCTCTCTCTCTCTCTCTCTCTCTCTCTCTCTCTCATACACACACACACACAACATGATTCTTTATAAGGAGATATAAACGAACTAACGAACCCATTAAGTTTTATAATCTTGGGCCCCTATCATCATGCCTAGATTTTTGTAAAATTAATCTCTAGTGGCTTTGATTTACCCCCCCTCCTCTCTCTCTCTCTCTAACTTATACATACACACGGTGTGGTTTGGCCTTTAGTGGGGTCCACCCAATATTGCAATTATTAATGAGGCATATAGCTAGCAATTGATGACAACGAATGGCCGTTGGTAACATTTACTAGTAAGAAGGCCAATTTTATTCATTCAATTATTTACAACTCTAACCCTCTGACCTTATGACTCCATTCTGGGAATGCTTTCCAAGAGTTATTTCTCAGGCATCGATTTGATTCTTCGATGGAATTTCAAGCCTGAAGGGAATAGATTCCCAGAAAGAGTTTCTCCAGCCAAAGCTTAGAAGGCTTGAGCAGACGCCGGGATGGGCTCACCCAAATGCCGGCGTGCTTCCCCTCACTCTCCGCCCGCGAGATCCTCACTCTGCTGCCGCGGACCGGGCGGCCCCGCCCCTTCTCCTCCTCCTTCTCCGCCGCCGCCGCTGCCGCTGTCGGGACCCACCTGCTGACCCTCCTGGAGAGATGCGCCACCCTGCAGCAAGTCAAGCAGGTCCAAGCCCAGATGCTCCTTACCGGGGTAATCTCCGATGGGTACGCCGCAAGCCGCTTGGTCGCCGTCTGCTTGGCATCTCCAGTCGAGGACATTGGCTATGGCCGGTTCGTCCTCGGTAGCCTCGAGAGCCCCAACGCCTTCAGCTGGAACTCCGCCATTAGAGCACACTCCGATTGCTGCGATGTCGGAGAAGCGGTCCTCCTGTACAAGATGATGCTCATGTCTTCTGCAAGACCCAACAATCTAACCTACCCGATCCTCCTCAAGGTCTGCGCCAAGACCAGGAGCCTTCTCCCCGGTGGGCAGATCTTCGGGCACGCCCTGCAACTGGGCATGGACTCCGACGCCTTCGTCTCCAATTCCGCCATCCACATGTTCGGAAACTGTGGGATCTCAGTAGCCGCACGCCAGATCTTCGACACAATGTGTGACCGGGACCTGGTTTCTTGGAACTCCATGATTAATGGGTATCTCAGGAGCGGCCGTCCAGCTGAAGCTCTGGAGCTCGTCAGGGAGATGGAGACGGAGGTGGAGCCCGACGAGGTGACCATGATGGGCGCAGTCCTCTGCTGCGCCATGCTCGGGGACCTGGACCTTGCGAGGAAGTATCACAGCTTCATCACAGAGAAGGACCTGCACCGCACTGTTCCTCTTTCTAACGCTCTAATGGATATGTACGTCAAGTGTGGGAGCTTGGAGGATGCGGAGCGCCTGTTTCTCTGCGCGGAAGGGAGGAGGACGGTCGTCACCTGGACGACGATGATGGCGGGCTACCTGAAGCTCGGTTCCTCAGAGCTTGCTCGGAATCTGTTCGAGGAAATGCCCACGAGAGATATCGTCTCCTGGAACGTCATGATCGGCGGGTACGTTCAGCTGGGTCGAGCTAAGGACGCACTGAGTCTCTTCCATGAGATGCAGCGGTTACGCGTTGACCCTGATGAGATCACCATGGTCAACGTTTTGTCGGCTTGCGCACAGCTCGGAGCCCACGGCGTGGGAGTATGGGCGGATCGCTTCATGGGGAAGCATAATTTCCGTTTGAATGTTGCTCTGGGAACGGCCCTCGTTGACATGTATGCCAAATGCGGGAACATCGACAAGGCGCGGTCGGTCTTCAGTGAGATGCCCGAGAGGAATGCGTTGACCTGGACAGCCATGATCAGCGGTCTGGCCATTCACGGCCTTGGACAGGACGCCATATCTCACTTCTCGAAGATGACAGCTGGTGGGTTGACCCCCGATGGCGTGACCTTCCTCGGGCTCTTGTCGGCGTGTTCCCATGCAGGCTTAGTGGACGACGGCCGCCACTACTTTGACCAGATGCGGCGCAAGTACAACCTCCTGCCAGGGCTCAAGCACTACTCCTGCATGGTTGACCTTTTGGGGAGAGCTGGGCTTCTCGACGAAGCCGAGGATCTGATCGAGAGTATGCCCATGAGCCCCGACGCCGTTCTATGGGCCTCCCTCTTTTTTGCTTGTAGGTTCCATGGAAATGTGGCCATGGGAGAGCGCGCCGCCTCACAGTTACTAAATCTGGATGCAAAAGATGGCGCCACCTACGTGCTGCTGGCCAGCATGTACGTGGAAGCTAGCCTCTGGTCTGAGGCCGACAAGGTGAGGGCACTGATGAAGCGTCGGGGCCTGGAGAAGACTCCCGGCTGCAGCTCGATCGAAGTCAACGGGGTCGTCCATGAATTCACGGCCAGAGACCAAACCCATCCACTCTGGGGAGAGATCTACGCTTGCTCGAGGCAATTATTCGGGCACATCAAACATGTGTGCTGACTTTTCCGGCCGTTGACTTTGAGGGTCAGCGAAGAGCACAGTTATTACAGATGTAGTTCTTGGTAATAATATTCGACATCTTTCCTCAACAGGAACTCATCGAGATTCTATTTCTAGTGAGTTTACTATTCCAAGCAAGACGAACGCCAAAATTTTCATGAGACCATCAGACCCATCACAACTCCCGTGAATCAATGGAAGCAAGAACAGCAGCAGAGCGTGGGTACCTGGGTTTTTGTGGCTGCGGTGCTCCCCTTCAAAGCTCACCCTTGCCCGCCATGGAAGGTGTCGAGCTGGTCCTGGTCCTCCCCTTCCACCATTTCCCCACCAGGTGGGACACCTTGTCCACATGGCCCCTAAAAGACTGACCGGCCTGCTTGATCCCTCCCAGAACCCTCTGTTTCAGACCCTTCTCGGCAGAATCTTTCTCCCGCAGCACTTTCCCCTGCATTGACAAGTTGAGATTTTTTCCCATATTTGGAAAATTTTCCACCACAGAGTATCAAGAACAGTACGAAAGGGTTTTTTTTTTTAGCAGCTGCTGTACCAGTTTGGAAGGGAAGTCATCATCATCTTCTTCGTCCTCGTCGGCGTCTTCGGCCCCAAAGTTGTTGTTCATCAGATCCTCCCTGGAATACATCTTCATGTTCGGAGCCCCCGGCATGTCCTGCGTGAGCCAGCGAGTGCTGAGTGAGGAGTGTGGAGGATGTCCAAGATGGATGCTTTCAAGTAAAAACAGAGTACCTCCATGGACCTCAGGATCTTCTCCATTTCCAGTTCTTTCGTGGGCTTTGGAATGAAGGGTTCCCCAGGAGCCCTATCCTGCAACTCGAAGAGAGATCAACATTACCATAAGAGGAATAGCCAATCGAGCCAGTGAGTTGCAGAAGGCAATTCACCTTCGGAACGGGGGGTGGCTTTTTGATGCATGATTTGCTGATCTCGTGGCAGAGAAATTTCACCAGAGAATCCAGCGAGGGCTTTGATGTAAAAATAAATTCAGCAACATCCGTATCTGAGTACCCCATGACCTGCGAGAGAGAATCTCCAATAAGTCAACGGCAAAAGGAGTAGCAAATGAAGGGGGGGAAAGGTCAGAACGAAGGAGATGACGAAGGTTGCATAGCCAATATTATACGTTTCCATGTGTGGTAACTAGGTAAATGCTTTGATAAATGATAATGTTGATGTACAAGAGCAAGGGATGATAATGGGCACGGATCAAAAGAAAATCCGGGTATTGTACAAGAACATCGGAGCTTATGTGTAATGTTAATGTATCCAAAACCCTCTATGGATGTGATTCCCACAGTGAGATATTCCCTGAAAAGTTTATAGATGTCAGAGGTCAATCCCCAGGGTTAGGAGGGTGCGGTGCCCTCGGAATAGCTTCGCTGTGCCCCAGAGTAGATGCTTCTTCAGCTCATCAGAAATATCCAGGAGAGGAGTTTTTATTGGGACGAGTGACATCAACACTCGCAAATCTTTCATACATCTAGTCACAGGGGTAGGATAAAGATTGAAAAATAGAAAAGATGAGATTATAAAACAGCCATAAGAACAGGAGAAACTAGAAAGCAAGTTCTAAATCGCACCCCAATAGGGTGCAATGGCTAATGATGAGAGAAATTTGAGACAAGAAGCTCAAAACCGTTCCTGAGGTGTAATTGCAGAAAAATGACTTGTATTCAAAGCATGGTAGAAAAGTTCCTGTCAATAATACTGTAGGAGTAGGAGAAAGTTTTTGGTTTCTAGACAAAATCTGAAGAAAAGAGGCAATTCATAGGGCATTGACTTTGTGTCATTTAAGCCACCGTGTCATTTCTTCTAACAGTGCAAAGACATTTGTTTACCAAAATAATTTCCACAGTATTGTAATCTCCACAACGAAAGTCCACGAATTTACTAAAAAAGGCCTTAGAAACATATTTTTCTGGGGTCAAACAGCTTATCAAGTTCAGTTCAGTAAAAAAAAAAAAAAGTTAAAAAAACCAAGCGAAACACCTCACTATCTACCCTACAATGTTTATATATATATAAATATCTTTCATAGTGGATAGTACCACAAATTTATTTAACATAATCAGTTATGGGGATATAGATATGTCTGATATAAAAGCGCATGAATGGTCAGTTCCAAGAATAAATTCCAAAGATATAAGCGGAAGACACCAAAGTGCTACAAAATTTTCTATGATCCCAAAGCTCTCGAAATTTCGAAATTATAGAATCGTCTCCATCAGTACAAAATAAATAGAAAAACTCTACCAATCGAGGAGTTCTCGTCTTTGTTATTAATAATAAGCTACGATATACTCATGTGGGTCTTGACATCAGCGATGTGGAATTTCTATCTGAAAACCTAAAGAAGGAATAAAAGAATATATCTAGGTAATGGGAATGATTACTTGCATCGCTTAGTGTTCTGCCTGATGCGTGAGAAGATAATGTAAAGGAATCGGCCATGTGATCCTCACCTCTTGACATGCACGTTCCATAGTCTTGCATTCTGAATTACAGTGACCTTCATTTTCTTGCTCAACGAGCTGCACAAAAATACGTTGTGAGAAGAGAAAAATGATGCTTTCGTCAAGGGAAGAAAAATGGACATTAGGAAAAAATAACATCTAACTTTTGGAAATTTCCATGATTATTGTAGAAGGAAAAAAAAATTCTAATAACGCAGCAAAAAGGAACAGGGTGAACAAAGACTAGATATACAGCTCCTGAGAGAAGAATTGAGGACTAGCTAAGCATAATTAAGACATGCATCTTTTCTCGCTAGATTTGGGGTCACATGATCAGTTGCTAGTAGCCCATGATTTTTGCTATTACCATACGTGCCAGAAAGGCTGCGAATAGAAATGAAGGCTACGCTTTTGATGTTCGGGGACTAATATGAAATTATATGGCAGAGGAGAGCCGAATTCATGTGGTGAGCTTCCCATATTTCGTAAAAACTAAGCCATTTTGATGCATTTTCACCAAATTCAATAAGTTACATACCTCGAGTGCGTCACCCTTCTCGACGATATCAATCCGGAGAAGCCAGTCGGCCTCCTCCTTCTTCAGGTTGCATACATTCTCTGCAATGTCTATGATCTGGATCTCCGAGATCTAACCACAAAGATCACAGGAAAGAAAGAGTACCCTCATCAGTATACAGGAAAGAGGGATTAGAAGAGAAACCTTCCACCGACTCAATGCGAATACCATCAGAGGCCGAAGAGGGAGGGATTTTGCACCTTCTTGGGGGAGATCTGGGCTTCCTTCTTCTTCACTTGGTGGTAGAGCTGGTGGGCAATCTTCTCGCAGACCTGACACTTTATGAAGGGGATATCTTCTTTCCTGGCGGCTGATGCTGCCTTCTTGTTCGGACCGCAGAGCGACAAGGGAAGATCCGAAAGCAGGAGCAGGATGGCGGAGAGCAGCACCAGGGAGGTTCTTCCCCTCAATCTCCCTCTCTCCTCCATGACCCTCTCTCTCTCTCTCTCTCGTGCAGCTCTCTACGGTTAAGGTGAGACTATTGCTCTTCCGCCCCGCCACGACGACGGCTACGTGGATGATCCTCTGTAATTGGTCCACGTGGTCCTCCCAACCACGTCATCACCGAAGAGAGACAGACGCGGAATGACTCCACAATGCGACAAATCTTGCTCGAACCCGGGGGAGGACTCGGTCAAAAATTCAACAAAACCCATAAATGGGCCTATATGGGTCATATAACTACACACTCCTGAATGCCGGCCCATTATCTAACTCTAGTATTGCACATCATGCTCTTTCGAAACCAAGTTCATTGGCGAGATATGTAAATATAGGATTTATATTTACCAGATGGCCTACGTGGAATATCAAAATGGCTTAGTTTTTCGGACCGCCCCGGGCAACGGCGGTGTTGGTGGTGGGGAACCGCGAGAGCAGCGGGCCCTCCTTTTCCATGAGCAGATCCTTCATCCGGTGAGTAGATATATATATATATATATATAGAGAGAGGGCGAGAGAGAGAGAGAGAGAGAGAGAGAGAGAGAGAGAGAGAGAGAGAGAGAGGGTTGTACAGGTCTCTAGAGCCAGGTCTCTCAGGTCTCTCTCTCTCTCTCTCTCTCCCCCCTTCTGATTTGGTCTACATCTTCTGGTGGGGCATGCAGAGTCCCGACGGGTTGACGGTGGCGTCGGCGGGAGCGGACGAGACCCTGCGTATCTGAGAGAGGTGGAGGACTCGGTCTGAATGGCCGTTCATGTCGCCGATCTTGAGCATGGAGGGGTATCTCCAGAGGGAGAGCGGTTGCGGCTGAAGCCATGGGCGCTGAGGATCTCGCTCCGGTGTCTGTTCCACTCCAACGCGCAGACCTGCGATTACCATCGTGAGCTCTCCGCTCTCTCTCTCTCTCTCTGCCTGCGCGGGGGGGAGAAGAAGAAGAAGAAGAAGAACTTTCAGTCACCTGCGAACCGGTGTCGACGGTGGTGGCGGAGCTACCAGCCTGGGTGTTCCAGAACTTGACGGAGCGGTCGGCAGTGCCACCGCCGGAGGCCAGCAAGTTGGGTTGATGAGGGGACCATGCAAGGGCCCGCACCGCCGTCGAGTGGCCGTAGAACCTGTGCAGATGCCTAGACGAGCGCCTGTTGGGGGCTTCCCACACAAAAAACCCGGCTGTTGTTGCCACCGCTCGCCAGGAGGTCCCCCCCGCCGACCACCGCAGCCCACATACGTCCGAGGAGTGCCCCTGGAAGCGAGATGCAGAGCTCGCCTTGCCCTTACTGGATGAAAACGACGAAGAAGAAGAAGAAGACGAATGAGTGAGTGAGAGAGAGAGAGAGAAAGAGGGGGGTTGGGGGGTGGGGGGTCAGTTAGGGTATCGCCGTGGTTGATGATGGAGGTATCTCTTCTCTAGAAGAAAGGAGGTTGCAGTTCCATGATCACCACACTTCGTCATGCTTGACTGGAGATCATTTGCTCCAAGATAAACATGAGAGATCTCTATGCTCCAGCTCAAGGGGATGGGGGCTGTCACTTGGCTCATTTAGCCTATGGACATCATCGTATAACCTGCCCTTAGGGCACTTAACCCTTAGTGGGGGCAGCCAGATTGTGTGAATGAAGTCATTTTCCTTCAAGATGAACATGAGAGATCTCTATGCTCCAGCTTAAGAGGAAGTGTCACTCGTTCCATTTAGCCCATGGACATCATTGTAAAACCTACCCTTAGGGTACTTAACCCAAAGTAGGGGCAGCCAGATTGTGTGAGTGAAATCATTTTCCTTCCCACTCTCTCTAATTATCAATCCTCTAACAAACATAGTAAGTAAGATGAACCTTGTTAACTTCTTTACTTCAAAAACTAAGGTAACATTTACCTGCACTAGCCATAAGAATCTCGAGGTCTAGGCGCAAAACATGAAATGGGCCACTTTGGTCCATTGGATCTACCAGTTAAGGGGACTGTGTTATATTTATACTCTACCACCATGGCTACCCCTCACCCCTCCATCTCTAGTTTCTCACCCCTTTCCCTCCTTGCGAGATGTTGTTAGATAACATTTTTCTAAAAAGAAGGTTAGAAAAGGAACGTGTCGAGGGAGCACATCAACTAAGACTTGAAGAGGTAAATGGGAAATGGTGGTGGGCGTTCTAAGACTGCAAGCACTTACTTGCGATGGATGCAGCAGCTGCCTCTGATTGCATATCCACACTCTGAGTGTGCTCGATTGCAGCTCTGTATAGATGTATGGCACAAGCCCAATAGGCTTCCCATGTGTCAAATAATTGCCAATTTCCTGGCAGACAGATGGCGAAAGCAAGAGACCCAAATATTCATAGAGAAATTCTAGAGAAGGAGATTAAGCAACAAGAACAAAACCATCATATTTATTTTAGATATGATTTTTATAGAAAACATATCTCCGTAATGAGGTGAGTAAGCACAAGATCATGTTGATATTAAACAGCAACAATTGTGTTTTGTTAATAAAATGTTAGATATAAGAATTTCATTTTCTCTTATTTTTTTCCCTCTTTTTCTTTCTAATTACTCAAGAAGACTCGAAGTCCACTATAAAGAAAGAAGTTATAATGTGAAATTGTATTCACAGAATTTCTTTAAGAGTTGAACCTGACATTGCTAAATTGTTAGCATACAACTAAATGGTGGCACACATCGCTTGTAACATTACTTTTCAATTTTATACAGAAATATGCCACTAAGAGAGGGGTGAATTAGAAATATTCTAGTATTATTTCTCTCTTAATCGTTGTTCTAGGTATATAATCTAGAGAGCGTAGAAAATATTTCACACATGATTTCAGAGTGTTTAGTCAATTTATTTACTTTCTTTTCAAGCATCACCTATGGTCCCCATCTTAGGTTCACCATATGTTTAGTGAAATATATGGTTACAAGTTTCAGTCCACTTCCACTAGATTTAATAGTTTAGGCAAACTCAAGATCCCACCCAGGAATCATCTTGCATATCATAGCTCTATGGCCAAATAGAGGAGAGTCACTTATGTCTTTACATTAATGACTCTGTGAGGTTAACAAGATTGAAAACAACTAGTTCTTCTGAATTCAAGCTCTAGATGGGCCTTGAGTACTTATAGACTCTACAAAGTTAAAACAAGTTACTGTTCTTGTCATTCTACTACTAACTTTACAAATGCTTCAACAATGTAATTTCTTTTTGGAGAAGCTTTAGTGTGATGCAATTGTTGAAAGACTAGAGTAATAGCTGATCTTTGATGTTTCTATGTGATCAAGGATGCAACAATCAGACTTGTACCCAAAGAAATGTCGAGGGCACGGGACCTTTTCTTAAAGAATTTTCACTTGATTTTTCAAGCATTTTCTTTCACTCACATTCACCTTCAAGTGGGATGAAGTAACAATTTAGATAAGGATGTAATCGGTTGTTGATTTGAAATTAAAACTCATAAATGGTGATTAATATTGTAGATATCACTAAAAATTGAAACCTATATATTCTGATGCTTCATTTATTGTGTTTTCCTTTTGAACTAGCTTCCCAATGAGTGGTTTGAGCCTATGTTTGTGGCACCACTTTTCATGTAAAACTATTACTCATTTCAATCACAAATATTGGCGATTTTACCTTTGAGTGATTTTGTCAATAAGTTCATGCATGACTAATGAAGATATTATCTTCTGCACATTTATCAACGCACATAGTTATTCATCATAATTAGAATTATAATTTGTCTATAAGAATACTATTATGAGAATATCATATTACCCTTCAATGCATATTATCATCATCAAAACAAAGTAGGCTCCTGAAGACAGTATTTATTGTATGTAAATTTATTATTTTATTATGAAAACTATGAAATGGAATAACTAAATCAGACTATCATTTCATTATTGAAATGTAAGCTTTATGCTATAAAAAGGTTTAGCTGAAAACTATTTTATTTTTCCCAATAACAATGAACCCTTTGTACATCTGTGCATGTTTCTTCATTCAATCACCCCTTTGAAAATCAATCTTTTAATCTAAGGTGATGACAACTTAAGTAAATAGATTATAGAAACAAGAAAATAAATATAAAAATAATGTATCATTTGCACTAAACTATTTTCTATACAATTCATTTAGATTTGAAGTCATCAATTATTCCATTAGTGATTATTTTTAAAAATATTTTTTCAATGCAAGAGAATGATTCTAGCTGGTGTCTGGTATGTAATTTACATAAACGGCAACTAATTTTTTTTGTTCAAGTCTTCTTTTCTTTACCTTTAGAAGACAAGTCTGAATTTCCAAACATTTTAAAATTGACTTAATATTCATCATAACTCATATAGAGTTTTCTCTAGTTTTTGGAAAATAATCCCACTAGCAATATGATTTATGAATAACAATGCTTAATGACACAAGTTATGACTTCAACTTCATTGCACAAGTATCGAATAAACCATATAAAGATATCTCTTGCTTCGTCCACCTAATTTTCTACGGACCTATTTTCAATAAAGAGTGAAAGTAAATGTCAGTTATGAAAAAATCAAACTATCAACATACGTTTTGTGCAAGGCGGCGCACTTGGAAATGAAAGTAACACTTATAACACGTCCAAATCTGAAAAAGTAATACATGAATATTCTAACGGCGGCAGCAGCGGTTGGCACTCCAAACGGCGGGAGGAGATGCGCACGCGCAGGGGGTTCCTCATGACCACGCTAACATCGATTTTCTTCGACAGGTCAAGCTCGCCACCGTCGGCAGCCTCCCATCGGAACTCCCCCACCAGGTTGGCCACGAAGAACTCCAAATGGAGCAGCGCGAGGCCCATCTCGGGGCAGATCCTCCGTCCCCCCCCGAACGACATCATCTGGATCTTCTTGCTGCCAGTGATGTCCACACCCTCCCCCTCGCCACTAGATCTGGCCATGTTTCCCCGTCCAGGTTCATCTTCCCCACCGCGAAACTGAGGCTGGCGCCCTTAGGGATAGTGTATCCGCCCAGAGAGATCTCATCCGTTGTGGCGTGGGGGAGGGGGAATTTAGCTGGCCGATGTCTCCGGAGCCCCTCCAGGACCACGGCCTTCAGGTGCGGTTTTCTTGGACGTCCTTCTCCTTCGTGTTTGCGCCCACTTCCTCCGCCAGCCTTTCCTGCACGATAGGGTGCTTGATGACGTTCGCCATGATCCACTCCAGCGCCGCGGTGGTGGTGCCGGTGCCGGTGCCGGCGGTGAGGAATTCGGAGTAGAGGGAGATGATCTCCTCGTCGTTGAGCTTCCTCCGTCACTCCTCCGAGATCTCGAGGTCCAGGAGGGAATCCAAGTAGGAGAAGCGAGAGTTGTTCTCCCCCTGAACCCCAGATTCCTTCTGTTCGTGCCGAGATCTGATCAGAGGGGGGAAGATCTCCCTCCGTCGCTGCCGGAGCTGGAGGAGACGGTACCACCCCACCGTGAATAAATACCTCGTGATTTTGGGGGTGAACTCGAAGATACTGAAATCCCTCTACACGGCCTCGATCTCTGTCACGGCCGCCTCCTCCAGCTTCTCCCAAAAGCAAAGGAGGACAAGCAGGGAGAACATGGCGTACTGGAAGGTCTCCTTGACGACCACATTGCCGTCCTCGGCCGTCGCTGCGAGGCAGAGCTTGTCAAGGAGGTGTTGAAGAAAACAGATGACATGTACCCACTGCTATCTTTAGTAAGCGAAATTGACGGTTAAGACAGACTCAAGCAGATCCAACGGCTTTATTTGTACTATTACTTACCTATATAACTGATTGTACGCTAGGGTTATCAAATAAGAGAAACCACTTATTCTTCTTCTCTTTCCTCCTCTATCTCTTCTTTGTTCTTCCAGTTCTTCTCTTCTAATCTTTCATCTTTCTTTCTTGAAATCTCTTATGCTTTCATGGTATTAGAGCAAGAGGCACTATCAAAGACTATGGCGACGTCTTCTCAAATTGTCTCCATCACCATGCATTCAATCATCGTAGTCATTCCCACCAGACTCTCCATTATTGTCAAACTCTATGGTGAAAATTACTCGATATGGAAAAATTATATTCTCCTTTTGCTAAATGGCTACAATCTGCATAAATACATTGATCAAGATCCACCGCTGCAACTGATCAATCATGAACCCAATCTGGCATATCAACTATGGTGGTATAATGATCAACAAGTCTTAGGGTTCATGAACTCCTCCATCTTCGAGATCATGCTCTCCAAGTTTGGCACCAAAACTACATCCAAAGATCTCTAGGATGCTATGAAGAAAGTCTATTCTTCCTCTGATCACTCTCGAATCATGGATCTTCAACGTTGTCTTCACAACACCATCAAAGGCAATCTATCCATTGAAGAATACATTCACAATTTCAAAAAGCTTACTGAAGAGTTATCTCTAGCTGGTAAACCCGTGGATGAAATCTCACAAATTTGTGACTTTCTTAAAGGACTTGGACTTGGGCCAATCTCGATCATCTTAGTTTTGAAGATATTTTAGTAAGCCTTCGCTCATATGAAGCCAATCTCACCTATCATCAACAACATAGCTAAAATTCGATCACCAATCCTATAGCACCCTTGACAAATTTAGCACAAACTACTAAATTCAATAAAAATAATAACCCAAATCCTAATTGGCAGTCAACAAATAGAAGATCAGGGAACAATTATGGCAAAAGAGGTAGAGGTAACTGCAATTGGCAACCTCGCTATCAACTCTGCTCACAATTTAGATAGAGTTTTTCAATGTTGAGAAGGTTTAACCTCACTTTCGTTCCCTAACAACAATAATAATTCTCCTTTCCCCCACCTATTTTGAATCTTTCACACCTCAACCCTCAACCTGAAGCATACTTGGCCACTACTTACAATGCACAGTTGACTACTTCAAATTGGTATCTAGATAGTGGTGCCACACACCATATCACCTTCGATCAAGGCGCTCTTCAATATCACACTCCATATCAAGGCCGTGATCAGCTCTAAATAGGTAATGGTGTAGGTATGACTATCTCCTCCATTGGATCTACCTTTTTAAAAACTCATTCTTTCTCTTTAAAATTAAATAATATCTTACATGTTCCTCACATTAAGAAAAAAATATTATATGTTAAAAGATTTACAACTGACAATGATGTTTTTATTAAATTTTATGCTAATTTTTGCCATGTGAAGGACAAGAAAACCCACGAAATTCTCCTCTGGGGGACAATTGAAGATGGTCTCTATCTCTTACAACTTCACATTCAGCCATCAGCCTACTTGGGGGAGAAAACAATCATCTCCACTTGGCATCAATGCTTAGGACATCCTCAATTCTGAATTTTGAACAAACTGATCAATGAACATGGTCTTCCTTTTTTTAATCTTTCTAAAAACAACTTTTGTCATCTTGTAATGTTTCAAAGTCTCACAAACTTCCTTTCTAAAATTCGTCTCATATCACCACTAAATCCCGTGAATTAATTCACTTGGATCTATGGGATCCATCACTAGTTACCTTGCATTTTGGTTTTTTATATTACATGATATTCATTGATGATTATAGTAAATTTATCTGATTATATCCTCTTAAAATAAGAGTGATGTATGTTAAGTTTTTCAGAAATTTTGAAGCTAAAATTGAACGATTATTTTCTTCATTTTATTTTTTTTTTCAATCTAATTGGGGTGGTGAATTTTAGGTGTTGACCAAAATTTTTAAGGAGCAATGAATTCATCATAGGATATCTTGCCCACATATTGCTCAACAAAATAGTACTACTGAGAGAAAATATAGAGACCTTGTAGAAATAGCCTTATCTCTCATAAAACAAGCTTTCATGTCTCATGAATTTTGAGATGAAATAGTATGTACTGTCACTTTCCTCATAAATCGCATGCTTAAACCTATCTTAAAATTTAAAAGTCTTTTCGAAGTTTTATATAAAACTAGCCCGGATTATCTCTTCCTTAAACCTTTGAATGCCTATACTACCCCTACACTAGACCTTATGCCTTACACAAGCTAGATGATAAATTTGAAGTTTGTATCTTTTTAGGCTATAGCTCCCAAGACCATGACTATCGGTGTAAGTCTCTACAATCAAGCATAATATCCCAACATGTCATGTTCTATGAAGATGTCTTCCCACATTCCACCACAACTCACACTCCCATAACATCTTCCACAATTCACAGAGACATTCTCGAATCACATCCAATATATACATTCATTCTAACCAAACTTCCAACCAATTTTCAATCTTTGTTCTCATTCCTATTAGGTTAATATTTACCTCAGAACCTATCACTAGTCAAAATCCAATCATACTGCATCCCATCTCAAAAGCCTCATCCACACAGTCTTTGGAAAATGACTCCTTATTAGACCCTACCTCATTTTCATCCATCACCCCACACAATTCATCACTGTTGACTGATCACTATTCCAAACACCAGTAAATCAGAACTCTCAATCAACTTCTTCCACTCCACCTGCAAAACTTAAAAGGATTAGTACCCTTTATAAAGACACTACCACCATCCCTATGGCTTCTTCCTATTTAGCGACGTTATCTATAAAACACCCTCTTCTTCAATGCTATCATCTTATATTATCCCATAAAAAATCTAATAATTTTAACTCTACTTAGAATCATCTCACATGGAGACAAGCCATGCACTCCAAGTATGATGTCTTAATTAATAATAACACTTGGACATTAGTTCCACAACCTCCTAATACCAATATCATAGGCTGTAAACAAGTGTTCCGGTTAAACTTAAAATTCAATGGCTATATAGACAGATATAACGCCCAATTAGTAGCCAAAGGCCACTCCCAACAAGAAGGATTTGATTATTTTGATACCTTCTCTCCTGTTATCAAAATTACAATAGTAAGAATTCTCTTCTCCATTGCCATTAGTCAAAAATGACACATCCACCAGTTGGATGTGTCAAATGCCTTCCTACATGGAGATTTGACCAAAAATATCTTCATGGTCTAACCTCAAAGTTTTCAAGATTCTCTCTTACCCCATCATGTTTGCAAATTAAACATGTCTATTTATCGTCTTAAATAAGTCCCAAGAGCTTGGTTTTCAAAATTATCTTCCTACCTAATTAAATTAGGTTTTTCTGGATCGAAAATTGATCCCTCTTTTTTTTCTCTACTTCCAAATATCTTTTTATTCTTATATATGTTGATGATTTATTACTCATTGGATCCAACAAACAATTCATAAATTATATTATCTCATATCTTCATAAGCCATTAAAGATCTTGGAAAAGCAAAATATTTTCTTGGTATAGAAATTTTGTAAGTTTCCACAGGCTTCATCTTGTCTCAATCCAAGTACCTTGCCAACCGTTCTTTAACGAGCCCACATGGATCAATGTAAGCCCCTTTCCACTCCATGGTCAACCTTAACAGCTGAACTTAAAATCAACAACGTCAAGCCTAATCCCACCTCCTATTGCAAAATCCTAAGGGATTTGCAATACCTTATCATTACTCGGCTAAACATAGCTTATGTAGTCAATCAAGCCTTTCAAAAGATGCACAATCCCTCTTCCAAAGATTGATTTCATCCGAAACATATCTAAAAAGATCTATTTCTTTGGGTCTAGATTTTACTTTTGATTCACCACTACAGCTTATACCTTATAGTGATGCTAGTTGGCCCAACTTCAAAGAAGATAGATGATCCATCAGTGGCTATTTGGTTTACCTTGACCGAAATTTCGTGTCTTGGTCTTCCAAGAAACAACCTACCATCTCTTGGTCAAGCACCAAGGCAGAATACAAAGCCATAGCAAATATGGTGGTGGGGCTCATTTGGATTCAATCACTCCTTAATGAGCTTTGCATCACTACAACCAGTCCTCTCATTTTGTTTTGTGACATCATCAGCGCCACCTACCTGTCGGCAAATCCAATCTTTCATGCACGCACGAAGTACATCGAAATAGATTTTCACTTTGTGCATGAAAGGGTTGCTCTTTGATAGCTTTAGATCGACTTCTTACCTAACATGCATCAACTTGTTGATATATTAACGATGCCTCTTTTCAAAAATCCGTTCCATTGGCTAAGGAACAAGCTTAATGTTCTTCCGACCATCATCTTGTAGGAGGATGTTGAAGGAAACAGATGACACGTATCCATTACTATCTTTAGTAAGTGAAATCAACAATTAAGATGAATTCAACTAGATCTAATGGCTCTATTTGTACTATCAAACATGTCTATTTGTACGCTAGGGTTATCTAAGGGAAATCACTTCTTCTTCTTTCCTTTCCTCCTCTATCTCTTCTCTATTCTTCTAGTTCTTATCCTCTAATCTTCCATCTTTTTTTCTTGAAATCTCTTGTTCTTTCAAGAGGATGTCCAAGACCCGCTCGGGAGCATCAATGCATTGCTTGACACATGTGATAGGTTCAATATCTCCTTCGCATGTTGTTGGAGAAGCCACCATAGAGGGATGTAGTGGGCTATACTAATAATGCACTAGTTGGAAGTGAGCAATTGGATAGCAGGGTAGAGGGGAGGTCAGTCAGTGAAGACGGCCCCATGTTGGACGAGGATCCCGTGGACGAGATCCTAGTCGTCAACTATGACGAACTGGTGAGAGGCACGACAAATCATCATGACAGAGCCATATTTGGACCAGAGGTTCTAGAGGATGGACTGAAAGTTGGCCTCAGAGACGTTGAGTAACATGAGACTGTTGAGGATGGGGATGGCCAGCAAGCTTGACGACAACCACTACTGCAGCCTCCAGAGGAGAAAGGTGGCTAGGGCCAAGCAAAGGAAGAGGATGAGGATGCCAATGCCCCAGCTTTCCATATCCACTACTCTTCGAGTGAGTTTCAAAAATTTTGAGGGTCACTTTGACTTATAGGAGGAGGGGAAGTCCCGCCCATGCGACCATAGTACTAAATCGATAATTTTCTCATTCGCTATCCCCATCGAGCTGGTGTCATGGGGATAAAATAGATTCCTTCTCACTAGGTTGACCTTGGTCGCCCCCAATGGCACCAATCAGCTTTCACAATGCAGCGGATGAGACTCTTTAGTAATGGGGGTGTGTTGTTCTCCAAGAATACAAATGACCTCTTGTCCTTGACATCTAAATCCATTGCCCTATTGGGCATGAGCCATGGTGGCAGGCTGTCTATTGCTCTCCACAATCATTTTTTCTCTCCTCTAACGGCAACAAATGTCAAATTCACCCAAATCATCCATTTGATACAAACGATAGATTTAGTCTTGATTTATCTTTGATTCATCCATGTACTCGTCTCATTCTTTACCTAATACAAATGGTGAAGAATCTCTTTCAAAAATCCTTCTCTAGACACTATAGAATGCTCGGAGTCAAACTATCGATGTCGATCGATTCCAACATATGACAGTTGTTGAGATCATCATTCATGTAGAAATCCACTTAGTGCACTGTGCCTACATAAATCGATCGAATTTGGGTGAAAATTTGATCAATGACCATTCTACCTATTCTTTATAGAATAAATTTATCTATAATGAGATTAACTAAGCACAACATCATATTGATATTAGACAACAAGAGTCAATTCTTCCATTTAGAAAGGTGACAATAAAATGAATTGGCCTTCACAAGCGTACTTCAGGATTTGACTCAAATATGAAGAAATTGTTACAAATATGTTGGATTTTATATGGTAATGTTACAATTTTTATTTTTCTCCTAATCTTTGATGTGGCTATAGAACCCAGATGTCATAGAAAGCATTTTACACAATTTTAGTCACTTTTTATTTAATTACTTGACCCACTCCTATCTTCATGTGCTACATATGTTCCCACACCCTTGGGGGTTCATTATCTTTGCAAAACTTCTTTCACTTAATAGATTTAATAGTCTAATCAACTTAGAATGACACCTAAGGATCATCTTCTAGATTTATGACTCTAAAGTCCCTAACAAAGGAGACCAACTCCTCTATTAAAAATTAATGACTATAATGTGAACATGAAGATTATCATCAACTACCTATGTATTCAAGTTCTAGATTGGTACTCATGCACCCTAAGTGGAAACATAGAATGAGTTATTGTCCTTCGCCTTCAGTTCCTTACTTCATTAAGGCTTCCTTCATTTAATTTCTCATTAGAGAACCTTTAGCATAATGGAGTCATGAAATCACTTGAGTGGTAGCTAATCTTCAATATTTTTAGCTGTTTGAGACAATAATGAGGCTTAGACTCCCTAAAGAAATTTGATTGGGATGATACCTTTTTCTACTATATTTTTTCGCTTAATTTTTATGATTCTTTCCTTCATCTCAAGCTCATTTTCAAGTGGAATGTATTAGATTTGATGTGGTTAAGTAAATTACGAAGAAGAAGGGGTGTGAATTAGTTTCTTATATTTTCTTTTAATTTTCTAATTATATATATATGTTGACACACACGTTTTAATAAAGTATGTCAAGTTTATATGCAAATTAATTTAAGAATTTTCTCTTCATGACATGACCACTATCTCTCACTTATAATGATGATGGACATTGAGATTTTATAATAGTTCATTTTTCTTTGAGCTACTTTAATATCAAAGGATCCTCCTATTAAATTTTTACTATTTAGTTTCAGAAATACAACTGACTTCACAGGCTCCTCACGTATAAGTCTTAACTATTAACACTATATGCCTAAGTCAATGTATACTTTCTATTGAAGAAAAATACCCTCCACATGTAAATTTTCTGTGCAATACCAATGAATTCTCATTAAGTTGACCCAGGGATTGAATTAGGCCACTGATTGGGCTCTGATTCACCTGGCTTTAGAGACGTACAACCCTCTCTCTCTCTCTCTATCTATCTATCTATCTATCTATCTATCTATCTATCTACCTTTCTTTCTTTCTTTCTTTTCTATCTACTCACCGAATGAAGGATCGGTTCATGGAAAAAGAGGGCCCGCTGCTCTTGCGGTTCCCCGCTGCCGCCGCTATTGCTTGGGGCGGTCCGAAAACTTTCCAGAAACGCAGAGTCTCATCCGCCCCTGCCGACGCCACCGTCATCCCGTCGGGACTCTGCATGCCCGACTAGAAGGTGTAGACCGAACCGGAAGAGAAAAGAAGAAGGAGAGGGGGAGAGAGAGAGAGAGAGAGAGAGAGAGAGAGAAACCTGAGAGAGGTGGAGGACTCGGTTCGAATGGCCGTTCATGTCACCGACCTTGAGCATGGAGGGGTAACTCCAGAGGGAGAGCTGGTTGCGGCTGAAGCCATGGGCGCTGAGGATCTCACTCCGGTGCCTGTTCCACTCCAACGCGCAAACCTGCGATCACCATCGTGAGCTCTCTGCTCTCTCTCTGCCTGCGCGGAGGGGGAGAGGCAGAAGAAGAAGAAGAAGAGCTTTGAGTCACCTGCGAGCCGGTGTCGACGGTGGTGGCGCAGCTGCCGGCCTGGGTGTTCCAGAACTTGATAGAGCGGTCGGCAGTGCCGCCGCCGGAGGCCAGCAAGTTGGGCTGATGAGGGGACCATGCGAGGGCCCGCACCGCCGCTGAGTGGCCGTGCAACCTATGCAGGTGCCTAGACGAGCGCCTGTTGGGGGCTTCCCACACAAAAACCCGGTTGTCGTTGCCGCCGCTCGCCAGGAGGTTTCCCCCCGCCGACCACCGCAGCCCACATACTTCAGAGGAGTGCCCCTGGAAGCGAGATGCAGAGCTCGCGCCTGCCCTTACTGGATGAAAACGACGACGAAGAAGAAGACGAATGAGTGAGTGAGTGAGTGAGTGAGTGAGAGAGAGAGAGAGAGAGAGAGAGAGAGAGAAAGAGAGGGGTGGGGGGGCCAGTTAGGGCACCGTCGTGGTTGATGATGGAGGCATCTCTGCTCCCAGAAGAAAGGAGGTTGCAGTTCCACGATAGGCTGCTGACTCTGTCCCTGTGCCCTCTGAGCACCCTCACCTGTCGAAGAAGAACAGCCAGTTCGGAGCAAATATACTTCTCTCAATGGCAGAAATAATCGATAACATCGGATTTAACCAGGAATTAATTTAAATCTCAAAAATATAATTTTTGAGAATCCTAATTTTTATTTTCCTTCTATTTTATCCGAAAAATTAAATGCTGAAAAGGGCTCGGAGCTGACCTGGCGCGCGGCGGCGGTGTCCCATATCTGGACGGTGGAGTCAGTGAATCCGACAGCCAGTGTTCTCCCGTCGGAGGACCAGGCGACGCTCGCCGGTTGACTTTCGTCGCTGTCCGACGTCAGCAACTCCTCTACGTCCCCGCTGGTGGCGTTCCACAGGTAGAGGCTGTCCCCGAGGGCGAGGGCCAGGATGTTCTTGCTGCCCCAATCCATGAGATTCAGGTAGTAGTCATCCACCAGGTTTGGCGCATCCAGGATCTTATCTGCAGACTGCAAACCAGGTAAAATATTCATTCCTTGATCTTGAGAAAGGAACGTAATCTGCAAATCCATGGATTATTCGGGGATGGATAATTCATTTCCTGGTCTATCAGAAGACCTGGTCAACGTTTTTGGATGAAGAAAGCGTGGGTTCAGCAGAGAAGAGACGTGGTACAGACTTTGGGGACGCTGCGGATCGGCCGGAGGCGATTCTTGCACCGATCCTGATCGTCGTGCAGCATCTCGTCGACGAGGAGGAGCCGCCCCCCACTCCTCCGGGGGCTGTCCTTGAACACCAGCATCTTGAATGGCTTCCCTTCGGGATCCAGGGCCAGGTTCTCCTCCACGATCCTCTTATACTCTTCCTGCTCCCCCACGCCACGCGTTAATTAATTGGAAGAATCAAATATGCAGACGTAATTAACGAAGTAGGGAAAGAAACCTTCGGAGAGGTGGAAAACGCCAGGGATCCGGACTTCGGCGCCTCATTCAATCTCATCGTCAGCGAACACCGCGCCTGATCCAGATCCATCCCGCTCCTCGACGGAATAAACCTGTCCCCCTTCAACCCGCATCCAAAAATCAAGAAGAAGCAAGAATCAGACACGAAAGCCAAACCCCGAGAATGGGGACTGCAGAGACGGCGGCATACTCCGTCATGCCTGAACGGCGGAGGCGAGATCCACCATTTCTGCTCCGGCCGATCCATTACCACCGTTTTCCTTCTTTCCAGATCACGTCAGGTATCGATAGGATCCAGCGGAGGAGAAGGAAACGAACAAGAAGGTGAAGATGGAGAAGAAGGGAGAGAGAGTGAAGCCCCTCGATCTTGAACGCCGACCAGTTCTACCTGCCGTTCCGCCACGGCGATCAGGGAGGATTTGAGACGCCGCTGTCCATGGGAGGGCCTCCGAGGAGGAACCAGGGTGGCGGTGGACAGCCCACCGCCGCCTTCTTACCTGTCGATCGCCTCGCCGGAGTTCCTGCGCTCGGAGATTTCGAACGGTATGAATTCCCGCCCCTTTCCCCTTCATATATCCGACGCGGGTACCCGAGACCGGTTCAAGGGGCCGTCGAACCGTAACGCCTAGGTAGTGTTGAAGAGCCGGCCGGTTCTCGCGCCCCATGGGCCCCAACCATAGACTGATCCGCCCAGTAGTACCTTTTAAAGGGCTGAGATAATTGGGCCTATATTGTGGCCCAACAACGTGTTTTTTTTAAGATGAGACACTGGAAAAGTTCCAAATTATGAAAAAATCACCTTATGATATATCGTAGATGGCTCGGCCCAATACTACTTTTTAAAAGGCTGAGATAATTTTGGGCCTGATAGGGCCCATATTGGGTCATTGTGGGTCCGACGATGTTGAACTCTTTGGGAGCCCAATAAACGATTTCCCCTTTTTTTAATTTGGATGCCTTGGAAAATCCCGAATTATGAAAATGCCATCTTCTTGGATTTTACTCATATACTAATTGTATAATTTTGCCCTTTATTAATTCAAGCTTTAACCTAAAAGTTTCCGAGGGCTTTTGCATAAATTCAGTGGATATATGCATATATGTCCCAGAGGACCATGCATCGACAATATACGGCTTTCTTATATCCTTAAATTCATAAAGATAGCCTCGACAACCCTTGAATCCACAAAAATTAAAAATATACCCTTAAACCCTAAAAAGGTTAACTTCAACAGCATTTTGAACCCATAAGAATTACTAAAATTAGTAATAACCGGAAGTGGTGCCCCCCCCCCCCTAAAAAGGCCAAAAATAAAACGAAGTGGAGAGAGAGAGAGAGAGAGATGTGCTCCGTTGATTCTCTCAGTCGCTGGTCTTCTTGCTTGGTGATCCACCTGAAATCAGATGGATGAGCCGAGAATTAGAGAGAAGGGGAGGGTCTCCGGCAGAACGGTGTCGGAGGAGAGGGAGGGGGGGTTGAGTCCAGCGGAGAGCTTACCAGGACGGAAGATGAGATGGATCTGGGATCTAGGGGCGGCGAACATCCAGCTATCTCTGTCTAGGGTTTTCACCTCCCTGTCGAGCGCCGCCTTGAGATCCGCCTTCAGAACTGCGCCACGGAGATCAGGATACAGCTGGTCGAAGCGATGGAGGAAGGGGACTATAATCGGAGGGGAATCCCCGGGAGTGGGGCGATCAATCACTCACCGGCGAGGGCCTCGTCTCTGCGGTCCTCGGGAGTGACGAAGTCTCGGGGGATGTGGCAGGAGGAGGAGGAGACGGCGCCGGCCTCGTCTGCAAATCCGGCAGCGCCGCCGCCCGTGGCGGAGACCGGCGCCGGAGATCTCGCCGGCGAGCTCATCTTCCCTGTGGCCAAGGTCGTCCCCCTTCAGTTCCCTCAGAACGGACACTCTCTGTTGTTGTAGGGGTTGGGAATCAGTGGGCTCCACATGCCCGGACCCACCACATATAACCCAAGAATAGGACCTAATTAATAATTACGCCTCCGGTGATGAAGAAAAAAAATTCACCATAAACGTCGAATATTATATTAAAAATTATTAAATTTAAGCAATTTCTACTCCAGTGAAAGGACAAAAAAAATGTCTATATTATTGAGAGAATAATTTTAGAGAAAATTATATAATTTTAGAGAAAATTTATTCATGTCTCCTACACATCTACTTAAAAAAAAAGCAATTTTGGAGAAGAAATTCATCGTCATTGTTGAGAAACTCAATTTCTTCAAAAATCATGATTTTAGCAGGGTAAATAGAAAAAAAATGCTTGGTAAAAAAAAAAACTAATCTACAAGAATTGAGAGAAAAGTCGTCATTATTGTTCAAATTTTCTATTTTTATGAATAATATTAATTTAATCACATTAAATAGAAAACTAGTAGCTTTTAATTATTTTTGTATGAAAGATTCAAGTGTTATTATCATAATGTTAGTTTTAAACTACAAAATCAAAAAAATGCCAGTAAATATAATTTCATCATCAATAACAACAACAACAACAATAATGTTATTGCAAGCACAGTAAGGTTCAGAAATAAATGCAATATCAACTATTTTTCTAAAAAAAGATAATTTCTGACTTATTGATCATCTTTGCAACCACTATAAGGTTATGCATCAAGAAAGTATTGACTAGTTCAAAAAGTGATCAATTAAGACTTCTCAACATTATTATTATCATTGATGACAACATCATACAAACACAACAAGGTTTATGCATCAAGAAAGTAGTAGTTTGTTCTTAAAAACTGATCGATTCAGACTTCCTCCTCATCATCACAATCATCAATAAAAGCATCATTTAACCCCAATAAGGCTTATGAGTAAAGAATGCATTAATTGGTTCTAAAGAAAGATCAATTCAGAGTTCCGTCTTATCATCATAATGATTATCATCAACAACATCACCATCACAACCACAACAAATGGTTCTAAATCATTATGCATGTGTAATTTCCTCCTGAACAAAAGGTTAACTTTCAAATGAATCTAATTTGAAAAATTACTAAAAAAAATTAAATGTAGTAATAATAGTTTTGGGCATTGTATAAATGCATTTTTAGTCCTCAAATGAAGTTCAAAAAGTAAAAAATCATATAAGCATAGAACAAAGTAAAATTAGATTTAAGGCCATAGTAAGATCAAGATGGGGGTTGACTTTATTTTGTTCTAAATTGATTGCAGGTCGACCCTTTTAAGCATTCTTGATCTTTAGTTTGAAAAAAAAAATAGTTCATTGGACATTGTTAAATCTTTATTGATTGCCTCATTTTTCATATTCAATTATCAATCTCACATATTCAGATCTTTAAGACACTACAAATTTTACAATGGTTTGGCCCTAGTCTAGCTTACTTTCTCAAAAATACCCAGCTCTAAATTTCTTAGTGTACACCTGCTGATTACAATGGCTCACATCTTTTAATGTTTTAACTGAAACTCTCACTAGATTCATAACTCTAATAAGACCAAAAGCTAATTATAGGGATCAAATCCCTTGGTAAGATAAGCAAAGCTTAATCTTAGGTTTTTGACATGAGAAAACAAGAAAATATGTTTCTCTAGATGTTAATGAAGAACTAAATCTAAGTCATAATTCAATGTTTTTCTTAGTCCTCAAGTTGTTAAAATCTGATTGAAGAGAATTGATTTTTGATCAAGAATTGCTCATCAACTCATTGTCTTCTCATTGTTGAAGCAAAGTTATAATTGCGCTTAAATTTACATACACAATTTATGCAAAATTCTTAGAACAAGATTTGGAGGTGCAGAGTAGTCAAGGATTATTGTTCAAGATATATTTAACCATTGGAAAATAACTGAATTCATAGAAAATTTTGAGTCTCATTATTCTCCTATTTTTCATCATTAATTACTATTAAAACCCTAAAATAGTTAGAAATTTGAAGAATTTGATACATCATTCATAGATTCTATTATTTCTACACTTAAATTATGAACATCATTGTTAAGCCATTAGTGTATATATCTGATTTGATCATACTTGATAAGAATACATTTTTGTTAAAATACATCCGTAGATACATTTCAAAATAAACTAAAAAAATTGCACTTCAATTTAAACAAAATTTCTTCAAATGAAAAATAGATCTGAATCCTACTAACTGAATTTTCATATCAGTATTCTGCGTTAATATTGTGATGACTTATAAGAGTTCAAAATTTCTATTTAATCAATATTCATAATATCATTGATAAAGTTTTTATGCAATTGATAAATTCACAATTGGAATCAATTTTGAAGTATTCTTCTTAAATGTGATGCATCTAGGATAATGTTTTAACATTCAACTCAAAATCTTGGTTCAAGCATTTAGCATTCTTTGATGACCAGAACATTACTTCTAAATAATATTATTTTCATAACTTTTAGTAAGTATAAAGATGTTGGGAAAAGTAATGACTTTGAATTGTTTTTTTAATTTTTAATTTTGGATTTCAAATCATGAATAACAAACACAAGTATGGAACTAACTTCTGAATACTAGACATCAACGAAATCTGTTATAAATAAATTCTTAATTAAAATAATTAAGTCACGTGCTTAATTGTTGATAAATACAAATATATATTTTAGAATAAATGATTATAATTCAATCCATTTATCTTTCTTTTGTACACTTATCATCATCAAAATCTTTTAAGGCAATCAAGGCTCCTTAAGTCAACACAATTGACATATCCTTGTATGTCACGAGCTCTCTAATTGACACAATTTGACCAAATTACAAGCAAGCCAAAAGCTTGTCAAACCAACAACTTGAACCAATCGAACGGTACAACCACTGAGTAGATTGACTCAAATGTTAACTCAGAGAATCTTTGATCAATCCTATCTCAATGATTTAAACTCAATAAGTGAAGATCTTAAGCTCTATAAAAACCTCACTTATTTGATTTTTTAAATCATTGTGAAACTCTTTTAGTACAAGTTTATACATACTCAATTTTACTAATTTAATCAAATCATCTACATAGCGAAAAGGTTTTCATATCAACATACTAGGGTTAAAGTTCACATAACTTCAGTTTATACATAAAGTCGCTTTGGAGATACTTGTAATGAGGATAAATGGACAGAATTATAAGATAGTTTTTCACTTGAGAAGATGAACATGTGAAATCTATCGTGTACAGGGGGATGATTAATACCATGAAGTGTCATTTAATTTCTCCAAGAGAGAAATAGAAGCCAAAGGTAGGGAGCCTTAAAAATTAGATATATACCCAAAAAAAATATTAAAACCAGCATAGATACTAGTGATTGGAACGAAATCTACTGACCTAGTATATCGACCCACATAATTCTATGTGGACTGGCTAAAGCTCAAATTCACATAAATAACTTAAAATTAATTAAAAACATTGCCCTTCCTCATTATCATCATCATCATCATCAAAACTTTTATTTTCAGCAATATAAAATCCCAGATTTGCTATAAATATATGCTGTATATATTATATAATTTCCAGAGACTAAGTTGGAAAGCTATTCATATTCGAACACCCAATTCACAAGGAAAGAAGAACAAGGTCTCTTATTGGAGAGGGGTAGCTGGGGAGGCTCTGCTCCCCCTGTTATAGTAATCTTCGTATGCATTTCAGGTTATATTATTATATACAAGGAAACGTGGGAGAGCAGGAGGCGGAGTTGGTTTACCAAATCAACCAGACCTGAGGTCAGTTGAGAGCGCAGTTTGAGAGGCACAGCAACACCCCACCAGGGGGGTTTTCTACAATTTTGCAGACCTCCTCCATGGGCAGCCGCCTTCAAAAGCTTGTTCCAGCACATCCTCGATGCGCTTGGCTAGAAGTATCTGTACAATTGGCGAGAAACAAGTTACAGAGAGAGAGAGAGAGAGAGAGAGAGAGAGAGAGAAGACAACTCTTCACACTACCAGACTCCCATTTGAGGCATTGTAAATATTACCTCCTAAAATGACATTGTTGGAGTACCATAAAGTGCAAGGGCCAAGAACGACATGACCATTTTCGGGAGACTCAAGAATTCCAGACAGATTTTCAGGAGAACAAAGAAGCTTGGCGGAGAAGATCAAGACCAAAATATTTTACAGAAAATGGATGCACACTTTCCATAAGAGAAGGCCAAACTTTTCCTTCAATTTATAATCATTCATAGTCTTCAGATGATGACTCGTAAATTTCAAAATTTCACTAGCAGCATGGTTGAAGAGAACAACAAGAGTGTTGGAATGGAGAAATCGCCTCAATTCCATTCAACCATTACATCCCTTAATCTAGGGAGAAATCTTAGACACTTTTCCAAAAACACCATCAACTAATTACACTATTTCCCTATGACCTAGAACTTCCAACAAAGAGAAAATTCAACTATGCAACAGGATTGGAAATCCAGAAACCATTCAAGGGTCATCAAAGGCCTCTTGGAGGGCTGATGAGGGTGGGTGCTGACTCCCCTTGTGGAATTCTTCTGTGGAGCTCTAGCCAGGCACTGTTGTACTCGGAACTTAAGACCCTTTTAACACTGAAGGAGGCCTTTTGTGGCTTTGAAAAAATTATGATAAAAAATAAAGTATGCTAAATTCATTTGTGATGGTTCGAGGTTGTGCAAAGAAGATTGACAAAGAATCGTTTGGGAGAGTTCTCATCACCCTTTTGAGTATCCCAGGGCAGGAAGATAAAAAGAACTCGAATAGAGAAAACAAGGAGGTAGCTGTTGCATGTTGGTGGGAATTTCGGAATTAGAATTTTTAAAATAAATATTATAAGAAATTTCCGTTTGTACCTCTTTTGGCAGAGGTAGAATTATTCAGAGATGTATCTTTCCAAGGTTATCTGGCTTTCTACCTAAGAAAGAGCTATTGGGATTATCCAGGCCGTAATTTCTCCAGTAATCTAAAAGCAATCATATCTGTAGTTTCAAGGAAGTGAACGTGAAGGAAAAAAAAAAAAAAAAAAGAACAATTTTTCACTTGAATCAGGACCTGCCCAAATGCTCTGGCATAAATGCTTTCGAATTGTGATCAAGAATACTTTGTAAGTCACTTTCTACTGCTAGGCAAAATAAAGTTAACGAATTTTATAAGATACTGCTTATCAGAGCCTCTAGAGTATCATCAATAAGCATCTGTAAAAAGGCACTTGGAAAGAAGAAAGGAAACTCATATCATAATATAACAATCCATATGTACCTCCATGCCACTTAGAATAGATGATGGAATTTCCACAAGGTCTTTAAGATTCCTCTCAGGAATAATCACTCGCTTTATGCCATTCCTGTGAGCAGCCAAGACCTGGGGATTCCATTGGACGAATAAACACTCGATAAAAAGATCTTGATTATGGAATGGAAGAGAAGAAAATAGTGAAATAGATGAAAATAGAGTAAAATAGAGGAAACGAGGAAAATGTAATACGAAGAACAATTAGTGAAATACTTTCCTCATTTGAGGGAACCCAGGTCCATTTTTACCACAAGTTATCCATTTCCATATTATATAATACAGTATTACGCATAAGACTCAAAAATGTCTTATCTAAACAGCCACTAGTAAATGTGGGCATTTATTGGAACAAATAAGCAAATCAACGAAAATGTCGATCAAGAAAAAGCTTAATCTCAAAGGGAATCCATACGAAATTCTGCATTCACTAAATCTTACTCTAAGCATTAGTGGTATATTCTACCCTCTCCTCAATTACTGTGAAGAGAAGATAACCAAAAATGAGGAAAACATGATGCAAATAGAGAACATTTTGGTAAAGACAAAAAAATCAAAATCTGGGTTATCTAAACATGATATGCGAATAAACTAGCAGCAAAACTTTCACCTGATAGATGCATTGTAGTATGGTCGACTTGATTCTAGTTATATTGAATTTACATAACCCAGATTTTGCCAGGTGACTCCATAATGTTAATTAGGCGACTTATTCAGTAAGTTTATTAAATTATGTGCTAACATAAGCAAACTTTTCATTTTTATTAAAACTCATTAGAGAGAAAAAACGTACAGATTTATAATTGTTTCATTTTTGCGAACGAAAGCATAGGAACTGTTTGGTAGCTCTTATCCGTTCTTCCTAAATTAGGCTCCAGTTTTCCCCTTTTATTCCAATTGGCCCCTATCTTCACAGGAGGATGTGACAATTGTCGAGTTCAAGTTTTATCCAAAAAATAGACAGAATAATATTGCGAGCAATATGCCACAAGCTTCATTCCTATAGGAGATCTTTCCAAACACTTTGCTGGCAGCAGAAGGCATTCATGTTGTAATGACAGAGATATGTCACTTTGCAGAAGTGGAAAAGATGGTGCCGGAGATTCAGAGAGAATTTGATAGAAATAGACATTGTTCAGCCTAAGACTGGAGGTGACTACTTGCAAAAGACCATTGTACAGGGAAATCCTTATTTCATCCATGTTCCTTTAAATCTCAAACTTACCCTGCATTCCCTTAATTTCAGTCATCCCTTCCTATTTTGCTGCACTTAAGGTCGTTTGTCATATTACCTGGGTGAAAAACGCAAAGTTCCTAGTGGCAAATCTTGAAATTTTGGATCAGAAAAAAAGAGAATTTGGAACACGCACCTTGTCCTTGATGCCACCAACAGGCAATACGAGGCCCCTTAAAGTCATCTCTCCAGTCATTGCTGTATCTGCCCGAACATTCTTTTGACTGAACAGTGAAATTAACGAGGTCACCAGCGTAACTCCTGCTGAAGGTCCATCTTTAGGCACAGCACCTGCGGGGAAATGAATGTGAACGTCCCTACTGTCCAGTAGACTGTTTCCCCCAGGAGCTGATATTTTAAGATCCATTGCACGTCCTCTCACCTAACCAATAAGACAAAAATGTAACATTGAATTAAAAGATAGTCATTCGTTAGTGTAAATAAAATACTGATCCACCAGAAGTGAAAACTAATTAATATTGAAATATCTATCTTTCATAATACACTTAAAGAATGGCTAAATTACTATTCCTTAGAGTACTATATTTGAGTTACTGCTGTCTATTTTTAAGGCAAAGGTATTGCACTGCCATAGTGGTAGTGCTCGTCTCGTACATATTACTCTCCTTATCAGAGTACAAGTAAAAAATACTGGATAATATGGTGCAAAATTACTTAGAAATGACGTCATGTGACCATGTATTAACAACCATATTCGTTATTCTTGCTTTATTCCTGAGCTTCTATATCCTCCTACACCATATTGAGAAATAAAATAATATTCTAACTCCTCTACCTCCAAGGAAAATGCCTAGTAACATCTGTGTAAATTCACAACAAAAAAACATATATAATCATATCAAGCATAAATAGAATACCAAAATAATTGCACAATTGATAAAAAATGAGTGTTTCAATAGTAAAATGCAAATTCACAACAAAAAAACATACATAATCATATCAAGCATAAATAGAATACCAAAATAATTGCACAATTGATAAAAAATGAGTGTTTCAATAGTAAAATCCCTAAACTGCAAGCGAGGCAGGCGTATTTTCTACATTTTGATTTTCTTTCCTAGTCCTCTTTTTCTGTTCTTCTTCCTCCCCACCCTCCCTTTCTTTCTGCCCGCATTGTTTTCTGGGTCTTCCTCTACCCACATCAGACCAAAATTTGCTAGCTACCAGCTGATTCTATTAGTTTTTCCACTTTCGGAGATAAATTTGACCCTTTTTCTCCTTTTCCTAGTAGAATAAAAAACGCTGCTAGCTTTTTAATTCTCTGTGCTTAACTTTCAATTAGTTTCACAGCTGTTTGTTTCTATGCCCTTATTCAGTCGGTCTGGTTTCTAGGGAAGCCGAGAGAGAGGAATTGAACATTGAACCAACAGGAGAAGGTAAATTAATTAAGAAAGGTAGATCCATTTCGGTTTACTTTCTTCCCAAGCGAATCCTTAAAACAACTATTCAGTAAGTGTTTTACGCTCTCAGAGGTTTCTCGGAACAAATGAATGGCAACTGAAGGTAAATAAGCGTTTAAAGCTACTATCAGATACTATTGGGGTTCTTCTCAGCAAGAAGGGGTCATCTCGCACCCACCAAACAGGTAAGTAGGGGAAGAAGCATTGCTAAGTGACGAAACATGCAACTTATTTTCATGATCCCGACATTTGGCACAGATTCAGAAACAGATTTAATTAAACCAGACCCACAGCAATCAAATCATGATTCTCTAGATACATTTAAGGCAATCATCTGAAGTACAGCTAATTACAGAGGGAAACTAAAGTTACATAGCATTATTGCACAGCTATAAACATTATAAGTAAAGGAAGACAAGCACCACAGTGTAGCATCTTTTTGGGACATGTAGACTAGATAATCAAGTCTGAAGATAAAGTTCAACTGCATACCCAAGTCAGAGCTATCTGTGCTGATTCTTTTATAACATCACCAAGTTGCCCAGTAAGATGCAAATCACCCTTTCCAGCCATCATTGATGCCTCAACAAACTGGACCTCGCCACCAACGGATGTCCATACAAGCCCAATGGATACCCCTGGAGATGCCACGCGTTCCGCAGCTTCCCTATCGTCAAATACAGGAGGCTGCAGGCCAAGATATGAAATTTACTCAGTTTTAGCTTCAACAGGAGTTGAAAACCCCTTTTTCTATTTTTTACATAACGCTCTCTTAGAAGAAAGGTAAATATTACCCCTAGAACTTTTTCCAGCAACGTTTCATCCACGACCATGTTTGAAGCAGCCCTCAAAGCATTTGATATTTCATTATTGTTCACAGCCATTGTGATATCCTCCATTTCAACCTCAGCGCCATCAGCAAGTCGAGCATCGAGTAGTGAAGATGTTACCGGCTGCACATCTTTACTTAATCGAAGTGAATTTTGCTCAGCAACTCTAACAGCAGCAGCACGAGCTAAGGCTGCCAGCTTTCTTTCAAGATTTCTCACTCCAGCTTCTCTAGTGTACCTCTGAATTACAAGTTTAACCATTTCCTACCAAAAACAAAGACATTATAATAACAGAAAATGTAAAGGAAAAAATTGGGGACTAACAAATCAAGACAAAACGATGGAGATTTCTAAACAGATAATGAATCATTAATCATTCAAATGAGTGAATTAATCAACTACAACTTCAGCTGTGTTTGATTTATGCATAGAAATATAATCATAATGTCAACTATCTGACATAAGCTCAGTCGTCGGAAAACATGAAATGAATAATGACTCTAATTCAAGCCATAATACTTGGTGAAACTCATGAGTAAAAACTCGATCATAGATTTAATTTTAGATAAAACCAACTTTAGAAAAGTGGGCGGCCCAGATGCCACAAAATGCAGGAATATAATCAGGGGAACCATTAGAGATACACAAGCTTACACAAAAAAGCGACTCGTATATGCTGGGTAAAAAAAATTAAAGAGAAGAATTTGTTATTACTCAAAAATATGAAAATTCCCTCTTTGAAGTCTATAATAAAAATTCATGGCTAAAGTGTGCTCAGGCAGCAACAAACAAAGATAAAGCCACACAAAGTCAAATCATTACTGGCCAGTGAAACACCACCAGTCTCATAAACTCCGGGTAATTCCTTAGAAAATCATATTTAAATGAAATGAGAATTGGAGCATTGTTTCCACAACCCCAAAAAAAAGTATTTTCATGTCAAATTTAAAAACATAAAAATTCTAAAGAAATCGGAGAAATCGATAGCAATTACCAGTAAAATGCTACAAATTTGGATTCAAATTAGCAGAATTTCTCTAGTTCCACCTATAATGAATGAGGTCACAGGTTTCTTTGAACACGATGTGACAAGGTCAAAACAAAGTTTATCCTGGCCAAATGGCCTTCCACTTCAGGAGAAAGATAACTATTGAAGCACTATAAAAGATTATTCTACTAGAATTATCTCAAGGTCCTATTTTCAGCATTCTGTGCAAATATGCAAACATTAGCTCGGCTATAGGATAAATATACAAATAAACTTGTCCTAAGCATGATAATGCTTCGGGTCGTTCAATAAATTTTTCACATGTTAGAAGCACAAAGATGGCAGGAAAGATGATGAGATTGTAGCATGCCTATACAAGTAAGCAACAAGCCACAAACAAACAATAGTAATGCTCATATACAACTTAAGACAACATCATCGATTCAATTGACCATGCAGAATAAATCCAAACCTCAGGTATCTGAAGAAAATCAGAATTCAATCCATGCTGGTCCAAAACTCGAGGTATCAAATGTCTTGTGGCTATCTTTAACTTCTCCTCAGGAGTATAACCAGGTAGCTCAATGACTTCCATACGGTCCAAAAGTGGAGGAGGAATTGGTTGGGCCCTATTAGCAGTTGCAACAAATATTACCTTTGAAAGATCAAAAGGGACATTCAAATAGCTGAAGTTTTGACTTAAGGAACCCGTGGAATACTGCAAGTCTATCAACAATTTATAGTTCAAAAGAGAACTAAATCAACATAGAATGAAGAATATGCATAAAGAACTAAGTGTTGATTTATATTAGATGCATTTTTCAATAAATAAAATGCATTATTGAAATGATTGTACTTGCTTCCGAAAATAAAATTCTAAGTTTTGAAGTACAATCATTCTTTTTATATATTTCTCAATAGAGAACATCTGTTTGACGTGTCCTAAATGACAAATGCAACATGTTCATAACTAACATCAGATAGAAAGAAGGAAAGTAGCATCTATGTCATGATAAGTGTCGCCATACATGACATTTTTGTAAAGAGTAAAAAGTAGTTGTAACCAAGTTCTAAATTATGTAGTTCATAGGATACTGGTCATTGAAAGTTTTGTTCTGCTCTGGATCAAGGACCTCAAGCAGGGCTGATGCTGGATCCCCACGAACATCTGAACCAGTCTTGTCAATTTCATCCAGCAGCATGACTGGGTTGCAAACCCCTACCCGCTGCAAAGGAAATTGGATATCTCAACAAACCACCTTGGTGAAAGAATGTAAATAACTGTCTAGTCCCATAAGTAGAAAAATAAAAAATAATCCATGAAAAATATCACGAAATGATTTACTTACAAAGAGGAGAGCACACACTAAAAAATGTTTCTTAAAAAATTTGTTGAGGTAAGTCAAACAAGAAAATATAACTCTATATCAATAGGAACAAAACAAGGAAAGAAACATTCAGGCCTTTTGCAAATCGGGGTAAGACATGGCAAAGTGTTTTTCCCATCCTCTATTTACATGATTTACCAAACAAGTCAAATCGGGGTAAGAATACAAATAAAGGACCTCAGATAAGTCAAATCTACCAAAAAAATAAAAGGAATGCATGGGTTAAACTACAACGAATAAAGATAGCCGGACGAAAATGATAAATAAGATTAAAAACAAACCTTTAAGCCATCAATAAGGCGTCCTGGCATGCTTCCAATATATGTTCGTCTATGACCTCGAATATCAGCCTCATCCTTAACCCCACCAAGAGAGATCCTCACAAATTTTCTGTTTAAGGCGGCAGCAATAGATGATGCCAACGAAGTCTTTCCCACACCTGGGGGGCCAACAAAACATAATACTGGGCCTCTAGCATCTGGTTTCAGCTGCATTTCATTGATTTGGCAAGTTACATTTGTATTCTTATAAAAAGGGTTTATTCTAAAACACAGTTAGGAGGCAACCTTCCGGACAGCCAGATATTCAATTATACGTTGTTTAACTTTGGCCAAACCATAATGATCACTGTCAAGACGCTCTTTAGCAGCTCGTAGATCAAATTCACATTCTTCACTGGCTTTCTGCCAAGGAAGATCGGCGAGGAGTTCCAGGTACCCCCGTGAACTACTATAGCCGGGTTGTTGAGGTTGCATTTTCCGCAATCGCCTGGATAGAAAAATTTGCAAAAATTTGCATAAAATTACGCACTTAGAAGGTACCACAGATGCCTAAAATTGTACACAATAACAAAGCTAGATATTGAAGGAAATTAATAAAAAGATTAGGAACACAAAAGGTAAATAAACATAAAGGTTTTGAATCTCAACAGAGGCCAGTTAAATGCTATAAATAGACGAATTTATATCAACCTCAAGTCTTGGATTTATTTTGGTAAATTAAATTACACGTGCAACATTCTGCCAGGATATTAGGGCATTCATACATACTAAAACAAATAAAATAGGATGATTTTCCATTACAAAATAAATAAAAGAGATCAAGGAGATCAAGGTGAAAAAAATTTGAACAAATACTATAGTTAAAGACTTCAATATATAGTAATCGGAGATTAAAGGAGGTGTTCGGTTGAATGAGGCCAGCATCCAGTTGTCTCAGGAATGTATGGATTTGTACCATGAACATCAGAGGGAATATTATACAAGTAGTGAGAGAATAAACAAAACATCTAAAATAGCAAGCATTCAACATATTTTCAAAAAAAAACCTCATGGCTTTTCTGCGAAAGATAGTGCACCTAATCCAATCAAGAATAATTATCACCCACCGTAATTCTCTTTGAGCATGCTTCCAGACATTGGGAGGCATCCCTGCACTTTGCATCTTCCTTTCAAGGGCAGCAAGATCATCCTCATCATCATCATTGTCCCCCAGCTCTTCCTTGATGGCCCTCATCTTCGATTTTATGATGTAGAACAAAGGGGGAAATATGAGTGACATTCTGATATTTCGTAGAGTAATCTTCATGAAAGCCCTTCCCCATAAACCACGAGAACCAACAAAACAAGAGAGTGACTCACGAAAAAGGTACTGAACAGAGATATCAGAACAAAGAACATCTCACTATTTGAACTCACTTATTGCTGAGATGTAATATCCAGAAACTGATTCAGGAAAGGTAAGACAGGACAATTACAACTGTCTAAATTAATGTTAAAATAAAAAAGGCAAACATTGCAAGGAAATTATTGAAGTGGCATCAGGTAATAACAAGATAAAGGGGTTCTATGAAAGTAGAGCTGAAAGTTGACGTCAGAAATTAATTACAGAGTTTCGATTGCAACACAATGCTAGTATTTAAAGGACATGCTACAATCAAACTAGTCTTCCAAAACTCTTTGCAATCCAAGCAATTTTTCCTAAGATCAGATGTCAGTTTCCTACGGAATCAAACTCTGAAGAGACCAAAGAAATCTCACATTTGACCGTCATCAATGATAGTTGAAACACTGGAAGATTTGAGCATCCAACAACACCAATAAACAGTCAAAATAAAATAAAACTGAGCACCAAATGTCAGGCAAGAGAAACATGAAATGTTGAAAGGTTGCATGATAACTCCAGTGCCAAAGATCCCAACAGATCATAGTTTACCGCAGGTTCCACAAAGAGCATTGATAATTATAAGGAAAAATCGCAAAAATAAACAAAATTGTTTACATTGAAACAAGAAATTCAATGCAAACACCTGTTGGCGAAGAAGAAATTCCTTCTGGGACTTTGATAACTGTCCCTCAACTTTTTGGCTAATCTTTTCTGCCACTCGAATTGACTGCAAAGAGGAGGGGAAAACGGTAAAATTATATCAAGAGGCTGTCAAGAATTCTGCACCAAGAGAAATATTACAATAGAAAAGATAGCCCATAAATTGTCTATTTGGTTAAATGATCAGCACCTGCAGATGTCTGTCCACAAGCTCAGTGGCTTTCACGAGCCTAACTTTCAAATCAACAGAATCTAGCATGGATAACTGTTCCTCAAAGCTTATTTCAAAGCTTGCTACAAATATATCCGCAAGTCTATGTACAGGAACTGTTTCAAGAAGAACTTTCGTCCTACCAACAGTTTTTTGCTTCTGAAATAAAGCAAGGAACCATTTAGTAGCAAAATCTCTTAAAAATAGTAATCACGATGTTGATGAAAAGAATCATATCGCCACAGTTTAATCATGCAATGTGTAACATAATCATGCAATGTGTAATGCAGATCCAAAAAGAAATAGAGGATGACAAGAAGATTTAAAAAATATGGAACAGAGATTCACGTATGTAATTTGAGAAAGATGTATGAAAATGGGAGACAACAGCCTATGCCAATTATTCATGGGCCATGATTTTGTCAAACCGAAGAACCAAGCTGATATCACAAGATTTTATCTTTCTTCATATGTAATTACAACCTGGAACATCAATTAAACTAGGACCAGCTCTACTGGATCTCAGTTAACAGGAATTCAACTGATGTAGCCAGAAAAAACATGAAATAAAATGGATACATTTAATAGTAATTCAAGGTATACCCACAAATATTTTTATGAAAAAAATTTAAGCATGATGAACTTTAAAATTCCCTTCATTCCTTTCCGATCCATTTGTTTTGTACTAAGAATTTGATGGGCCATGACATCCAGGAGCGAAAATGGTAAATCATATCATCATCTCTCAATCCTCATGCATCGTTAGTTAACAATAATAAGATTCTGAAGGACAAGTAGTATGCAATCTGGGATAACATGTTTCACCTGTTCAAGAATAGATATCAACTCCATGGCAGTAGCTTTAAACTGTCGTGATAGAAGGATGAGATCTGGATCTTGCTCTGCTTGCTCCATCTCTATGAAAACCAAAGAAAGACAGTGTTGTAAAAGGGAAATCTACCAGAAACGTATTCTTTAGGAATATTGAAAACTTCATTTGTATGAAGCAGTGAAGTGGCAAGAATTGCCTAAAAAAATTATAGGTTCAACCATCAGAATATGCTGGTATTAATTAACAGAAGAATGAGGAGTATCCACACTTTGTTCAAGAGGTGTTAAGCAATGCGCCTAGTTGACAGAAACAAAGCATCTCCTCCCTAGAGGAATGCTAAACAAAGAGACCCTAGCAGAAAAAAAAAAGCCAAGAAGGGAGGACCCTCATGAGTTTCATAGGCCTTTAGAAGTACATAAATGGAGCATAATATACCCAGGCTTAGTAAGTGGGTTCGGAGTGCAGATGCAGCGAAATGTATGTGATGTTCCCATTGTGTCCCATATTTGATATTAATTTTATATGTTTATCCAATACATAATGCACAAAATATAAATGGAGTATCATATTTTGTATACAAAATAATCCAAGTCAACAGACTACTCCAAAAACGTCTATTCTCAAGAATTTAGAAGATCAGAAGCTGAGCATTCAAATGGAAATGCAGTATCCAGCTTATTTTATTAGCTCTGTCAACCTCAAGGCTTATCCACCAATCTACGTTTAGCTTAAGGCCTGATTAGACAATCCAAAGGCTATGAACATTATTTGTGGCTGGCTGTGAAACATGAACCAACCTCACTTTATGATACCGAGACCAAGCTGGGCTAGTCTACCTTTAAATAGGAGGATTGATAGGCAGTGCTCAAGACCACTAGATGATGCTAGAAAGCTAGTAGTGAGTCCACCAACAAGATAAATGACCACTTATGGATGGAAAATAAATTATATGTTTCCTCAATACGGGAAGGTTTGAAGATGTTCAAATGTAACCCAAATGACAGTACTAAAATAAAGATGGATATAAAAATATCAAACAAAACTCAAAACTAAAGTTGTTTAGTTTACCAGCCTTTGTCATATCCAGGCGTGATACACGTGCAGTATAATAGGTACCCCTTGCAGTAAGCTCCTGAACACTAAATCTGCACAAGCCCTCAAGTACAACTACATATGTAACCCTTCCACTTGGTTTTTCCACCCCTCTAGACAGATGTAAAGCTCTTGCAGCAACTCCCCTGTAACCATAGCACACTATCTTGAAATAAATTCAACTGCGGTCATTAAAAAATTTAACCCACAATGTATGCTAGTATTACAGACCAGTGGAACGCTAAGAACAAGAAACGGTCACTACATTAATGAAGTAGAGGAAAAAGGTCAGTTGTAGATAAAAACTTAGATAAAATGTAAACTTAGAAACTTAACTTAAGTATTGTGCAATTGTAGATAAAAAGTGGTGACACAAGACCAATTAAAGCATTCATGTTCAACCATTCTCTCACTGAGCTCTCACAGCACACTGCAGGGTCTACATCATGCCAGAAAAACAAGCAGGGATGCATTAGCCATAGGAATCAACTAAGTGCCAGCAGCCTCGTGATGCATTAAAATTATCTGATAGGTGCTTCTGCATATTTCCAATACAGACTGTGAAACATGACAAGCAGCAGAACGTTGACTTCAGCATATTAAGCAAAACATTAGACATCGCTGATGATGTTTCTAAGTTCAGATGTCCAAAGCACAGCCATAATCATCAAAGTCACTTCAGAATTACTAGCACAGAAGGGAGCCACGAGTGGATCAGCTCGTGAATTCCTTCATCATCAGGCCACGTTAAATTCGTGTCCTAAAAATGTCATTTCCACAAAACCCCTTGGACCACATTCCACAAGTAAATCATCAGGGGAACCACAGCTGTATCACCTCATGCATTACTTGACCTCAGACAGCATAAAATTCATTATAATTCATGTCTTTGAAAAAACCTTCCCAAAGAAGTTCTATGGCCTACATTCCATAACTAAATCAATGATGAATTCATTGTTTCATCTAAAAGGCTACAGCTCTGTTTAATATACTTAACTTCATAGTTATATCACATACAGGAAATCCTTTATGGCTACCTTGCATGAGAAAAATGTGACTTTGGCGGAATGAACTTCATCCACACAAAGTTCTTTACCTGCATGATGTGTCTATAAGAAAATGTTTCCATAATGTAATTTCTTTTTACAGTTCAGTCGTCACTAAGTTTTGTGTTCTAGACCACGATGAGTTTTTATTCTGTCATTTTTTTTTCCTGTAATCCAGCAAACAAGAAATTTCAACTCCAAGAAGAGTTGACAAATCGCGAGAATCCAGTTAGTTCTACTCAGCTGATTTCTCGTTTACAAAGATATAGATTTTCATTTATCATTGAATATGGGCTATTATAGAGTCAACTTCTCGCTCAAATTTCGGCCTGCACATCTATGCTACTCTAAGGAACCTTCTGTTTAAAAATGGTTTTCCTCCAGTTTGCTATTGAGCATTGACAACTAGCATAAAACTGTCATTTGCTGTTTGATCTGTAGTGTCACTCGTTTATTATTCTGATCAACGAAGTACCAGCAGTCAGTCAACATCCACACTGAGTTAATAGGCAACAGTAATCAAAGGCACCAAACTTCACCGATTCTACACTCAATCTATAGGGATGAATACTTCCATATCTGCAAATTTCCAAAAAAATATTGCTCATTTTAAGTTGCATTATTTTTCAGGAAGATTGGAGAATTTTGAACAATACCGTGTTCCCCCACACTGATCTTCTATTCGAAACAGGCAACATGCATGCAGGGAAATGTGCCCCTAAACATCTCAACTCTTCATTATTGAAGACTGTTCTCTCCTCTGGCCTAGAAATTCCTAATTCTGATTAACAGAAGTTCATCTTTTACCTTGTTGTCATCTTAAAACGTTTCAAGGGTTGTTTTAGAGCTATACAATAGTAAAAAAACTCTCAATGATTTATCATGTTTTGATCATCCAATGGATGAATTCAAAAGATCATCAGGAACAGCCAAAAGCTTCATACGACTGCTCCATGCATACTCCATGACAAATCCTTTATTTCAGAGATGAGATCAATAAACACTAAATACTCGTGCATGTCTTCTTTGGAAAAAAGGTGTATTTGTATGTTGAATAGAAATTAAAATCCAACATAGAAAAGTGTAAGGGCTTTTGTTAACAATTTTTAGCCATCAAGTTCCATGAAGATGCTTGAAAAGGTTCATATCACCGACCTAACCTCAAAAGTATAAAATATTGCAACAATTGCCACCGCAGTTCCATGAGATCTCAAATTTGACCATAGTTCTGGGCAGGGAATTTCCTTGGTGATACATGAACTCGTGGAATACATGGTTTCACTTATTGTTCCAATTAAAGTTTCCAACATATATGTTAACAATTAAATATACGAAGAAAGACGATCGTAAAAGTGCAATCTCAGAAAACGCAACCTGTTATGCCAGTGAATGGGCCCCTCAAGGCTCTTTCCGTCCGGCTTTTGGGAATCCACCGCATCAACTGAGCCTTTTAAACTTTGATAACCAGGATCAGTACCAGAACCTAGAAGGCGGATTGAAAAAAACAGATGTTAACCATCATTTGCCAAAATATATGGCCATTTAAAAGGAGATGAGGAACTAAAATAAAAAAAAAGGCCAAGTATAATACCTGTGGATAACACAGAGCTGACAGCTGTGGCCTCAGCTGCGTCCCTGACAGGCAGGACACCAATGAGACCCTTATCCTCCTTCTGCCACAGCTCTTGCTCAACTAATTTGACACTGCAGAAAACGTGACGGCAAAAGGTGTGAGTTCAAGAGGTCGCTGAACTATTTCATTTGAGAGCACCGTAATATCGATAAATGGAAGTTGCAGATTTACAGGTTAGATCAATAAAGAGTCCAATGAGGAGAAAAAATACCAAACAATACAAAATAGACTCCAGCCAAAGATCAGCACGAAATTCAGGTTAAAATTCGAGAAATTATGGTCGCCAAAGAAGGAAAATAAGAAAACAGACTTATGATCCAAATAAGTCAACTCCCGGAGAATACCCACACGGGATGAGCCATGGGAGCAAGAGATGAACCCTCCCCCCCTCACCCCACCGGAAAGCACGGAGAAGACTCTGCAATTTAACAAAGACGAAGAGGCAAGGGAGAAGACACCTGTAGGGGGACGTGCAGCGGATTCGGATGATGGCGCCGGGCAGCAGCACCTTGTTCCTGAACGGAAGGATCGCGAGCCTCCCTGGCAGCTCCACAGTCTCCGCCATACCCTCGACTCCCCCAGCAACAGCCGACGGCCACACGGATCAAAGACTCTGAGGACTCGGAAGGAGGAGATCCTCTCCCCGTTCACGCCCCCCTATACTTGACTCCGAGGAGCAGGAAGGAGGAAAAGCGTAGAAACCGAAACAAAGGAGGACCACCTCTGCCGATGAAGAAGCAGTGGCACCGGCCCGATCATCGCCCCACCGCGGCTCCTCCACCGTCGGATCGAAGCCCGAACTGGCTCGGCCTTCATCCGACTTTCCACATCCGGCGACGGCGACGGGTCGACCGGGGCGATTCACCCACCTGCCGCCGAGTTTGATCTCCCGGTCTCACCGCCTACTGATCGACTCTAAACACTAACGCCTCATCATACTGGTTCTCTAGAGATAATATTTTATCAAGGGCCGACTTTGGGAGAACTTGATTCTCTAGGAAGATGCTGGTCACCGGGGCAAGAAAGAATAGCTCATGGGCTTGGAAATGTTGGAGACCACAATTCCCTATAATATTCATGGTAAATTACGGAGTTCCAATGATGTCAACGAGTTGACCCTTGGAGGTGAAGCCTAGTCAACTCCGACTTTGGGAGAACTTGATTCTCTAGGAAGATGCTGGTAACCCGGGCAAGAAAGAAGAGTTCAAGGGCTTGGAAATGTTGGAGACCATAGTTCCCTATAATAATTGCTCGCAAATCACACCGTCCCAATAATGTAAACGAGTTGACCTGGAGGCCAACCCTAGTCAACTCCAGCACTCACCAAGAAAAATTCAGCCCACGAGTGGTGGAGATCGTAGTTGACCTCGAGCCATGGCACTCATATTTTGACGATATTTCTTCTCTTATCTTGAGAATGTCTAAGCCTCATGATAGTAGAAAGATTTTAACGAAAGATAAGATTTGTCTTCAGGGAAGAACACCCATTGACTGGTAGGACGACGACCAAGTGGTAGCCTAGCGGGTGGAGGAAGAACACCCATTTGCTAGGAAGAAGGATAAAATATATGTAATGATAAGCCTCAATAACTACGAGCAGAATACATGTAATGATAATTACATTTTCATTTTCATTTCTAAGTATTGTGAAAAATTATCGTTTTTCACATAGCAATGATATTTATCTCTCTCTCTCTCTCTCTCTCTCTCTCTCTCTCTCTCTCTCCTGTCTATGATTTATATACATGTATACACATATATGTTACCCTTTTACTTGCGACCACCGATCGGTAGGCGAGCAGGAAGAACACCCATTTACTAGAAGTATGAGGACCACGCCGGCGGCGGCACGGTGCTCGCGTGGTTCAGCGGTGCCAGCTTGTTCAAGGCCGGCGAGCCGGATTCTTCTTTCCTGGTGGGAAGGCGACAGTCACCGGCGGCGATATGATCGCCCGTCGCATCGAGGGTCGGGGTTTTACTGGTCAAGGCACAGGAACCCTACGATCCTCCGTTAGGTCAAACTTTCACTGGTTGAAGGTGACCCAGAGTCTGTGGGCTCGATCAGTCTCTTCCTGCGTCCTTCCATTACACGTCTTCTCTACCCGCTCCTCCCCCTGAGGAGGCTGTCATCTGATGACGTAGCCGGGAACAAGAGGGAGAGAGGTAGAGAGAGAAAGAGAGGATATGACAAACCCTAACCCTAGAATCACCGGATAGATCCAGCTAAGACGAGCACACAGGCAGGGAGGTAGGTTATTCGGATTCCGTTGTCGGTGAGGTGAAAGGAGATCGGGAGGGTTTATTCCAGCATCATTCTAAACTACATTCACCGGTGTGCAGCGAGAGGTCATGGCGGTGTGTATTTGACCAGTAAAACCCTAGACCGTATGAACTGCAGGCCCCATCGCATCAGGTTGGCCAAGGACCGGGACTGCCTTGGAAAGCGGCGTTGTCTGTGTAGAATCTATGCATATTTCTCCTACGCCGCCCTTCTGGACCTCCCCGAACCTGTAAATGCTGATTTTTATGCCATGTTGGGACGTGAAGCGAAGAAGAAAACGGTGGGTCACCCGCTATCGTCGTACAGTTGATGCGAAGAAGTGAGGAACTAAATAAATCGGAATATTCGGAACACTAAATTTGACTACACTTCCTATAGAGAGCGTCAAGAAATAAAACCCTAATTTATCTTGAACATTTATAATATTGCTTAAAAGATACACCTTATTTTGGTTGGCTGATAATGACATCATTATATATCAAATGGTTAGGTAGGACTTTACTAAAACCAAAGTTTTCATGATGATATAAAGAAATCAAAAAATAATTACAATCAAAATGCTATGAATATTTTAATTCCATCAAGAAATCAAGCGAAATAATATAAATTAACATATAAAATTAATTTTGGGAAAAAAATTCTATAATGAAGATTCTAATGTGTTGAGAATTTTTTTTGAAATGACATCATTGACTGAATTAAATGGTTGGTCTAAGCCACTAGAAATGAGTAGTAGAAAGCCTTACTAACAAAGAAACTCATATTTTTGTTTAAAAATAAAACAACTAACATATAAGATGGTTTTTGGAGCAGTAATATTTTATCTATTTTTTAATCTATAAATAATAAATTTGCAAATGACTTTTTTGACACACTCTCCTTGGGTACCTCCTCTACAATTCCCCAAACCTACATATTGGCTATCTTTGTAGGAATTGAACTTTGTCAAACCAAGTTGACTTTCATTAAATACCAACTAAATCCCTCTCAAGCCTTGCGTAAAATAAACTAGAAAAAAAAGGCAGTAAAATGCAATACTCGTAGCTCTTCTTATTTATATGACAATGTCATGATATGCTTAGAGCATTTACTTGTACCTTGGATGCATTTGAAATTTTTATGAATTTTAGGATACTTCAAATGTTTACAAGATCAATTTGTGACATTTGGAGGAGTCAATCATACTATTCCCAAGAGGTAACCCTTTGCATTCTTCTCCCTTAGCATCAATCAAACTCTATATGGATTGGTGATTTTTTCTATGAATCAATCTAATGGTCAACTCCTATGTAAAGAGGTTGATATCCCTTTCAAATGTCAACTTAATATTTGAGTTTTGGATAAAGAGTAGATTTTTTTTTTGTGTTGAACTTGAGAGTTGACTCTTGTCCAAAGAACGCTCTAGTTTTCACAAGGGTTAATTCTCGTGAAAATATGTTTTCATTTTTTGCATAAGTTGGTGAAGGGTTTACTTGACCATTGTTTATTTTTACTCATAGGGGTGGACCTAAGGGTCTACACTTCAATTATAGTTCAACTTTGCACACTCATAAAAGCTTATTTTCTTCATAATGTCATCCATAAATATAAGATTCCAATACTTATCATAATGACTTTACTTTTGACAATTTATTGCTTGAGAAAACTTTATTTCGTTCCTTAACACTGATGCAAAATATCAATACAAATTAGTGTAAACATTGGCATTTTTTAATAATCAAAATAAAATGTATTTAGTCCTTCGTTCTCAAATTAAAGTACCCAAAATCTTATTTTCGATTTTTTTTCTTTACCAATGAAGTGATTAATTTGAAATCTCTTGGAATAGTGACCTTTTCACTATGATATTAGTAATTTGATGCCAAAAATACCAAAATATTTGGAATATTTAAAACTAATGGCAACACTTTTGGTTCCGTTAATATATAAAATGGCTTTCACACTAGTTTGATTTTTATGATTTTCCATGATAAAATTATGAAATGATTTTTTAATTTAATTATACATTTTTGCATTAAAAGAAGTTGATTTAGCCAACATACAAGTAGTTTTAAGTTTTTCCTGATGATATGGAAAAATCATTAATTAAAATTTTAAACCAGCCAAAGTTAGTTTATATTTTTATGAATGTTTTTTGTTAAATTTTTTTCCAATTTTTAGTGACATTAAGAAGTCCAAAAAAAATGATAATGTTTCTAATATATTTTAAATTACAAAAAAAAATATTCGAGAATAATTTAGCTTTTTCATGGATTTTTTTTAGAATTATTAACATAGTAATTTATGTAATTATGCTAATAAAAAATAATTAAGTGAGGAGAAATACTCCAAATAATTTTCTATTTGAGGTATATAATTTCGTTTACTATTTTGACTTACCATAAAATAAAACATATTTTTTAAAAAAAATGCTTTCAGAAATTTAATCATGTTAAAGTTTTGAATATCGCTTTAGTGATGTGAAAACGTTGAAATTTCATAAACCCAATTATTTGGAGAACCCTTTAATTAAAGTTGCAAAATTTTTATTTGAAAGTAACATTAGTTACTTGTGAAATAAAGTTCTATCCTCAGTAAGGGAAAAAACTAGGGACTAAAATAAAATGGAGAGGCCTCTAGTTAACGCTATGAGAGCCCTTCCATGCAAGAAATTGCATGGAAGAAAAAGTCGTCCTGAAACCAATCTTCTGTGCAAGAAATGCGGAAGAACAGATGCATAGTCTCTCCTCCCTCATATACTGCTCTCCTTTTCTCACTTCGGAACCACTCCCACCATTTTTTAGAGGCCTTCGGGCTGTGGATATTGATGCTATGATTACCGAATTTATCTATTTTCGATCTTTACCCACTTTTGGACTTTACATTCTAAGATGGGCATGCCTATATTGTTTTTTTAAGCAATTTTAAACCCTCATGGGCCGGTTATTGATCCCTCTATCTCAAATGTCACATTTGCAAACAGAAGGTCAGTATCGAAGCAGCCATGATGTCAGCAAGGTGCATGAACATCGGCTTGTTATTAAGAGTTGGCATTTTCGTCGGCCCAAGGGTAATGCAATGAGTCCGTCACTTGCCCTCTTCTCATGCATGGATCGAGAGCTGGTCAACGTTATTCCGACGTAAGATAACAACCCTTACACCAGTAAGGAAAGTTCTAGAGAACAAATTATTATGATGTTCTTCTCTTAAGAATTAGTGCTCTTAATTATTCCCACCTGTCTTCACAATCCCACGAGACCATTCGCATACCAGTCTCGCATTGGGTAATCGAATAACGTTGACGT